TGCAAATGGAAGATAGGACTGATGGGCTAAAAGCTGTGAGGTTTTCTTTAGCATCTGTTCTTTCATTTCAATTGGTGGGAAGTTATTGTTAGGAAAGGGTTGTGTTACTGTTGTTCATGAAATGGAAGCCTGTAGTGAATATTCAATGTTCCATGATTGAATTTGTGATTTTTGAAGGCGTCCCTCAATTTAAATTCACAACCAAATGCAAGTGCCTTATGGTGATGACTGTGTTAACGTGTGTACTGCACATTACTGGAGCAAATATATATACAGTATAAAGTTGGTGAACAGGAAAGAACTGATTTGGGGAGAAGTGACCATCAAGAGGTTTAGGCAAGAGACTGGAAAGAGACTGGGCAAACTTTTTTTGTATTGAATTAAAGCAACCTAAATTTTAAATTTAATTAATTATTAAAATAATTTTTAAAAAATTTCAACTTTGTGGTTTTTCATTCTGTTATTCTGCTGCCCTCTGCTGAGCAAATGATATAATCATATTCATTTAATTTTTTAAAATCATCTGCTGAACAAATAATGTAGCTAAGTATTTCCAAATGTTTGCTAGCTATTTCATTTCTCTTTTTTAAGAAATTGTAAGAAATTTGTATTACCCTGTCCCTAAAGGCAGCTGTTTTGTTGCCCTAAATGGCATCACAAATTTTGGTGGAATATAATCTATTTTATGAGATGCTTTATAAGCCAAGGTAAATGTTTTCATCTGTAGAACTAAAAACCGAAAAAGCTTCAAAACATTATTTTTTATTTATTATAATGTCTCACCTTTCCTTAAATTTATTCTCAGAGCAAACCTCAAAAGGCTTGAAAGCCTCAAAAGCAGAGAAATGTCTAAGACTTCCATTTAGTTTTACTAAAACCTAGTAAATATTTAGCTGGCTGTATATCTCGGCTTGGAGAAAGTTAGATTTTGTAGAAATCTTTCTGATTTCGAAGAGCCCTTATTTATCCAATTTCTGTCACATCTGGCAGCTCATTAACTTCAATCTGAAACTCTATATCCCTTATTCCTTCAGTGAGCAGTTGTTTGGCTTAATAATATCCCAAAAAACCTTAGGAATGGCACAGGAAGGCCATATAGGGCCAACTTCTGCTCTACAGCCTGTTTCCAGAGAGAATTTTCTATTAAAAATAAGAGTCAGTCAACTGAGAAGAATTGGTTTTGCAAGCAGTAATTTGTAATCCTCTTTCAAGTCCTTACCCGAATGGGGGCATTATTGTGTCAAGCCTTAACTGAGCATTTGCTGTTCCATTGGGTGCAACAAGGTTTGATCTAAAAAATGTTTTTGTACTGTTTCCAGTGCACTCTTCTTCACACAAATTCCTGCTTGTGCCCCATAAAGAATCTGGGCCAGTTGTTTGGCTTCGAAAAGTTTTAATACCAGTGTCCTCTGCTTCTATAAAGAAAGCAATTAATACCACTTGTAGTCCTAAGAGCTAAATGCAGTACATCATTCTGGTGCATTTTCCATGTGCTTTTAGAATAGAATACCATCCCAAGGTATTTAAATGCAGTAATCTGCACTAATTTGTGCCCTTCCACTCTCCAGGAATGTTGGTTGGTTCTCTTAACAAAGACCAGCATTTTAGATTTATCAAAAGAACCAGATGATTTTGTCTGTAGTATCAAAATATATTGCTGCTATTGCTGTTTTCAGCCAGTATTCTTTCTCAAATATATATTACTATTATAATTTAAGACAGGATATTTGATATGGTTAAAGTAAGGAAGGAAAGAAAGAATAGTATAATGGTTACAGTTGTGAACTGTTTTGTGATCCCCAGCTCAACCTACTCAATTTCCTTTGTGTTTATGAGAAACATTCTTGAGACATTTACAAGTTTATCCACTACTTGCATCCCACAAAAAGAATGTTTGCTGGCAGTAACTATGTGGCTGATTTCATTAGAACACTGTAGATCAAATGTTTTGCAATGCTGGACCAATAAATTCAGAAAATGCAAGGACTATCCAATTAAACAGATACCTCTCCCTATGATTTCATCTTTAAAAATAGGGGAGTTCACATTTTTTGATAAATAAGACAGTGATTTGTATATATTCCTTCCAATCCACTCCATAGTCTTTACTTGCTGTTACAAAAGGGTTTCACGAGGGGTCGCTGTGCCCCTTTGTCAGTCAATGTACCAGAGACAACAATCATTCTGCTCTGAGGTTCCCATGGACACTGCCTGCTAGGGTTGGGTCACATCTGGCAGACACAGGAAACTGAGTTCTTGCAGATGTTCCTGGAGTGGACAGAACATGACAGGGAGACTGTGACTTAAACACCAGCCCTTGTGGTTCCATGGCATGGGGAAGATGTGTTGTGGCTAGTGGGAGATCACATTGGGAGGTGTTTTGCTTGGCTGGTCTATCTCCCTCATGTCCTGTTCTCACGACTGTGTGTTGCTAGCCCAGTTTATACATTTCCCACCCCTTATGCTGCACCAGAGTAGCTGTGATTATGGTACTGAAGCATGAATCAAAGGACCCAAAATATCATCCTCCTTTTGATACAGAAAGTGAAAGGATGATGTTGAACCATGCATTCTCACCTGCCCTGATATTACTATGCCTCGGTAGGGGCAAAAAAAGGGGGGGGGGCAGAAGTATTTAATGCCAGCCAGAGCTAAGGATTGAAAGGTAAGAAATTGGGCAAGCAAGTTAAAAACCTGTTGTGCGAAAGTGTGGTGTATACTCTGAAAGCATATGAAATACAATTCATCTCAGTGCAGAGGGTGCATTTCTCTCACTAATGTAGTTCTGGATTGTACATATAAACTGTTTGCACTCCAGACAATGCCTGACCATTAATATATCTCGGGGTTTGGCAGCTGCTAGTACCGTAATCAAGCAAAGTGTATAAAGTAACTCAGATACAATTCTGCACTCTGACAATCTATTCTGTTGACTCACGTGGAGGGTATAGTGAAGAAGTGATTTTAAGAGTCATGAATTGCACAGGTGCCCTTTGAAAATAGCCAAATAGGTTCTAGGTGTGGACAAAGGGAGGGCCACTCTTCCCCACTTAGATGTAGCTATGTGTGAGAGCTTTGGATGACCAACAACCATTGTCTCTTGAGGTAGACATGGAATTGCATGATACAATGCTCTTGCTGCCTTTGGGCCAGAAAAAGATGCACATCACACAATTCAGCGTCATCTTGATCATGCAGAATCCGGTAAAACTGATGAAAATAGAAGCACAAGGCGGGGTTGTTTAAGGGAGCTGCATAGGCAACAATTTATATTCAGAAAGAAAAGACTTTATTTTAGTCATAACCCTTAGCCCTGAACTCTGCAAAAACATAGGTATTTCTATGACTGTAGTAGAACCCTTTCAGAAGTTTTCTTTCATCCTGGATTTCAAGAAGAGTGACTGCCTTGTTCCTTCCCTACATAATGCTCGACCACTGCTTCAGCCGTTCTTTAAAGCCAGTGGACAGAAGACTAAACAACTGCAGGGAGGGATCCAAAACAAAGACTAGTTTCAGATCCATGTTGGAAGCTGGAATGGGAAGTACACAACCTTCCAGAGACAAACATAGGATGAAAAAGAATGAAAAAGGAAAGCAAGGGGAGAGTTTGGTTGCTCAACTTTCCCAGTCATTAACTCAGTGAAATAGCCATTTGCCATGGAATTTCCTCTTTCAGATTCCCTCTCAGGAGAGAAGAGTTGGATGATGAATTTAAAGTTGAAGGTTCAATTGGCTATCTAGGGCTATACTCCTGTGAGAGACTGAGGAGTATGTTTGAAGAAAACCCCACAAGAACCATTCTCAAGGATGCCTCTATTGTAGACTAGCTCTGGGATGAGTGAGAGGTTTTCCAGATCTGCGTTCTTGAAATGGAAGATGAATTATGGCAGGGTAAATTGTATGGATTAGGCTTCTCTCAAGTGAAATTAGAGGAGCTTTGTGGATGTTTACATCTAAATTTTTCATCTTTAGGTCCTATCTCACTGTTCAGCTCACTGTTACATTATACATATTTTGGTGATTTGCCCTTACCTCAATCTTAGAACTTCCATTTTCTTTTCACCCCAAAATCTCCACTATTGATGGGTTATCAAAATGCCTACTTTTATTATACTTTCTGCAGTATGCAAAAGAATGCTTTTTATACTAAAATTCCTCTTTTATATGCCAGTTGTCTTTCTAGCCAACTTTATATATTTATTGGAGTCATATTCTACTCTAAGCTCCTTAACTTTTTTTTCTAGGATATATCAAGTCATATTTCATCTGAAATTCATAACATGAAGGTATATTGACAGCTTCTATTGGCAGAGCTAGAGGTTCATGTTTCACTAACATATTCAGCATCTTTAGAAGATACAGGACCTGAATCGCAGAGGTTGCTATTCTGTTGATGGCAACAAAACAGAACAAAACAACCCTGCTCATTCTTGCTTAGCCTAAGGCAGTGTTTCTCAACCTTGACAATTTTAAGGCATGTGGACTTCAACTCCCAGAATTCCACAGCCAGCAATGCTGGCTGTGGAATTCTGGGAGTTGAAGTCCACATGCCTTAAAATTGTCAAGGTTGAGAAACACTGGCCTAAGGCTTTCGCCAGCCATTTCCACACTAAGGTAGAATTTATCAAAAGATGTAGTTTTAATGATGGTAGGTAAACAGGGTAGGGGAACTGGAAAGCAGCTGCTAGTGGGGAAATCCTTTGTTTTACCTAACTTCCTCAGGCAGGAACATAAAAATCTTTTTAAAAAATTAAGCATTTCAGCCTAAACGAGGCCTTGTGCAATCAGGATAATCCCGATGCTACTTCAAGACACATTTAAATCAAGGAGGGGTTTGATAAGTTGTGTAGGTGAAAGGGAGCAGATGCGTAGCCCCCATCTAAGAACAAGTTTGGAAGCCTTGGACAAATAAAGATGCGGCAGATCAGTGCTGGAATAGTTTCCCGATTTTTACATTACTTCTGTCATCTCAGCAGCGGGACTGAAAGGCAACCTCTTCCCCTCAACATAGGCTATGGTTGATTTTCTGGCTCCCATCTCACTTTCGGGTCGTGCTTGCAAACCACTGGAGACGTCAGGACTTCCTGAGTTGAGGAGCCATGCTCGTGTCTCGCTCCCGGCTTCCTGGGCCCGTTGCAGGGTTTATGAGCCCCCCCCTCGCCTTGGGGAGGGGGCGCCGCGCCGCGACGGCCGCATCCCAGGCAACGTCTAGCGCTTCGAGGGCGTCTCCAGTCCCTGTGTGGATGGAGGAAGGCTGTGCCCAAAGACCCACCACCACTTTTTCTTCAGGGCTGCCCCCTCCCTCCTTTGTTCTCTCGGCCCCGCCCCTCCCTCACTTTTGCTTGCCCATTGGCTCATGCAGCTTTCACTCGGGGTGGGGGACCCGCTTGGTCCCGCTCCCGGACCCTGGGTGAGATTGCCGAGGCAGGGAGTCCCGGCGTTGCCTTCGTTCCGTTTTTGCCTCGTCCCGGGCTACGGCAGCGGCGCGAGACCGGCACCAGGTAAGGGCTCGCGCGCTTCCTAACCCCAGCGCGTCCCCTCCTTCAAGTCATGGCCGAGCAGGAAGGAGGGAGGCTGCTAGCCCGGGAGCCTTCAAGACCGGAGACAAAAGGCGGCCTCTCATGGCCACGGCCGGGTGCCCGCCGGGTGCCTTACTTCTGAATAGCCTGGCGAGATTCCGAGGTCGAAGGCTGCGCGCTTGTGGCGCTGAGTCTCTGGGCGGTGGGCTGAAAGCAAGACGGGGTCTGCCCAAAAGCTTGCCTTTCGGCCTGCCAGGGAGATTGCATCATGTAACAGTTCCAGACTGGGCGCGGAACGCTCTTTGCTAAATTCTCCAGGCCTAAGAAAGCCTCCCGCCTCTTACCCTGGTAGGTTGGATTGGCTGGCGGGGGATTTGGAAGGCTGAGCGGCGAGGAAATAAGACGGGCTGCCGCAGGGATCAGTCCTCCGAGCGGAGCTTCGGAGCGGCCGGGAACAGTGGGTTTCGAGGCGGGAGAGGTTTAGGGAGAAACTGTTTGCAAGCAGCGGTCTCCAGACTTCAGTTGGATGGCACCGATACTCCGGCTTTGTGTACAGTGTCCAAAACGTTAGGTTACGTTGCACAGATCTGTGCGTTACACGTTTGTACAGAGATGTAGCATAGTCAGATTTATAATTAAGACCCGCAAAATATAGGTCTCCTACATCTGTTTACGGCGAATGCTGAATAGAGAAGCAAAAGATTGCTGTTAATTAAATTGGTAGACTTGGAAAGGAGCGTATTCCCGACTAAAGTGGCACAGATTTCAGTAAGTCAAACAGTGTATGTGTATGTTTGAAATAAGTAAGAATTCATTATACTTCAATAAAAAATAACGTAACTTCTTTTAAAAACTGGTTGAAAACCTGAACAATTATTTTAATTAAGGTGCTTTCAAATAATTGCTAGCCTGTGCTAAAGACTGCACGTATTATTGTTGTAGTCTTTGTTCTAATAAAAAAAATAGCCTTCATAATGTAGTATGGTAGAATTAATTGTTAATCTTTTCTGGAAAAATTTATTTTAATCTTTGGCTTTAATAATGTGATATGCTGTATTAACATTTTATAAAAATTAGTTGAATAACAAAGTAGCACTAGGCTAATGGATCAACATAAACACTACATCAGGTGCAGGAATGGACAGAATCAAGGTAGGCAGATATAGAGCAAACATTCCACACTCATAGTTTAAAAAAACTAGAAAATAGCAACAAACATGTGTCTTTTTAGTGTGCAAAGTACTTGCAATATCTGAGATTATTGTAATAGAGTAAAATTTTAGTGGGATTTCCTATTCCTCAAATTCCATTCAATTTGTATTTGATTCTCAACTAAGGGGAATAATTTCCACCTAAAGGAACAAATGAATTTCCATTTCAAAAGGCAATAATAAACTGAGTAATTGAAGATAACATTGTTAGTAAAAACAACTATGTAAAAATATTACAATGAATAAAACTTCAAATGAAGAGAGAAGTCTAAAGCAGAAAACTGTTACATTCATTTCACTGACATTAGTTGTTCAAAATTCAATTGTTGATTCCAACTTTCACATATATACCTTTGAAATTGAACTTTCTTTATTACAGGTAGTTCTCAACTTACAACCATTTGTTTAGTCATCCTTGAAATTACAATAGTACTGAAAAAAATGACTTATGACTGGTCCTCAAATTTACAACTTTCACAGCATTCCCACCATCACCTGAGCAAAATTTGGGTGCTTGGGAACCTGCATCTATTTAAAATGGTTGCAATGTCCTGGGATCAGGTGATCACCATCTGTGACCTTCCCTGCAGTGACTCACTTAACAATCATGCCAAAAACTGGGAGCAACTCATTTAACAAACATCTTGCTCAGAAGTAGAAATTCTGGTCCCAGTTGGAGTCGTAAGTTGAGGATTACCTGTATAGACTTTGACTTCCGTTACAAATAAAAGAAAAGTAAATTGCTATAAGAAATCTATTACTCCAGAAAATATCATGCAACAATAGAATAGCGAGCTAAGTCAAACTTTGCCCATTTGTATGGCTTAATGAAGGTATTTTGTAACCCAGAATGTAAGTGAAGAGTTAACATCCCTTAAAAGATAAAGAACATAAAATGTACCTATATGACCCTCAAATCTGGAAACAATTGTGGAGAGCAAATGAGTTAAATAATTGTAAATTGGGATATCATTTAAGGGTCGTGTAGGAATACATGGACAAGAGTTTCTACCTCCCAGGAACCTGATTTTATCCTCCTTTAAATATTCTTATGTTGCAATTTCATCATTTCCCCCCCTACTTTTAGCCAGACTGGTTAGATTAGATTTCTTTTTAGTCAAGCAAAAGTAAATCAGTAGCCAAGATGATTCAACTTAATGTTATAAGTTGCTATAATGTTATATTCATTTATAATTTTTGAAAAGTATACTTGCTGTTGCAGGTTGAACACATGTAGGTAGTCCTTGGGTTACAGTGGCAGTTGTGATTTGCTAAGCAATGCGCTCATAATGCCACATCAAATGGCCATTTTGCTTAGCAACAGCCCTGATTACCATTGTTAAGGACTGTTTGGGTTGTTAAGTGAGGATCTTGTGATACTGACTTCCTACTGGCTTCCACCTTGACATTGCTTATGGGAAGCTGGCATGGAATATCGGAGATTGGAATCACCTAACTGCAACTTGCTGCAGTCGAACACCCCAATCGTAGTCATGTGATCATGTCTCTGTTTCTTTATATTCATAGTTTTCTGATATTCAAGTTTACATACTTTTTGTTAGAAATGAGTGAATCAGATATGAGTAGGTTTATCTTTTCTTTGTTGTTACTGGTGTGCCATCTTCATTGAACACCTAATATACCAATTCTTTTCTTTTTCTCTTCTTTGAACAAAACTAAATGTTTTTTTTCATATTTGTGTGTCATCCTTCAATTCTAAGTTTGAATTTTTCCTTTTCTGATCCAAGCTCTGTAGTTTCAAACTAGCAGTCTGTAATCTTCCTTTATTAACTTGATAATCTAGAACGCTATAAAGCTTTGCTGCTTTAATCCTATGCATACTAAGTGTTCATATATTTTCATCATTAATATCTGAAAATGGATAGGGATATATGTCCCTTAGTTGGATTAGATACAGTATAACAAATCTGAGGGCTACCTCAGAAGGGCTACCCCAAATTCTTGGCAAATGACAATTATCTCTGTCAGTAAAAAAGAAGAAGAGCTTTGCATTTTTGCTTTTCCTTTTCAGTATCCCTTTTTAATTTATCTTACATCTTCCTATCATCTGAGAAAGAAGATATAATTATTAATGCTGCTTGTTAATTAGAACTATACATGTTTCAGAAATGCTTAGGAAAACATGCTTCAGCCCTTAGAGAGGGAGAACACATCTGTGCTATTTGTTAAAGCAGTCTGTTTTCTCTTATTTCTGTGATTGAAAAAAAGATGCAGCTGCTTTAAGAGTCACATTAATGAGTTAAAGTCTTAATGCTATCACATATTTTTATAGACTCACGGGAGAAAAAAGGTAGGTTGTTTCTAAATGAATGCGGATATGCAGCAAATTCCAAAGTACTTATTTCAAATTATTTTTGGAGCATGCACAAGCTTAACAATTACAACAACATTTTGCTGAAAAAACAAAAGTGATATTTTTAGAAATAGTTCTGCTTAAATAACTATATTTGAAAACAATTTTACTAAACTCAGGGTTGAGGTATTTTATTTTCAAGAGAGTTTCTTTCCACTGAAATGTTAACTGCATCAAAGACAATTTTGTCAAAAAAAATTAAGAGCAGAACTTAGTTTTGAATAGAATTAATGTTTATTTGCTCAGCTATGAGCTGGGCAAGCTATGTGTTTGGTCTGTTGGTCAGAGTAAGTTAAATCTGAAGAGGAACTGTGTCCAAAGAAGATACATTTCCAGCTGGGATCTGTAATTGAAATTTTAAAAGAGGGGGCAGTCCTTATTAGGTCATTCACATTTATGAACAATACAGATAAAATCCCTAATGAATTGGCAGGAATATTCAATTTTGCTTGTACTTGGCAAGTATGCTTATTCTGGCAGAAGCCTCTGCCTTTCTCTTGAGTCTGAAAAAGGCCCAGGCTATTTCTCTGACCTCACACTTAGTTGTGGTTACAGTTGTTTAAACAATAGGACTTTTTTCAGTTCCCCAAGGGATTCCAAAGTAAGCACAGGATCAGAGAGAGACACACCCTTCTATGGGTTTCAGAAACGGCAGACATATTTGTGCTGAATCTGTCTTTTAGTCTGCCATGTCCTACATTTTCAATGGAAAATATCATTTACAGAACACATATTTAGCAAAATAATTTTCATATATAAAAATGGCTCAAAATGCTTAAACTTTTGAAGAGGTGCATCTAGTACACTATTTCAAACCATGAAAAGGGACTTATCTAGGAATGCAAAGCAATCAGCCATGCACCCATTATTTTCATTTAAGATGTAGGATTGAGCAGTGGGCTGGCAAATAGCAAGGGGGATTTTCTGAAGAGAAATGTCTTAACAGTTCCCTCTCTATACGTATGTGGGTGTATGTATGTGTGTATACACACACACAAACATACAAATACATACATAGATACATACATGGTTGTATGACAGATGTTCATGTTTAGAATTTCCTTATTCAACACAGAAAGGGGATCCAATGAAGAACTTTTGGGAGATAACGTTACTTTTGCTGTCTGTAGTTTTTGAAACCTCATTCATGTTTTGGGAAGCCCTTCCTGGCTTAGCAGGAAGAACTTGATAAGATAGTAGGGATTGGCAGTCATTTTCTACTGTGAATTTTACTATTGCCTTTAAAAAAATATTTATGGATTTTGGCACAAGAATGTTTAGACAGCATCTGCCAATAGATAATTCTTCTGTACAGGTTACAACACTTACTTACAACACTTTGTGTAGTGACTATTCAAATTTATAATGGCATTGAAAAAGATGACTTATGACCATTTTCACACTTATGACTGTTGGCCTATCCCTACAGTCACATATAATTTACGTTCGGATGCTTGACATCTAGTTCATATTTATGGCGGTTACAATGTCCCGGGGTCATCTGATCATCTTTGCGACCTTTTGACAAGCAAAGTCAACAGGGAAGCCAGATCATTTAACAACTGTGTTACTAATTTAACAACTGCACTGATTCACTTAACAACTTTGGCAAGAAAAGTCGTAAAGTGGGGCTAAACTCATTTAACAATTTTCTCACTTGGCAACATAAATTCTGTGCTCAGTTATACTGCTAGATGTATTTATATCTCTTTGGAAATAGAAATAAATTAAAAATTGCTGTCATCTGTTTTTGGAGTGGACAGAAGAGACCAGTTTCCACTGGGATTGATTGTTAGACTAGGTCAAGAGTACTGTATTTGAATCTAACTTATGATTTAGTCACCACACTTGAATGACACTAAATAAATAAAGCATTACGCAACAATTAACATTTGAATGACATTAAGAATAATTTTTTGCTTTGATTCAGTGTCTGTGCTGTTATATTTAACATTACCTTGGAAGGGCTTCCACTATTTAGGGCTTTGGTTGGGTGGCACTGAAGATTACCATACTGATTTCTTTTCTGCAGTCCTTGAAGAACTTTTATTCTCATCAGAATGAGCCCAGTTAGGGAAGTCTTTCCCAAATTAAAATTGTAAGGAGAAAAAAATTAAGGTACAGAGACGTAATATTTTAAAAAAGAAAACTAAACTTAATTTTAGAACAACATATTTAAAAATGTATGGATTTTTTCCTGAATTTCTGTAGGGTGTCCTTACTGTTTATAATTTTAAGACCAACTAACTTATTAAAGAACATAATTCATCTACCGCTTTGTGAGGTTTTTTTTTAATGTTGAGGTTGAGTATGTGGGGAGTTGATCTGATCACATGTGCAGGTGGGCTACAACAAAATTTTTCAGATGTTTACTTTATGACCGCCTACTACCTCATAGTTCCCTACGTCCGGTTAGATCCCACAGGCTGGGCCTCCTTCGGGCCCCATCGGCCAAGCAGTGCCATTTGGCAGGGCCGCGGAGGAGGGCCTTCTCTGTGATGGCGCCCACGCTTTGGAATCAGCTCCCCCCGGAGATTAGGACCGCTCCCACCCTGTTGGTCTTCCGTAAGCTACTTAAGACCTGGCTTTTCCGGCAGGCCTGGGGTTTATAAAACCTTACCCCTGGATGATTGTTTTTGTATTGTTGTTTGTTATGTTTTATGTGTTTTTTATTGTTACTGGTAGTTTCCGGCGTATAAGACGACGTTCTAGGAATGCGACTTGGTGCCAAAGATAGGGGTCGTCTTATACGCCGGGTCGCCTAATACGCCGGCATATACGGGTAGTTTAATTCCTCGCAGTTATAAGAAATCTACTATAAAACATTCCTGATAACTGGCTATCCAGCCCCATCTTGCAAACTTCTGAGGGAGCATCGCTACTCTGAACAACTCATACCAGCAAAAAGAAAGAAAATGGCGCCGATTTTAATGCTTGCGGAAGTCGCCTTATACGCCGGCATATACGGTAGATATGCTTTAGCACACATTCCTGTTCTTTGATTAACATTTTTTATTTATTTAGTCAGATGACTAATTCTGATTGATTTTATGGCATCAAATTGTTGTTGGCTCTTAACAGCCACATAGATTGTGGTAGGGGGCTGTTTCTGAGTAGTATGGGCAAAGAACATCAAGTGTGCATGCTAAAAATATGTATATCTCCCAGGAGGATCACATAAGTTGTGAAGGTCATCCCACTGCCTAGTTAAAGCAAGCAGAAACCTATTCTTGGGCAGCAGTGATATAGGAAGATGCCGGATGCAGCAAAGAATACTATTCATACTATATAGAAGAAGAAGGCAACGGTAAATAACCCTTGGATTTTTACCAAGAAGACCACATAGATAGACCAAATCTAGTCACATAAATGAATTATAATCTCCTTTTCAAGAATTAGCTGAGCTTGATTGTGCTTAACATCTGAATCCTGATGTGGTCAGGCAGATGCTGCCACCTGCTGAAAAGCTCTGTGAAGGCTATAACTAAGCATTAAATGAAACTGTTTCCAAAGTCAGTGAGATTCCCATCTGGGTAATGGCCACACACTGATCTTTAAAAAAAAAAATTAAATAGGATCTCATCTGGTTAGAACAGGGGTGTCAAACTGCCGGCCTCCAGGCCGGTTTCATCATACTGGAGCCGCGCCCACCCCATTGCCGGCAACGGTGAAAAAGCTCCGATACGTTGCGTGATGTCACATGATGTCGCGAGTTTGACATGTCTGGGTTAGAATGTGAATCCAAGACCACTAGGTAAACCCAGGGTTATAGGTTAGCCTGGGAAATAAAAAAAAATACACAAAAAGATAGTAGCAAATAAATTCTGTAATCTTGCTAGGAAAATTTCATAAATGTGGCATCAGCATTCAGCCTTGACTCAGAGAAATCTTTGTCTTATAAGAGTAAAGGGAGGAGCTAGCTTGGTAACGAAAGTAGACATTTGGTGATACATGGAATTATGCAAACATTTTTGTGATGGGAAAGAAAAGGATATTTGGTCTTGATTATGTTGACTGATGTAATGTTCTGTTCAAGTTGTTCACTATATAAACTACACCTGATTGCATTTGGCATACAAGCAATAATAGGTCAGTTAGGTGTGGCTTTCATATTTGAAGTACTATGCCAAAGAACTTCTAAGCATCTAATTTCTTTTATATGTTGTAAATGAATGCAGAAAAGGAACATTGAGTATAGAGGTTTTAATAATACTTCAAACACTTCAGAATTCTGAAGCATTTTTATTTTACAGAGTATTGAAAAATTTGGTAAATAAACATTTTCAGTTAAAAATCATGAATATAACTGAATTGAATTTTACATATATATTTTGTGAATAGAAAGTCTCAAGTCTGAAAATTTATGTTATAATAACTTTAAATAAAATAGTTACTTGATTTCTCAGTCACAAATCAAGATACTTGTCTCTCTGTATATTGCATATACCTTTGATAAATGAACTTGGAGAGGAAGAAATTTTAATTTCAATAAAAGCACTTTTTATTAAAAAAAAACTTATGTGAAACAGATTCTTTGGGACTTTGGTAGGTTGGTGTTGTGGGTAACATGTTGTGGACTGAAGTAATAGGATATGGCAAGTCATACTTTGACTATTTCTAAGCATATCTTGATTAAACCTTGATGTGGAAACTTCTTTTTCTTATCTATAGGGCTACAAGAATTATATAGATAACTTTTTGCTGTGTATATTCTGACATATTTTATTGTCACTAGATGTAAAAACACTTAAATACAGTATTTAACAATGAAGTTAAGTATGTGATAGATTAAAAATAAAACAAATTAGTACTAAACATTTCAAACTGAAAACACATGATAATTGAAGTCTTTATTTATGGAGCATTCTGTTGGGATAAAACAGTTTCCATGTTGGCAATATACAGCATGCTGTGAGATTATTAAATTTACATGACTTTGTCTTAAACAGATGGTGGCATTAGCTACTTAATTCTGAAATAAATCTTTTTAATTTACTAGTTATTAATGGCAAGATAAGTAAAGCATTCTCAGTTTTCCTCATGAAGCTTATGTGAATGAATGATGTTTATTACTTGATCCAAAGGTTCAGCAGATTAGAACCCTCATGACAAACTTGTATCTGGATATGAAGTTTGCATTCAGAAGTAAGATGCCAGAAATATGAAAAGCTGCTCCCAAGATCTCATGAGTCTTTAATGAATGCCTCATCATTTGTAAACTTGCCAGCAGGACGTAGAGATAATTCTCCTTACTAGCAAATTGTCTTTTGAACATAAAAGATTTCATTTTGCTAAAGCAAGCAGCCATAAGTTTTTCCTCCCTTAATATTTTCAATTTTGTTAAAAGCATCTGAACCTGACTGAGGGTTATTCAGAATTCATACACTTTAATTGAAGAATATATAATTACCATTTTATTTCAATTTATAAAATACAACATGTAAATAATCTGTAGAGTACAGGTATCTCTTTATGTAAATATATATAATATATAATTGCCAAGTTTAAAGAAATTATGCTTCTAAAATTCAGCAGCACACATTTCTCCTGTGTTTAACTTCTTTTGCTTACTAAGTTTATTCTTTTTTTGGCACCTTGTATAAAGTTGTATACTTCAAAAAACAATACTATGATGGATTTGTATGTATATGATTAGGCAGCTATTAATGATAATTTTAATACATTGCAATATAAATATATAGGTCTTTGGTTATTCGGGTTTTCTCCCGCGTAAAATTGGAAGTGTCTTGGCGACGTTTTGACGAAGCCTGAAGATGACGAATGGGACTTCATCGAAATGTCGCCAAGACACTTCCAATTTTACGCGGGAGAAAACCCGAATAACCAAAGACCTACATACAAACACCCGTGAAAACCTCAGAAAACATATATTTATATTTATTTATATTTGTTTATAGAGCTCCTAGGTTATGTGTTATAAAAAATATTTTAGGTTCAATTTAGATGCTTTATTTTTACCTTTCAGCCATGGAAGAATTAATAGTTGAACTCCAGCTGTTTCTTCAACTTCTGGACCATGAATACTTGACATCTACAGTCAGGGAAAAGAAAGCAGTTTTAAACAACATTCTTCTAAGGATACAGGCAACAAAAGGTCAGGGTCATTCTCATACTGTTTACATACATGATGCTCTAAAGCAGTGGTGGCGAACCTATGGCATGGGTGCCAGAGGTGGCACTCAGAGCCCTGTCTGTGGGCACGTGCGCCATCTCCCTAGTCCTAGGCCTTCAACTGGGTTTTATAAAACCTTTTTGCTTTAGGCCTCTGCCGCTGTGTACAAAAAAAAAGGTTCAATCAATCAGTCAATTTCAACTTATTGCGGGAAAAAAAAATCTTGCAAAGTTGGAATTGATTGATTGAACTTTTTAGTCCCAACCAGTCTGCTGTTACCACCGCAGCCACGCCCACCCAATGGGCCACACCCACCTGGCACCCGACGATGCATGTGGGTTTTGGGTTGCAGTTTGGGCACTTGGTCTCTAAAAGGTTCGCCATCCCTGCTCTAAAGCAACATGCAGAGACAGAAAGAAAACAATCGAAATCCTCACCTCTGCCATCCGATATAGTGTTTCTGTATTTATGCAAAACACTTTAGAACTTTTTTGGGGCTGTTTTCCTGTCTCCCTATGAGGAGGTTCTATGGGAGCTGCCTGAAAGATAGAGGGATGTCTTCATGACCATTTCATTCTTTTCTGTTTAAGGTATTGAACTAGGAGCAGGGAGAAACCCACTGCCTTTCTCTCAGGCCAACCTATCTCATAAGATCCCTGTGGGAAAAATGTGGAGGGGGGGGGGAAACTCTATACACTGCCTTAGAGTTCTGGCAGAAAGGCAAGATACATAACTAACACACACCCGAGCAAATGCACTGGGCCTTATGCTAGCTGGGAATTTGAGGAGCTTTACCCAACAGTTCTGGCAGACATTAGACTGGGAAAGGCTGCCTTCTAATATAGATTAATGGTTTTGTGTATTGTGGAATAGTCCTTCTTTTCAAGCTTTTGCTTTTCATTTGATGAGATATTCTGTTTTCTTTTTTTCATTTTCATATATACATATGTTTGTATCATCAAATATTGTGGAAAGTTTTTCACTCCATTTAATATTTTCTGTTGTAAATGCATTTTTCCCTTTCTGTTAGACTTTGAGGTAAAAGAAAATGTACAGAGACAAGAGATTGCCATCAATTTACCTGCACCACCTCAGATGCCTTTGCCAGAAATCCCACAGCAATGGCTGGTAAGTCTGTCATAAGAGATCTCATTTTTCCTTTCCTCAATTTTTAAACCAAGCTACATATTTATCTGAATTGGTTCCTTCTAAATTATTGTATAAAGAATGTTTCATTTATTTCAAGTAATTATTTAATGACAACCAAATATTATTCCATCACCAATTGGATGTCTTATACTTATTCAAAATTCATTTAAGATCTCATTTAAATGTTTAATATTTTGTTTATTTTATGAAAGGTTTCAGCAGATAAGTAGTTTTCTTTACAGATTACTTACACAAGTTATTCATCTGGTGTGTTAGCTAGTATCACCAAAATAAATTTGCATGCGAAATGTTTTTCAAATTATAACTGGGTATTAGGTGTTTGTATTTATGTAGTTAGTAGTTATGTAAAGAAAGGTGAAGGTTTCCCCTATCCCAGGGGTGGGCAACCTTGGCTCTTTTATGACATATGGACTTCAACTCCCAGAATTCCTGAGCCAGCATTGACTGGCTCAGGAATTCTGGGAGTTGAAGTCCACGCATCATAAAAGAGCCAAGGTTGCTTACTCTTGCCCTATCCAGTCATGTTTGACTCTAGGGAACGGTGCTCATCTCTGTTTTTTACCTGAGAGAGCCAGCATTGTCTGAAGACATTTCCATAGTCACGTAGCCAGCATGACTACACACCAAGGTGCACAGAATGCTTCCCACTTCCCTTGAAGTGGTACCTATTTATCTGTTCACATTTGCATGCTTTCGACCTGCTAGGTGGGCAGGAGCTCACCCTGTTGTACAGCACTCGGGTTTTGAACCTGGGCTGTCAGCTTTCCAGCTGACAAGTTCTGTTCTATCCCAGCCTATAGCCGTCCTTGTTAAAGGCACAAGGACCAAACCCCTGTTGATAAAATAGGCTGGAGACTTTAAAACAAAACAAACCCCTTTAATATGGGTGACAAACCTGCCAAATAGTCCAAAACACAAACAGCAAAACTCAATCCAAATGAAGGAAATAGTCCACAGGAAACACGATGCAAACAGAAGAATAGTCACAAACAAGATGAACAGACCAGGATTCAAAGAAGTACTTTGCAAACGGTTGCCTTCAGCAACCAGCACCGCCCACGCCTCCTCTTTTTATACAGCAGTCCCAAGACGTTGCCTCTCAGTGCTTTCTCCTTTTACTCTGGAGTTGCCGTATTGACTGCTGCTGATTTACTCTCACTAATTGACGACGTGTGCATGCATCAATTAGCATGTCCATCAGGTGTGAGTCCTCCGAGTCTGACTCATTCTCCTCACACAGCTGAGCTTCATCAGGAACACGACTGGAGGGCCCAGGCTCTGCATCAAACCATGAGTCCTGTAATTCATCAGAGCCTCCCTCTGCCCCTGTGGCCCTTCTAATGCCTCCTCCATCTCCTCCTCAGATTCCTCAGACTCAGCTGTTGGGAGCACAGGCTGGCACGGAATCACAACAAGCTCAGCCTCTTTAACCGCTGAGCCATCGCGCCCCCAGCAGTTATGTACTATATGACATATCTGAGATCGATGCAAAATAATTACCTTTTATTTCCATTAGTTTATAATTGATAATTATTAGCATATAACTGATGATATTTTGCAGTATTTAACAGTTTCGTGTCCAACCCATCGCAACCCCATGGACAACGTTCCTCCAGGCCTTCCTGTCCTCTACTATCTTCTTGAGTTCATTTAAGCTCACGCCTACTGCTTCAGTGACTCCATTCAGCCACCTCATTCTCTGTCGTCCCATTCTTCTATTGCCCTCAATCTTTCCCAGCATTAGGCTATTCTCCAGTGAGTCCTTCCTTCTCATTAGGTAGCCAAAGTACTTGAGTTTCAACTTCAGTATCTGGTCTTCTAGAGAGCAGTCAGGGTTGATCTCCTCTAGGACTGACCGGTTTGATCGCCTTGCAGTCCAGGGGACTTGCAGGAGTCTTCTCCAGCACCATAGTTCAAAGGTCTCAATTCTTTTGCGCTCAGCCTTTCATTTAACAGTTAATATGAAATTATAAAAAAGGTGATTTTCAGATTTTCTACTTTTCAGGAATAATGTGTATATCATATATCAAAGGGCTTTTAGCTCTCTTCCAATACTGTAAAACAAACAAACAGGAAAGAATGATGGGCTCATTCTAAGCATGCAAAAGTTCTCATTAGCAGAAGGTGGTAGCAACGCGGACATTTGCGCTTTTAGAATGATTCAGAAAGAGAGGAAATGCTTTGACACCCTCGGCTGGTGCCTACTTGGCTTTAGTCTAAAAGTGGCCCTGCCCTAGGATACCGTGTAAAAACCACAATGAATCATAATTATTAAAATTATTGTTTTTAATTACTATTAAAATCTGGCCATTAGATCAGGGACAGGCAGCCTGTGATCTCTGGCTTAATGGTATGTGTGCCAAAACATGTTTCCCTTCATGCAACTCCTGGTTTGGAGGGAAAAAGAAAGAGAATCCAAAAGAGGAGGAGAGAAAAAGATAAAGGCCTGTTAGGAGGGAAAAAATGTAACCGGAGGGAATGGTGTTTCTTAACCCTTCTGAGTCTTGAAGCACCCAATTTTTATTTCATCCCTATCTATTACACACCCTCCCCAAAAGATTACCTCAATGAATGTGGACCTTGATAGTATATACTCACATTTTGAAATAACAGGTATTATTTGTAAATATTTTACATATATTTTCTTGGTCCCAGCCCTTTAATAAGTCAGAAGAATGTGCACGCCCACAAACACACATACAGTAACAGCTCTTGGTATGCTAATCTTAATGTACAAATGAGGGAGCAATATGTTTTGTTTGCATTATAATATAAATGTATTTCTTCTTCTTCTTGTGCCATATCTGCTATCGGACGTTGGCGATCATGTTGGCGATCCTGTTTTTATCAGCAGCTGCACGAAAAAGTGCTGCTGAGTTTTGTCCAAACCAGTCCCTTAGATTTTGAAGCCACGATGTTCTTCTTCTGCCTGGACCTCATTTGCCTTCAATCTTTGGTGGTTTTGGAGGAAGGTTTATTGTTGCGTGCTTGTACTTTTATGGTAGATGCTTTATTGTTGCAATTGTAACCTGACAAAAGTCATTCAATTGCAGTAGCCCAAAAATTGATTAACTGAATTAATAAACTGAATGAATGTATGAATGAATAAATCTAATGGTATGTGGAACACTTTAAACACATTTCAGCTTAATTGATGTTGATGCATTTAAAAAAAATGAAAAAAGATTGTTTGGGGAATGATATCTGTTAAGCTGTGTAGAATTGCATTAAAGAATGAAGGTTTTATAACAAATCAATAATAAAAGATCAAACAACTGTTCTTTATATTAATGTTTTTCTTTGATTGGTGAATTTGCTTAATTCCCCCCCCCCATTTAGCCCCCAGATGATGGTCCTCCTCCATTGCCTTCCTCTTCTCTTCCTGAAGGTTACTATGAAGAAGCTGTGCCACTCAGCCCAGGGAAAGCTCCTGAATACATTACATCCAGTGAGTAAAATATACCTTTAAAGCAGGGGTAGTCAACCTTGGCTCTTTTATGACTCGTGGACTTCAACTCCCAGAATTCCTGAGCCAGCTAAGCTGGCTCAGGAATTCTGGGAATTGAAGTCCACGAGTCATAAAAGAGCCAAGGTTGACTACCCCTGCTTTAAAGGGATGCAAGTATATTTCTTGTTTAATTATTTTCATTTATGAATATAAAATTCAATTGTAATTCTTTAAAGAAGACTATTCACAAGTATCTCCCACTATAGCATACTTTATTAAAATGGTATTCTTAACCAGCTCCTAATGAACCTGTGACTGTTTCTAAATAACATTAAGATATTGCAGAACTTACCAGGAATAGTACTATTGGTTTGTTACACATTTCTTGTGTATTTAGTCTGTTTTTATTGTTACTAAATAATGCTCATCTTCTCGTAAATATATTCCTAATACAGTCAGAATGGATGAGATAATGCTGGTCTAAGATAGGTAACAGGTGACGGTCAAGGAGGTATTATGAATTTGAAGCAGAAATCAGTGAAGTAAAAGACTGAAATATCAGAGCCACGATTCCTGTACAGGACTTTTTGCTGAACTTCTTCAAGCAAGAATTTCTAGAGTAACTTCATGGCAATTCACTATGCAATTCATTATAAAAATCTAAGTAGGAGATTACAAGCCATAGATTATTATAGCTTCATTGTTTAGATATATATTCCACCTTCCATTGAGAATCTTAAGGTTGCTTACCAGGGTCTCCCTTTATTTTATCCTTATGCTAGTTTAAAGGGGAGGTTGGGCTGAGTGATAGTGACTGACCCAAAGTCATTCAGTGAGTTTTCAAGGCTGAAGGCAGAGATAAACCTGGATGTCCCCGTTCCTGATCCAGTATGTTATTGCTACATCCAACTGGCTCTAAAAAGAATCGTCATGCCATGCACCTGAAACATTGGATTCCTTTGTCTGGGGAACTGTCATCACAGTGGCAGAATTAACTTGTGGGGGATAACTGGACCAACTCTCCAGGGCTGCAAAGTTTAGGGTCTCCAAAACCCTGCATCTTTCTTTATGGGTGAAGATGTAACAACCTGTAATGAAAGACGTTTAAATATTATTGCTTGCAATTTCCTTTGCATTCATAAAGTTTACTTTTCATTTCTGAAAGAGAAGATCTTATTACTGTAGTCATATATAGAACATTGTTTAAATGTTTTTGTAACTTTCAGGAGAAAGCATGTTCCCACAACCACTTGTCAGGCAATAATGAGAGTTAGTTACAAGTAGTCTTTGACTTAATGACCGTAAGTAAACCCAGAATTATAATCATAAGTTGTACTGGTTGTTAAACAGGTTATCATGGGATTGATCTGATTTTATGATGTTTTTTCAGCAGTTAAGTGAATCACCATGGTTGTTAAGCAAAATTGTGATCATTAAACAAATGCCACTGTCGTTAAGCAAACCTAATGTTCGCAATGGGTGTATTTTTGCTGGAAACTGGAAGTAAGTGGCAGTTTCCTACAAAAATTTAGTAAGTTGCTGTCATGTCACTGAGGGGGTGCTGCAAATGACCATAAATGCAGGTTGATTGCCAAGCTCCCAAAATTCAATCATGTGACTGCAGGGCAGGCCTGGTTATTGGATCTTTGAACCTGGGTTGTAATTTCCATTCTGGGGTCTGTTAATAACTTTGAATGGTTGCTAAGCAACCAGTCATAAGTCAAGGACCACTTGTAGTTAACTTTTCAGTTGCCAATTTCTAGGTTTATATAGTTAATTTTTTTATGTATAAGGAAAATTTTACCAGTTAAATATTTTATCATTCATGTAATAAAAATATACAATCATAAGGAAAGATCAGCCACACTTGCTTTATTATTTACACTTTTAGGTTTGGTATTATTTATGACTCCAAAGTTAGCTAATTTTGCTTGTAAAAGTATTTTTTTTATATAAATATCCATAGAATTAAATCTATAGAGTATATAATTCCCTGCTGTTAACTTTTAAGGCAAAAGTGCATTTTATTAAATTATGCTGTTATAATGTTATACAGCACCAACTGGTTAATTCCAAATGTGACTTTGTTGGCCTGTTATATGCAGGTTTTATTTTAATAGAACTCTTTTTGCCTCTTCAGATTATGATTCTGATGCAATGAGTAGTTCATATGAATCTTATGATGAAGAAGATGAAGATGGAAAAGGGAAAAAAATGAGACACCAATGGCCTTCTGAGGAAGCATCAATGGACCTTGTTAAGGATGCTAAAATTTGTGCCTTCCTTTTACGAAAAAAACGATTTGGACAGTGGACCAAACTATTGTGTGTGATCAAAGAAAACAAACTGTTGGTAACTAAGCCTTATGGATTTTATTGAAATGCCAGTTGCAGTGTATTTAAGTTCAGAATTATGCTGGAAAGTAATCTGTATGGCTCAGGAGCATTTGCTTAAGTATCACAATTTAATTTGTCTTTTTATAGCTTAGTTCTCCTACACAAAAAAGCAGGTAGCGAGTACCTAACTTCTGCAATATATCTTTGTGGTTTTTCTGAAGTATGATTACTTAACTGGAATAGCATGGGCAGCCAAGACCCAAGCAATATTTGAATTCTGACTGAATTAAAACTAATGATAAAATTTTGCAGAAGATTTAGGCAGGTTGAAAAAGACATATAGAATAATTAGATTGAAGAATATTTAAGAATGTTGTGCAGTGCTGGTACTTGGAAGGCATCTTGACATACAGACATTCAAGTCTTGATTTTGCCCTTTTTCCAAAATCCAGCCCCAATTTAGAATAATTTAAATAATGATACTGTAATAATGGATAGTGCTACATTGGGAGAATAATATAATTATTTCAGCGTCAGTTTCTGACACTGGCTGCTTTTGACAATTGGTTGCCAAAAATTAATCTTGAAAAAATTCTCTATATTGAGAACCTTGATACTGTCGGCATGTTCATTAAAAAAGTGTTGGAAAAGCATAATACTGGAACATGACAGAAATCATTTTTATTTATCTATCAAATTTACATAGTCATCCAACTCACACTTGTCTATGGGCAGTGTGCAACAAAACAAGCAATTAAAAACAAATCTAATATAACCATTACAAACAATTCCACATAAAATAAGACTGTGGGAGAATGGACCAACTCCTACATGCAATACAACCATATTGCAGACTCCATAGGGTCCTCGAACCAGCTGGAAAAAACTCATTTTATGGAGCAGATCCAGACAAATACTATGGTCAATGATATTGAAGACTGCTATGAAATAAAGACAGAATGGATGCACTATCTACATCCTGCCCCTGCCAGAGATCATCCAAAAGCATGACTAAAGCCCAGATGTCAATCCTGGCAGAAGGGTCTCTAGATAATCTGCTTCATAGAGAGTCTATGGAAGCTGCTGGGTAACCACATTCTTCATAGTTTTTCCTTAAATAGGAGAAATTGGAATTGGATGAAAATTGTCCAACAATATTATTCATATTTCAGCTGAGATTAATGCTGGTTTTTAATAACAATTTTTGTCGTCTATTGTAACTATTATTGTCAAAGGGTTTTTTGCCATTGTTAATTTGTGAATAATGGAAAGATGATGTGAATGAAATTGTTTATTTAATGTGAAGTTGATGTTTGCTCAGTGAAGTTTGATTCTCACGTTCTTATTTTTGCCCCTAGTGCTATAAAAGTTCCAAGGAGCAACAGCCTCAGATGGAACTGTTATTGTGTGACTGCAGTATTACATATATTCCCAAAGATAGCAAAAAGAAGAAGCATGAACTGAAAATTGCACACCAAGGTCAGGATGCTCTAGTTCTTGCTGTACAAAGCAAGGAACAGGCAGATCAGTGGCTGAAGGTATGTCACGTTATAATCAGTTCCATTGCTCACCCTTCCATTGATTAATTTAATACAAAGTAGTGATTGATAAAAATGTATTTAAAATGTGTGAAATCTTAGCATAAAATCAAATATGTAAAATATTAATTTCACCCCATCATTAAACTCATAGTGATATAGGAATTCAGCCAATCAACATGTTAAGTAATAAATTAGGGTTGGACAAATAAACATTGCTCCCTTCTGACACTAGCATGATTATTTAATTCCAATAACCTAATAATGTGGGAGAGGACAATTTCTCTTTTGCAAAGTATTAAAGTTTGGAAGCAGCAATAGATTTGCTGACAATTGCAGGTCTAGATGTGTCTTAAATTTATGTGGCTTAAATTAATTATTGGGTAGTTACAGATGCAATTTAGAACAATTATATCTTGTTCAATTCCAGTTAATTTAGATTTTGAAAATAAAACAATACTGAATTTAAAAATTGTACTTAGGCATATGTTGCATATCTGCTTATTTTAAAGGAATTGACCTTCAACTCCAAAGTATTTATTCCTTACAGGTATTTGCTCTTTTAAAGCACTGTCCCAACAATTTAGGTCACAAAACCTAAAACTCTTTAAGACCTGGTTTTGGGGAGATGCCAGCGGACTGACTACTTTTGATCCAAATTAACCCAACCTTGCAGTCTTGTATGGAGAAAAGTGGTGCAATATCCAATTGCCCTTAGATCTGTTTGTTTTTGTTTTTATGGCTGGCACGCTCTTTCATTTCATAATACAGAACATAGGCAGTTGGACCATGTTATTTTCCCCCTGAGGATGGGTTTTCAGAGCACGTGTAGTTGCTTTTTCTCTAGCCAGGGATTGAGGCACAGCTGACCTTCTCTTTAACACTTTCATCTTTAGAGAAATAGTAGTCTTAGGCTTTTCCCTCTCATCTGCAAAAATCTTTGTGGTATACTGATAATGCCTTGATACTTACTGGTCCTATGTTCATGTTTTTTTCTGCTCATCTTCAGACCCCTGTACCTTAGACCTGGGAACAAGAAGAGAGACAGGCAATATTTTCAGGAGCTATATTTCCAAAATTTAATAGATTCTTTTTCATATAAGATATATTTCATATGAGATACTGTACAGATTTAACAAAGAAAAAAAAAACAAGATTGTGCTTATCTATAACTGTCTGCACTTATGTGCCTTGCAGAGTTTATGAAAAAGCACAATAGGAAACTTGCATGCAGATATCAAAGATCTTTTCATAAAAGAAGTTAATACCCAGAACAAATCTTTTTCACCCCAACATATTATTTATTTATTTTGATTGATTGCCAATTAGTATTATTGGGAAGAAAATAAACGTACAGGAAAAAACAACCCACTACAGAATTAAATTATTCTGCCTTAATTCAGCTTTTAGAAATCAATCCAAATAAGATTCATCTAGAAAATATTCTAAACCCAAACCTCTCCAGAACAGAGAAAAAAAATTCATAACTTTTGAGTGAAGCAACTTAGAGATTCCCTTTTGGTGCCTTTAGGCTGCACAGTAGTAAAAAAAACCAAAAAACTTAAATCATACTTAAGGATAATAATACAATATCCTGAAAAGGTAACCACAAAGTTCTGTAGAATTCAAGCTCTATAGCAGTGTTTCTCAACCTTGACCATTTTAAGGCATGTGGACTTCAACTCCCAGAATTCCACAGCCAGCATTGCTGGCTGTGGAATTCTGGGAGTTGAAGTCCACATGCCTTAAAATGGCCAAGGTTGAGAAACACTGCTCTAGAGGCATTTGAAGCTCAAATTGGGACTTGGGATTAGGTAGGAAACTAGTGCCATAGAGCTAGATTAATACTACTTTTAGAATATTAATGTTTTTATTCTTGCATTTAATTTGACAGTTTGCAAAACTCTTAATCTTCCCTTTGGGGACTGAACAGAAGGGTAGACTGGCAGCAGACACATATCTCTCCTTACTCTGTTAAAACATCCCTAGTTCCTAATTTTGTAGCAAACAGTTTGGGATGGAAACAGCTGTCCTGATAACAGTGAGGGCCTGGGTTCTGTCTTGCTGGAACCATGACATCTATCTTTTGAAAGAATGCATGATTTCATAGGCACAGCTCACGGCCAAATTATTCTCTTTGTCCTCTCTCTGACATCTGTGTCTTTTGTAGCCAAAACTAATTGCCTCTGGGATGAACAGATACTGAAAACATGAGCAATATCCTAAGGGTCACTGAAGAGGCAGAAGCAAAAATACAGAATACAGAAATACTTGCACAGCTAAAAGGGATACTTAAATTGAAATACAAATCACATACATTTTTTAAAGAAAAATCCATATAGATATGCTGTTTAATATATTAAAGCAACAGCATTTTCTTTAGCTTATGGTATGGAAGGGGGAGAATAAGCAGGTTAGGATTTTTTGATGAAGGAAAAACAGGAAGAAGCAACTTAAATTTTGTTTCTGTCATATTCTGTAATAAAAGAAATATTTTGGTATTGTAGGAATTATACATTTTATCTTACTAATAGTCCAAGAGCTGTAATCTAGAAATTGGGGGTAAGCATATTGTTCTGCTTAAGCATATTTTATTCCAGGCCTGAAAAGCAAATCTCTTGGAACATGCATTCTTGTCCTACAGAACAATTTTCAAATATCTCAGAAGAGGACCTGGAAGAGGAATCATTTTGCTTACAGTTTGTCCCAGAATTAGTACTGCTTACAGAATTCCCACAGGGAGTGCATGATAGCAGTTTTCAAAAGAATTTTGAAACATTGTAAGAATGATAGGCACATGTTGGAAGATTAACTAATCTCATTATGCTTTTGAGGAGAAGGGTAAAGGTTTTCTCTTTAACCACTACCATCAGCTTTATTTGAAAGCAGATTCCACTGCCTCTCTTATTCAGAGTGTTTGTGCAGTCAATGGAGGGGAGGTGGGGATAGCATTGCCTGGTGTTATATTGTTTGTGTTACAAGAATTTACTGCCTTTCAGTCAATGTCTCTGGTAGACCCAAAGAATTTTGGCTGAAGTAACTCCTTGCTGCTGTTACCTATAAAGAACTCTCATTGTGGCAGAGTTTTGTGCTAAGATTTGCTACATTCATTAAATAGTGGTTATATGAAACTATGGAAGTTAAGCAAAAATGGATAGGTGGAAATGCTGGTTCCAAATAGAGTTGTTAAGCAAGAACTAACCTGTACAGCAGCATCTTATTGTACGAGAGGAAGTGGTTCAGTCCATCAATAAGATCAGTTGCAAGTAAAAATAACAAGAAATATGCCATCTCTTTCTCTTTTTTTTTCAATACAACGATATTTTTATAGTAAAATTAAATTCTTGGTATTCCTTTATTTTCAAACCATACAATATTATATGTAAAGAAGAAAATAAAAATTCTATCCATATTCATTACAATTTAGGATAACAGTGTTAGAAGCAGTATAACATTGATTATAACAGGATTTATTTCAGACGAAGTTAAATTTAACATTGAAAAGGAAGGGATAAAAGAAGAACACACTGTGACCTACATAGATGTATTTGTTATTTAATAAATGTTTCAAGTGTTAAGCTAAGTTATTTTTAAGTTAATTTGCCCATCTTTTAATTTATAGTAATGTAACTTCCATTGTTTATTTTTATTGTTTCATTGCTTTGCTATTGTTGTTTTTACATTTTTTAATCATTATTTTTCGGTTTTACTGTTGTAAGCCGCCCAGATAGAGCCCCATAGCAGGATGGGGTGGCAAATAAATTTAAGCAAACAAATAAATAAATATTTGATATTGAAGCTCCATTGTATTGTTACTTGATGTGTGTATGTGAGTGTGATTGTATGTGTGTAATGTTTATACAGGTTATCCTCAACCTACAACAATTTGTTTGATGACCGTTTGAACTTTCAACAGCACTGAAAAAAGTAACTTAAGATGGTTTTTCAAACTTATGACCATTACAGTATCCGCATGATCAAAATTCAGATGCTTGACAACTGACTCATTTTTATGATTGCTGCAGTGTCCCAGTTCATGTGATCCCCTTTTGCTACCTTCTGACAAGCAAAGTCAGTGGGGAAGCCATATTCACTTAACAACCATGTTACTACCTTAACAACTGCAGTGATTCACTTAAGAACTGGGGCAAGAAAAGTTGTAAAATGGGGCAAAATGGAAATTTGGGGCTCAATTGTGATCGTAAGTTAAGGACTACCTGTACATGTTGATAAAAAGAAAACATAAATAGACAAAGTAAGTTCATAAAATTAAAATACTAAGAGTAAATAAGATAAAATAATTGAATTTTTAAAAACAGCTATTATACCTCTTTTCAGTTTAAACTTGAGTTGAAAAGTTCAATTTGAATTTAAGCTGTCTAGCAATTTTCTAGGTGCATATGTACATAAAAGGGGAAGAACTGGATGACAAGAAGGAATGTTAAATCTAATTAAAATCTAAATCTAATGACAATTGACTATTAAATCTAATAAGAAACAGAAGGACAACTACGGCCATAAGACATAAGCATTCCTCTGTCCAGAATGAAAAGCCTCAGATATGGAATTGAACTTTTTATCTGTAGCTTTAATGCCTCCTTCATGTCAGGCATAAAATGCTAACTGAGTAAATGGCAGATACCCTAGCAAATTCTCATTCTCTAACTATCAAGATTATAACTGGTCATTCATTTTTTTAATATCATCATTTCCTTTCAGTATAAGCTTTTGTGAGTTTTTTTAAGTTTTAAGCATGATACCAATGAACATATTTTTCTATTCTTTAAAGGTAATAAAGGAAGTTTGCAGCACCTACGTTAGCACAGTAGATTCAGATGGACCATCATCTAATTCTGTATATAAGACTGATCTTGAAAAGGTAATTAAATTTGAAACAACAAAATACAATATGATGGTTTCAGGTTGTTCAGAAATCATTATGAACCAGGAATCCTGAATTATTAATTCTCCAAGGAGATGGACAGTAGTGTGCTGGTTCATGCAGCCCATTCATCTTTGCTTTAGTCTTCTGTCCATGTGAGGTTCCCAAACAAATTTAGCAGGAGTGAAGTTGGGGTGGTGGTTTGTTTATTTTAATATGTAAGTAAGGCAAGATTGTAAACTAAATACAAACTAGAAGTTATGGTGTAGCCCATAAATATACATTATACTGTGGTGTCTCCTCAGATTATATATACACCATGGCTTAATAAAGTATGAGCTGTAGGATCAAGTGATGTGCCGACCTGGCTAAAGAATCAAATGTCACTAGTTTCTATAACATTTAAAGTAAAATGCTAAATTTCATTGTCACTATTAGAAATCAAGATTTATCAATGTTGCTAATTTCTGTGCCTATGTATAATTTCCCTATTCTATATTATAGAGATAGCAATAAATGCTTTTTCTTCAAAAACAGGTTTAGTGTATTTGATCTCTTTACATTTTTGGTTGGCTTATATCAAAAAAATAATATATGATACGTTTATTTGTGGACGAAATCTAAATAACAAATGTCCTTATGCTGTGTGTCAGAGCATAAAGTACAGGGTAGATTGATTGTGGTAGTATGGGATATGGAAAATACAGTACTGCTGAAAATTAAAATTATACACTATGATGTATTTACATTGGAAAAAAGTTGCCCATGCCATTGCTGTTTCTTGTAAAATAAAAGTGGGGATGAAGATGTCTAAGTTACAGACTTTGGAGAGTTATCTGGAATAGTAAGAATTGCAAGGACACCTGTGAGGCTTGTCTTGTCTCAGAGGTTTTCTTTTATTTAATTATTTTTAAATGTTATTGAAATTCTGCTCTCTCTTAGGAATGTCTTAAATATTCACAGGCACTTACTGTCAGCTGTATAAGGTAGATCAGTTTAAGAAATACATAGAAATACAGGGCAGACCTAAAGCTACTTTTATCAGAACAGCTTTAGGTACAGAATTTTGCAATTCTGAACTTCCTCCCCCCCCCCCTTTAACTTAAGGAGAGAGGCTGCCTGAGGCATTTTTGCACTTGCTTGATCTAGGCTCACTTATCTGACCATTGCCATGGTAGCAGATGTTCCCTATGCCCTTGAAGGCTACCCTCTATTTCCACAGCACTTATATTTTAAAACCACAAGGGATGATGATGATGCTGATGGTGCTGATGATTTTTTTAAATTTCTAATCCACTCAATAACTAACATTTTCTGGGGGATTAAAAACAATAAAAGAAGAAAATAAAACTAATAAAATATTTAAGTTTAGCATGCTTACTTTTCTCTATTATTATTACTTTCTTTTTACTATATGCCTATTTACAGGAGTGCGTGTGGGGATGCTAAAAAAAATGATGGTAACCACAACTATGTAATCAAAATATAGATTAAAATAATGCAAACCTATTACTCCACTATATACCATTCCCCTTATATAAGCTGGTTAATTTTTAAAAACATGTTTTCATATTACCATGATCAGAAGAAACATTTCTTTTAAAAAAAGAATTAAACAAAAATAAAAGACATTTTTTAAGCTGCTACTGTGATGGTTATTTCTGGCCTAATGTTTGCCAAAGGGATCTCTGCCTATTTGTGAATGCAAGTATTTTAAGAACAGGCAGCTCCATTAATCAAACATTATTTGAAATTGAGTACAGTGAAGGAAAGCTAATTTTTTCTTGAATAAAGAAATAGATGATTAAACCATTTTAAAACAAAAAAGGATGTACTGGTAGTCCTTGACTTACAACCACAATTGAGCCCAAAATTTCTGTTCCTAAGCAAGGCAGCTGTGAGTTTTGTCCTATTTTACAACCTTTTTGACTCAGTTGTTAAATGAATCACTGCAGTTGTTAAGTGAATCATGTGGTTGTTAAGCGAATCAGGCTTCCCTTTCGACTTCACTTGTCAAAAGCTGGCTAGGACAGTACAACTGTCATAAATACATGCCAGCTACCAAGCGCCCAAATTTGGATCATGTGACCAACAGTCGTAAATTTCCTCAGTGCCAATGAGTGGTCACTAAACAAATGGTTGTAAGTGAAGGAATACCTGTGTGCATTTCTGTACTGAGTGGAATGAAATAGAGGCTAGTTGGAGAAACAGCTTTTTATTTACTTTGTAAATAAATTGCTATTGTTACATATAGTATTATAAATGCATAAAATAAATCTGCCATTTTCTTTAGCATACTTTAGATATTACAGACAAATTGTACATATGCTGCATGTTCATGTACAAAATTGTTTTTGCTCTTTTACACATGCTTAAAATTCAGTTTGAATTTAATAGATGATCTCATTTAATAGATATTTCTTTAGTCAGTTAAATGGGGAGTTTACTTAATGTTACAGTAAAAAAGCCTTTAAAGTTACAATGGTAGCAGAATGCCAAGAAGTGATTACAATATTCACACATTATTCCCTGTGAACATTGTGTATATCAGTTTTATGTTGAGCATAAGATGAAACACTTGAATGGTAAAAAACATTATTCCTGACAAAAATAATTCTTGGATATGTTGTGTTTGCCTCATGGTAGATAATGTTTTGTCATTTGATTCACGACAGATTATTTCCACTGTAACTACATTAATAATTCTTTTTCCATCCAGAAACTGTCCTTAGAAAGACCAAGTTCTGATGGAGAAGGTGTGGTAGAAAATGGCATAACCAATGTTTGTAATGGGAAAGAACATGGTAAGATGCTGCTAATAGCGCTCAAGTCAAATCACAATATTCACAAGCATTGTATGCTGAGAAAATGTCAATAATACATTTTCATAGGCATAGCCCTAGAAGGAAATGAAAGGTCAGTTCCCTGAATGTAAAACCTCTTATTGTCAATGGGAATAGTAATGGTTGTATCAAGATAGTAGGCAGACCTAAGGATACTTTTAAAAAATGAAGACATTTTTTAAAAAATATAATTTAAATTTAATTTTCTTAATTAACTTTTAATTTTCTAGACTTCACCAGAAATTTAGAAGGAAATGAAAACATGAAAAATCAACATTCAGTTGATCTGAAAAAAACTGGACCCTATACTTGCGGGAAAACATTATAGGAAGGGGAAAAAAGGAAAAACATCAAGCTGCTTAGCACTTCTTAGAACACTAATAGGTATAGTCTTGACCTTTTAATTGTGGTGAGAGTATGAATAATGAATAGAAGCTTAACTGTTTTTAATGACATTAAAAAAAAATAGGGTGAAAAAATGGAAATTAGAAAGGATTAATTTAAAGTGTCAACTTCTTAAATAGTGGTACATGAAAGGAAATCACAAATATGAGAAGATAAAAAAATTTAGAAAAGAAAAGAAAAAATGAAGCTAATTACAAAGTTAATCCAAAGATTTAAAAGACACTTAATTGATTATATTGTCTTAAAGTACTTCATTAGCAGCTTTCTTTTAAAAACTCAAAGTTCCCAACCAGTCTAAAAACCCACAATTCATATATGAGAGAGAATTCCCTGCAAGTAATTAAAAGTGGAATTAGGATGCTCATGAGTACCCTTTACCACAACAAATTTGTGATTTAATTAATGCTTTATTGAAGGATGATAGGGATTGGATACTATAGACTTCCTGATGTTATCATTATCCCTAATAGCAGCAGTCAACATTGCCAGCAAGATCAAGAGGCTCAGAATTCAGTTCTGAGTAGTTTTTTGAGCCATAAAAGACCATAAGGCTGGGATCAATTTTCAGTTTCTGAGTATTTTGTTGAATAATAAAAAAGTAATGCTTTGGAATTCAAGTAGACTCTGTTATGCAAAACAAAACATATTACAAGGATTGCCCAGGTGGTGCTCTGAATGGACACTCTATATTGAGAATATAATTGCTTTAAGTTTGGTCAATTTATAGATGTCTTATGAAATAGCCAGTTGGACAGCCAGCTTTGCCTCCAAATCATTCAATATACTATTGAGCCTTTTGCTCTTTCATTTCTAAACCAAAATGGACTTTAAGAGAAGATGCGAAGTTGATGAAATTAAGACTATCAAGTACAAATGTGCAGAAAGTCAAATTGTTATAAGCTATTAATATTTGTTAGGTTAAATGTGTGTGCAAATTTTGCATTTACCTAACTTAATCTAGAAAATGTAGAAAAAAGGTGGGCTTCAATCACACAGTCACAACATCATCATGACATTTTTGAAAATACTCCATCCTCTGAGATGGGCCATTAACAGAATTTCCAAGAAAGAAATTCATGAATTTTATCAACAGTATCTTCCATTACTGCTAAGCTCAATGATTGCCTAGCACCACAAATAATACCAGAAGCTGGATTAAATTATTTTTTTTTAAAAAAAATCTCACAATTCCCAGACCTCATGTTGTCTGGGATATGGCTAGAAGACTTGAAAGGTATCTTCCTGACGTTATCTAACTTTGTTTGGAAAATTATAATCTCAAGACAGTTGGAACTCCCAGTACTGCTTTTCCCTGAGACACTTTGCCCAGAACATCCTTAAAACTAGAAAGGAAGATCCTGGCCTCCTATAGTGAAACTGGCATGAAGCTGCAGTAAACTCTTAAGCAATTTATGCAGTATAAGCACAGGTTAGAAACTATACTTTTTGTCTGGACAGTCTTTTTTTTTCACAGTTGGGAAAGACTGTATTGAGTAGAAGTATAGTTGCAATGAAGGGCAACATAACCACTCCAGTTAGTAACAGTTAGCCCTGTGATTCTGCTTTTCTGAAGGTCTAGAGTAAGATGGTTTCATTAATTTCAAGTAGGTTGTCTATATCAGGGGTCCCCAACCCCCGGTCCATGGACCGGTACTGGGCCGTGACATGCCAACAACCGGTCCGCACAGACAAGCAAAGCCCCATCCGTGGGACGCAGGCAGCACACAAAACCACGCCCCCTCCAGTCTGCAGAAAAACCTCTCTCCACATAACCGGTCCCTGGTGTCCAAAAGGTTGGGGACCTCTGATCTATATCACATCTTTTCTAGCACATTTTGGGAGGGTGCCATTTTTAGAAGGTAATAAATGTAAAATAATGAGATTTGGGTTGCACATGATTTTTTCACATGATTTCCAATCTTTATCCACATTTATAAGTGCCCTGACAACATTGTCTGCATAATAAGTTCTAATGCTGTTGCCTTTGCATGTTTTTAAAATCTGACTTGGAGTTACTTTTATAAGTAACTTATTTACCTGAGTTTATACAATATGTTTATGCCCTTCTTTCAAAAAATCCTGGCATTTGACATATTTTTATTATTCCAATAAACATGGGCATGGGACATAAGCTTACATTGCCAATTATTGTATTCTTTTTCATTTTTTACATGAAATAATGTCAAATATAAGAAAGTAAGTTTTATTACAATCTTAGACCAGAATAGCAATAGCACTTAAACTTATATACCGCTTCATAGTGCTTTACAGCCCTCTCTAAGTGGTTTACAGAGTCAGCATATTGTCCCCAACAACCCTGGGTCCTTTTTTTACCATTTCTCAGTATACAACCATAGTTGCAAAGAATAAAAAAAGTATAAAAAGTCATGATTTCAACTTCGCCCAATAAAATAGTCTATTTAAATTCTAATTAAGATGCATTGATTCAATAAATACTCATTGCCAAAAAGCAGAATTTAGCAGCTGTCTGTCTATATCACTTCAGGGAACTCTGTCTGCCAATAAATAGTTTTTATAAAATTCCTCAGGATAACATCATTTTTTTTCAATACAGGCAGAATTAATCATGTTAGAACATCAGAATAATGCTTATATGGTTATAGAGTAGGCCCCTCTAACTCAACCTTCCTTCCATTACATTGGCATAATTTTGAGGGATCTGAATGTTACTATATCTACAGTGGACATAAAAAGTCTACGTACTCCTGTTAAAATGCCAGGTTTTTGAGATGTAAAATAATCAGACCAAGATAAATCACTTCAAATGCTTTCCATCTTTAATATAATGTATAAGCTGTATAATTCAATTAAAAACAAACTGAAATATTTTAGGGGGGAAATAACAATAAAAATTTAACAATAAATTGTTTGCATAAGCATGTACACCCTTAAACTAAAACTTGTTGAAAAACATTTTGATTTTATATAAGAGCATTCAGACTTTTTGGGGGAAAGCCTGCAGCATGGCACATCTTGGAAATTTTTGCCTACTTTTCCTTGCAAAAATGCTCCAAATCTGTCAGATTGCAAGGTTCACTTCAGGTTACCCCACAGATTCAACTGGATTCAGGTTCAGGCTTTGCCTGTGCCGTTCCAAAACTTTGATCTTCTTCTGGTGAAGCCATTCTTTTCTTGATTTGAAGGTATGCTTTAGGTTGTTGTCATGTTGAAAGGTGAAATTCCTCTACACCTTCCGCATTTTAGCAGAGACTTGAAGGTTTGGGCCAAAATCGACTGATATTTGGAACTGTTCATAATTCTCTACACTTTGACTAAAGCCCCATTTCCAGCTGAAGAAATGCAAAGCCAAAGCATAATGCTGCCACCACCATACTTCATATTGGGTATGGTGTACTTTTTGCGACTCAGTGTTGTTTTTGTGCCAAACATATTTTTGGGAATTATGGCCAAAAAGTTCAACCTTGGTCTCATCAGACCAAAATAATTTTTTCTCATGCTTTTTGTCAGACCCCATATAGGCTTTTGCAAAACTGTAGCTGGGCTTGGGTTTTTCTTTGTCAGAAAAGGCTTCCATCTTGTCACCCAACCTTACAGCCCAGACATATAAAGAATATGGGAAATTGTTGTCACATATAGTACATGACCAAAACTTGCCAGAAATTCCTGAAGCTTCTTTAATGTTGCTACAGGCGTCTTGGAAGTCTCTTGAACCAGTTTTCTTCTTGTTTTTTCATTAACTTTGGAGAGACATCCAGTTCTTGGTAATGTCATTGTTGTGCCATATTTTCTCCACTTGTTGATGACCATCTTCACTGTATTCCACGGTATATCCAATACTTGGATAAAATTTTGGACCCTTCAGACTGATCTCTTCTAATAATGAGATACCTTTGATGCTTTGTACGTTCATTGCAGGCCATGGCTTTTGCTGTAAGTGGCAACTGAATAAATGTCAGAAAAATCCTACTAGAATAGCTGAACTTTATATGGACTTGATGAGAGTAGCTTTAATTGTTGGCAGGTATGTAGTGACTACTATTTAACATCAGTTTGAATGTGATTGCTTAATTTTGATCACAGCTACAACCCTACTTATAAGAGGGTATGCACACTTATGCAATTATTTTTCCCCTCAAATGATTTCAATTGATTGTTCAGTTCTGTTGTATTGTACAGCTTATATGATATATTAAAGGTGAAATAATTTATCTTGGACTGGTTTTTTTACACTTGAAAAACCTGGCATTTTAATAGGATATAAACTTTTTATATCCATTGTACCTCCAAAAGTTGCCAAGAGGAGGGAACTGAAACAAACTATGGTAAATACCTAGCACAGAAAAGTGTCTCTGGGAAACAGTGAAGTACTAGTAAATTCTTGCAGTTTGTTCCCTTTTTAATATTCTAGATCTTCAAAAGATTTCTTAATAATTCCTACCTTTTTTAACAACTGAAAATAACAAAAGTGGAGGGCAATAATTTTCTTGCAATGTTTTCCACCAAGTAGATAGAAATCTATCAGATGTTATTAATGAAACCAACTCAATTGGAGTCAAGATAAGCCTTAAGTAAGCTAATAAAATTGCTTTACAGAGTCAGCTTCTTAAAAAAAACAATCCTCTAGTCTCAAGGGTAATTCAAGGTACATCAAGGTGTCAGGAGTAAAGAACCTTAAAAAATCTGACTGCTTTTTTGCATGGACCAAAATTGGCAAAAAAATTATAGTTATGCCATATATAGATGTTACATAACTATTTTGGGAACAAATAATACTGTAATGTCTGGGATAAAGTTCCTATACCAACTGATGAAATCTTAAATGGCTGCTGTATTCTTTTAGATTGAGGAAGAAGCACAGTTATCATGGGCTATTTGCTTTCTAGGTATTGGAAAAACACTCAGATATTTAAAGTATTTTACATGTTTTGTGGTTTGCCTACCTATGTAGCATCTGTGAAGTTTAGTGTTGTTGGAGAAGACAATCAATTTTGAATGTTAGTTATTTATAACCAGCTGTTTTTTTCTTTTCAGAGTTGGGTGAGGGTCTTAAAAATCTTTTCTAAGAAAAACTTGAGTTAGTGACAGAACAGAGGTATCATCTATGTAAAACAGATTAGCTAGTTGTTTATTTGCCAGGCTCTTGCCAATAAGTAATTACCATATTTATATAAAAATAAAAAAGAATAGTGCCTGGAGATAGCCTTGATTCATTGTGTAAATAATCATAGAGATAGATAGATAGATAGATAGATAGATAGATAGATAGATAGATAGATAGACCTCCATCAAACAACAAAATGAGTCATGCAAATGATTAAAAGTCTATTATAAGAGCACATACATTCATATTTAATTTTTTAGCCATGATCAACTGAGAGTAGATATGGTAATACACAAAGATTGAAAGACTCAATTAAATTAAGCACTTTAAGCAAATTGCAAACAGGAGATATACAGTAGGAAAATCAACACATCACTTTTAATTAAAACTGGAAATATTTGCTGCTTGAAGATATAAGTAAGTAGAGACCAAGTTCGTTCACAAAGAAGGATACTGGTATATTACATGTAGGGAACCTACCTTTAATTTTATGTCCTGCAATTCTTCAGCATTGTTGAAGAGCTATAGTGTAAAATAGAACTGTTCTATGTCTGCATTAAATGAAGAACAAGCATTGCACTGCCACAAGCCATTTGGCACTTTTACTGCTTGTTGCTGTTTAAAAAACAGGTGTTGGGATAATGTAGTATCCTTATACCAGATTCTAAAAGTGACATCCAAACTAAGAAGTCAAGTTTAAACTAGTTTTTTTAAAAAAGTGACATGCCACCTCAATGATTTGTCATGAATGAGACTATGAATCTCATTTGGGGTTCTGAATTGATTTTCAGTAACGGCAACTCAGCTGCTTCTGAGGTGAAATATTTTTTGGGGTGCCATAATTTCAGTATTTGATAAAAGTTTCTTTTAAAATCGTAGAATCTTAGCTGTCTGTGTGTATGTGTTTGGTTGATAGTAAAGAGGAAAAAGAGCTCAAAGGTGGACTCCAAAGCCACTGTACCTAAAGTAACAGGAAAGAAGATAACAAAGATAATTGGGCTGGGGAAAAAAAAGCCATCTACTGATGAACAGACCTCATCTGCTGAAGAAGATATACCAACATGTGGTAAGTGACTTCTTATGATCACTTATAGAAACAACTTTATTGGTGGAAAATGTTGATTTCATTTCTAAAAAAAATTGCCACTTTTCAAAACCGGATTTTTCTTGTTCCCGGTCTCCATACAAATTACTTTGTTCTTCTAAAAGTTTTCACTATACAAATATGTTGTCAGAATGCTTTAAACACTGTAGTCCACTAAAGAATTCCATTCAAATTACCTGGTTTTCCGTTTTTTAATCTGAACTATTTAAACTATGCCTAATGGCTCCAGTTACTGTCTGGAGGATATTTATCCACATGCCAATACCTCAGTGATAAACAAGTAGTCGTTTCCTAGCGACTCTCACTCCTCAGGTTAACATTGCCAATGTTTCCACTTTATTGATCTCACACTCCCTTTAACCTACCCCTCCCCACCACACACACACACAGACACACACTCCAAATGATCTGAACAATTTTATGATTCAGGATAATGCAGTATCGTGTATCTGTGCAAACACTGTTTTAAGCATCTCTGATTCTGATTTTCACCACCCCAGTTGGCAACTAACTCCCATGGCTTTCAGTTTTCTCCATTTTTTCTGTTATAGTTTCACCTATCTCCTAGATCAGGTCAGTCACCAGGACCAGAGGTTTTAGTCTTCCGAGCTTTCAGACTTGTGCTGGAGCTCATCCTTAGGGAATCAGTTATGATCATAAGTCGAGGACTACCTGGTAAATCCTTCCATAATAAGTTTCTTTTGCATTAGCAATACAGTAACTAATAGGATTTCTAATCTACTATTTTAAAAGTAAAGAGAAGAAAATTCTGAAAATTAAATTTTTTCCTCTATGTGGTAGAGAGATAATTCATGTTCTCATCATTAAAATGTGTAAGACAATCGTTGCTATGTATCTTAACTCTTAACCAGGTGTTGACTGTTAGCTGAGATAATTCCTATACATAGACTTGAGCATTAGATCAGTTTAATTGATCCTTGTGTGGGCCTGGCCTGACAATAAATTGTGAATACACATTAGAAAACGTTAAGAAATTTGTTTTTATATTTTGCAGGATATCTTAATGTGCTGTCAAATAACCGTTGGCGTGAGCGCTGGTGCAGAGTGAAAGATAATAAGCTGATACTCCACAAAGACAGGACAGATCTAAAGACTCATATTGTTTCTATTCCTCTCCGTGGCTGTGAAGTTATTCCAGGATTGGATTCCAAACATCCTCTGACATTCCGCTTGCTTCGAAATGCTCAGGAGGTTGCAGTATTGGAGGTATATTGTAAAGAAATAACAAAAGCAGAATCTAAGAATCCTGCTTCTAAAATAAGAAATCTATTCTGTAATTAATACCTTGAATGCATAATATTTCCTTGTTCTTGCCCATGACGGGAGCCTTTAGCTAGATAGCTAATAATATATATCAATATTAACTTGTTAATTACACTATGTTGAAAAACTTTAAACTGTTTCTAGAAATTCTCAAACTCAAGACATTTAAGAAGGCAATAAACAATGCTATTAAACTGAAATCAATATCAGGCCACAAACCAGTTTCAGTGAATATTCATTCTTAATTCATATTCTTTCTCCCTCCCTCCCTCCCTCCCCCCCCGTCTCACACACAAACACACAGACACACATAGACACTGAAGTCCATAGAAAAGAGACATTTGAAATGTGTGATAAAGGCATTACCAACTGGGAATAGAGTCCACGTCTGGCGGGTGCAAGCGTGGAGCAGCCTCTACTGTTGCCAACATGAGCCTGCCCATGTCCTCAGGGCAGATTTGGAAGTGCCATATATCTCAGGCAGGGGTGCAGAATTTATGTCTCCTTAAGAATCACTCTAGGCTTGGCATAATGCATTAAGGGCTATACTCCAAAAATGTGTCTGGACAGAGTGCTTTTGGAAGAAGGAAAAAGTATTTTAGGCATCAGAACTTAAGGTATTCATGTTATCTCTTAATGGCATGAGAGAGAGCCCAAATGTTGGGCTCCAGAATGTGGCTGGGAATGGGGGGATATCTCTGGGCACTACAAAAAAAAAAACAAATCTGGAATGGGCATCTGGAAGGTCTGTATTCATCAGAATGCTAAAAGCAGTGTTGTGGTGTCGTGCTACAAGTTCCATGTGAAACCTGCAGAAGCTTTGTCACAATGCTGCTTTTGTCATTTTGCCTCCACCTCTGCCACCACATGGGAACTGCTGAAAGCTGATCTTTGCATCCTAAGGAGCAGGGTTATTTGTTTTAGCAAGATTTTTGACAGCCATCATGGAAATGTTTTAAAAATGAAATTCAAGGACTCGTGAATAAGTAAATGTATACTTGAACTAAAAATAGATATATATCAGTGAACGTTTCAATGTTCACCTGTGATTTTCTTCTGTTTTATATAGGCTTCATCTTCAGAAGATATGGGCAGGTGGATTGGGATTCTGCTGGCTGAGAGTGGGTCATCTGCAGATCCTGGCACTCTGCACTATGACTACATAGATGTGGATGTGACAGCCAGTGTCATTCAAGCTGCAAAGCAAACATTCTGGTAGGAGGAGCTAATCAGTTGAGAACATTTTCAAGAACATTGGCCTTTTCAGTGTTTTTGTTCTGGAGTTGAGAAATCTGAATTCTTATTTATTAATAAACCAGGAATCTTAGATGGTGAGAGGCAGCATGCAATATGCTTCATATATTGTATAGTACCATGTGCCCCAAGAATGGATATGCTAGCTCAAAGCTGAAAGGCAAACTATATCAACAAATGCCCCTACTTACAAATACATCATTTAGCAATTCATCAAGTAGTTTTGCTAGACGTGCTTGAATAGGGAATCTGAGACCAATCTGTGGTGCAACACTGTATTTTCATCAGTTCCTTCATGATCATAGTTGGGGATAATCAAATTTAAAATCTAGCAACATCTGGAGAACTAGACTCTTTAAACATACATATTTCTTCTGGTTTGATCTGCGCTTGGAATGAAATGGCATTCTTTTGATCTGGGCAGAAATGACTCAGAATGGGCTGTGGAAGAAGAAGGGAAAAAGTGAAAGACAATAGTAGCTAAGGGGAGACAGGGAGGCCTCTAATGTCAGAACTACTTTGTTTTCTGTTGATTCAAAACATAATAATATGGGCATGTAGGAAATAGATAAGATGTTTAGTTTATAACCTGCAGCAAAGCATGGTATTCTGGAAGACCTGATAGACCAACCACAAGTTCTACAAAAGTGAAACCTGTAAAGCTTTGATTTTTCTGTGGTCTGGATAACACAAGATCTCCACAAGGATAAGACTGGAACATGTTCTAGCTCTCTCAGCCACACCATAGCAAATCCTAGCATTGCATAATCCCCTGGAATCCTAATCCATTTCCCATGGTTTCCCTTCCTTGCCTCCCTGCCTCTCCTTGCAGTGGCAGTTCCAGCAGTATTGGTTGCCATTGTTAAGCAAAGAATGCAAAGGCAATTAGGGATGAATTTCGCAAGGCTGCAATTTCTGAATTCCTGCTGGCTTCCCCATTGACTTTGCTTATGGGAAATGGCAGGGAATGTTGGAAATTGTGATCATGTGACCGCAGCTTACTGTGATTTCATAATTGCAACCTGGGTGCTAAATGCCCGGCTTACAATCCCGTGACCATAGGAACATTGATGGCTGGAATTCCAAGGGCTAGTGATAACTATCACTTGTTTAGCACTGTTGTAAGTTTGAACAGTTGCTGAATGAGTGGTTATAACTCGATGACTATCTGTAGTTCTACTGCAACCAGAGAAAGGAAATAATTGCAGCAATAGGACTGACATTAAGATATGCAGAGGACATGGAGAATTTAAGATTCTGTGATCAAGGGTGCTGCTTGATTTACCTCTGTGATACCATTTTTCTTTCTAGTGGCAGAGGAACTATGATAATGGAGATTTTTACTACAGATGGAGCTTCTCCATAAAACTCACCCCCATGATGTTATCCCCCTAATCAGGAACCAAAGAATTGCAGCCTTTACAATGAGTTTGTCTAATCAATTAATTCAAGGCTGAAGCCCTTCAGTAATTTATGGCCCATTTAAATGCCCATTACATTTTCCCAGTTTGTTAAGAAAGTTGTGTTAGAACAGTGTTTCTCAACCTTGACAATTTTAAGGCATGTGGACTTCAACTCCCAGAATTCCACAGCCAGCAATGCTGGCTGTGGAATTCTGGGAGTTGAAGTCCACATGCCTTAAAATTGTCAAGGTTGAGAAACACTGTGTTAGAAAGTACAAAGAGTAATAATCTTTCAGTAGTAGCTTTTCAAGCAATATAATGATATACAATATAAGAAAATGCATTGTTGTATTCAGTATTTCAGGAAAACTAAAAACTAGATACAAAAACAGATCTTGCATTTATCTTAAGATTGTGTTCCTTAAATAATTGGATTTGGTTATCAGAGCCAAAATAACATTTTGGAAATGTGCCTACAAAATATAATGCTTCTGAAAGTTTAATTTTCAAATCTTTTCGTAGATATTTGTTGGAGCATTTAATAATAGTTCAGAATAGTTATTTATCGTATTCAACTGGTAATTCTTATATGAGGTTTTTGAACAATGTGATTTGCCCAAGACAGCACTAAATGAGAATTTTAAAATATGGATACTGAGGGAAGGGCAGCCTTCCTAAAAGAAAACATGTGGGTTTAAACTTGTTTAGCTTTCTTACCACAGATAGAAACAGGCAATGCCAGTCCTAAAACATTACAAAATCCCTCAAGAATTAGGAAAACATTTAAAGTCTCTTCTGCCAGACTTCTCTGTTTTCTTTTGCCAAATTCAAGCTATATATCTTCTTTTCTTCTCAGCAAAAAACTAAAGTCTGACTTTTATGCTGTCTCAGACTAATCACACAAAGCTCTTGGCTCCAGGAAAAGATTGTTTGTGTAAAATCAAAGGGAATCTGTGCATTACTGTGCTTTTATACTGTGATTGTCCCATCTCCTATTCTGTGTGGTTTGTCTCTCTTTGCAGTTATACATTGTGATTTGAACACCTAAAGCCATTTCCTGATAGCTCTTGAAAGAACAAATTCATTTCCATAATTACAAGTTTCTTCCAGAGAAGTTTTTCTATTGAGCAACCTAAATCTTCAACTTTGCCCTTTAAAACAATTGTCTGTCTTTTGACTTAACAATGTATGTCCCTCCCCACATACAAGTAAGTAAAAATGGAAGCTTTCTGACAGAACATCAGGCTGTAGTGCCATTCAGTGTGTATTCCAGAACATGAACTCTCTTAAAAGGCAGAGACTTGTAAAACAATTTATGGAAACATGTGTTTATTTTATGAAAAGACATGAACGTTCAAAGTGAACTCATTATTTGTTGTCCTGCTTATTTTTGTATTTCAGTTTTATGAACAGACGGGTTCTTTCTACTAATCCTTACAGAGGAAATGCTACTAATGGCTATGCGTGTCCCAGTGGGATGGCGCTTCATTATGATGATGTTCCTTGCATAAATGGATCAGTAAGAATTGACTTTTGTGTAGGTCAAATAATTTATGTCTGCTGAACCTCTAAAAAATGTATGAAGCTTCTTAATTAAATATCACTGGATATTATCACAAGGTTTTGTTGTGTCTCAACCAGAGAAGTGGGGGAAATTAGTTCAGTATATCTCATATGTAAGCCAATACAAATATGTCTGTCCCTGTATTCCTTCGTTCATTAAGTTAGACCTAAACATAATAGAACTCTCTGGAGAAAAAGAAAAGCAAGGGTTTGATTAAGCATGTTCTATGGATAAAATATGGAGTAATGGAAAATGTGTATGAATTTGTCTTCATGCAATTTTTATCCTATATATCTCCTAGCCATTGACAGATAGACCTCACTTAACGACTTCCTTATTTAGTTACAGTGGCACTGAAAAATAACTTCAGAACCAGTTGCTGCATTTAGAATTATCACTGTATCCCGTGATCGCATGACCACCATTTGCATGCTTTACAAACAGCTTCTGAAAAGCAGACTCAATGGAGAAGACGGTGGTAAAATCACCAGTCACAGTCACATGATGTCTCACCTAATGATCCACAGTGACTTGCTTTATGCTGTTGCAGTCACATAATGTTTCACTTAGCAACTGTGTCATTGAGACAGGGCTGGTGGTCCCATTCATTTAGGAGTTTTCTCCAGCCAGTCCCTGAAATTGATAGACTATGATTACCCATGTGTATCCTATAAGTGTAACTTTACCATATGATAGTTTCCTCTTTCCAATATAATTACATTTCTTACAGTACTTATCCATCTATCTTTAGGAGACATAAAAAAGAAGTTCATTTTAAAATATCAACAATATATTGTTACGTGTAGTTACCATAAATACTGGCAGAAATTGCTTCTGATTGCTTTCTAACTCTGTATATTATATAGCTCTATATTTTATCTTTCAGTGAATACATTAGATCCTAAAAATTATTAGAAGCTGGATCCATTCTCAGATAATTCTTGACAAAGAAATTAATGTTACTAACACACATTGATCATTCTGATACATTGACACAAGAATAGGAAGTTCCCCAACAACGTGACTTGTGGGGCTATGCACATTTACTTCTTTATTTCTTTGCTTGCATCCTTCTGTTAGGCAATCACCTGTAGTTATGGTTTCTTGGTTTCTAAATCTCTGTTTCTTGTGATATCCAAATGAAGCTCCCAAAATTTAAAAAATGGTTATTAATATAAGAACCTAGTTTGAAACTCTAATTTGTAGGAACTTTTTAAATCAAAATGATAAAAATTAAAACAAAAATCAACATGCATCAAGACATGTTAAAAAAGAAGAGGAATGCTCTATCAAAATGTTAGTATAGGAAAGGTCAAAATTTGCCTCTTGTTAATTTGTGGTTTCAACTCAATAGTCAGATGTTTGGCATATTTCATTGAAACTTATCTGATATATAAGGTAGACAACATATGGATATTGAATGGCATTATTTCTTATTATCCTTTTCAGCAATGTGCTTAGAAATCTTAACTTTGGAATTTGCAAGATTTCTAAGCACATTTTTATATAGTTATTGTGAACAAAAAGCAAATTTTAGAATAAAAATACAGTAGTACCTCGGTACTTGTCGTTAACTCATTCCGGGAGACGTAACAAGTATTAAAAACAAGTACCAAACAAACCACGGACTTACCATGTGGCCCTTTGTTTTGGCTTGGAAGAACTTCCTACCCATACCTTTTCCTATGCCAGTGATCTTCCCAGCACGACTGACTTCCTGTCCACCTTTTGCGGCCGTTGCCTACTTATTTTTGAGCAATCTTCCTGAAATGACCGATTTCCTGTCCATTCTTCATGGGTGTTCCCCTCTTCCTATTGCAGTGTGTTGAGTACCAAACAAAGGACAAGTACCTCGACAACATTTTCACATCAAAATGCTTCAAGTACCAAATTTGACCAAGTTTTGAAGCAGTCAAGTATTGAAATACCCCTGTATAGAACCAAGAGAGAAGGAACTCTTGCTGAGGATTGGAGGGGTTTTCTCAATTGCTCAGTTAACTTTCTGATTATTCCATTTTTTTCAGTGCATGAAGTTATGCTAATGTACTAAGTATGTGTATTGCAGAGAGAACCGGAAGATGGCTTTCCTATTTCTTCTAGCAAAAACACAGGAGAAGATGGGCTTTATGATAACATGGGCCTGTATGATAATTTGCCATCTCCGAAAATTTTTGCACGTTGTTCACCAGCAGAGCGAAAAGCCAATAGGTTATCTACTGACAAACTGTCATCTAACCATTATAAACATCCTATCTCATCCAATCTGTCTTCTGCTCAGTCTGTCACTAATACCTCTGGTGTGGGGAGGGGATCTGTTGCACAGGTACTAAAATGCTTAATTCTTTTAATCATATTTCTGTTCTTGCTTTTGTGTACTGATCATTAAATGCTTATGGTTAGTTAAATAATATAATATCACAAAAATTGTTATCTTTAATTTAGAAACACTGGATATGAGAATAACATCTTAGAAACCTATACACTTTTCTTTTTAAAATTCTTAACTTAATTTAGCTTGCTCCAACCTTTCCAGACTAACACTACAGCTCAGGACTCCCAATTATCCTTGAAGATTCTGGTAATTCCACCTGTAACATTTCTGAAAGGCATCAATTTAAATCAAACTATTTTGGATTTTACACAGAGCAAGTTTTGGAGGATACATATACAGTATTAGCAATATGATTGCTTCAACAACTGAAATTAAGTCCTTGGTAATGGTCAACTTCACAGCCTACAACATTCTGTACTTTTCTGTACTATCTGTGTGCAATTACGTGTATATGAGTAGTTGAATATACTGTACTGCAGTTAGTGTATCGAGTATGGTATGGATCCTTATTGTGGCTTGGGTGATTCCTACTGTTCTGTGTTGTGCAGATGGTGCTGTTTCATTCTAAAAGAAACCAAATTGACTTACTTAAATACAAAATCTTTTCAAATAAATACGCTTCATTCAATTTTGCGATCACTTTCAAGGCTTTGGGGATGTGATCTTTCCAAAGAAATTTATTTCACATTTGGAAGTAATAGAGATGATGCAGTTCCCACCAGTAATGGAGGATGGGAGAAGTTTTTGACAAGTTGGCCATATATTTGTACCCTGTTATAGTTTACTGTTTTTTTCATTTTGGGAGTGGAACAGGCATTCTTCTGCGGTCAGTGATCAGTGTACTGTTTGCTGTATATTTAGAAAACCAATTTGAAATTTGCCTAAAAGATTTGTTCTAAGAATAAGAAGATCTGCTAAAGTTTAAAATAATAGTGAAATGAGTTGCTGGGGAATCTCCCCCCCCCCCATCAGTTCATTTTATTGCATGCATTGCAAAATGATTGTTGCTTGTTTCAAAAGAATGTTATGCAACATTGTTTCAAGAGTGTTTTTTATTGAAATGAGTAATTGAAGATTCTAAAAAATCAGATAAACACAGATATTACTTCCTTAATGAACTCATTTTAATGACTCACAAAAGCTAATGTTATTCTGAGGCAAAACAATATAAAATATAAATCAAACATTTCACATTTCAACCTTCCATATTTGAACCATAAACAAATAACTAGTAAATAATAAATCCAAATAAAGTAAGTCTAAATGTTGAAATTCTACTCTTGTCTAATTAAAAACAGATATCTTTTCATTCTTTGCAAAATGTTACATTGCCCCAGTCATTACAACATAGTTCTGAACATGTTGCACTTCTAATAAAGGCTGATATTAATTTAAGATTTTATTGCCAGTTCGTTTCCTGGGCTTAAGAGATCAGTCTTAAGTTTTCTGGAGCTTCTGGGCTAGTGCATCTTTCGATGATTATTTTGTGATGTGGCCCTTTCTCAAGCAATATTTTTTTAAATTTTATGTTGTCTCATATATTTTCAAAAAGCAAAATGGATGCCTTTGGTTGCTTCAGAAGCATGGTTTTCTAACTACCTTGATTTTAAACTTTTAATCAAAACTTGCCTCTATTTGTTCCCAGTGTTGTAAGAAAACTGCACAATGTTTAGCAATAAATGTATTCTTGGATTTTCCTTGCAGTTTAAAGGAAAAAAAATGCCAATAGCTGCAAATGGGATTTCAGGAAAAGGGAGAACGTTAAGTAATTCACTAAAAAAATCAGAATTTGCTTCAAATGTGAAACGTAGCAGCTCTAGTGAGTATTTTTTATTTCTTCTGGCTTTGAAATATCTTATTCTTTTAAACTATCTGAAGCTTTATCTGAGGTAAAATAATTCTTTGGGGGTGATAGATAAGTATTTGCCTACTGTCTTTATTCATTTTATCTATTATCCATGGATCTGTCTATTGTCCATGAGATAAATGACTGCTCACACAGAAATTTAATTACAAAAACCAAGGTCATTCATCATGATCATCAGTTTTCTAAGGTAAGTGGGAGATTCAAGTTGATAGATTATAAGTAATTTATGGAGAACTGTCTTCTGGTTGTCTTGTATTTCTACTTTGCTTAACACATACACTTTTTCCTACTCCATTATTATAATTTATTTTAGAAATAAAAGAAAATAAAAAAGTGGATCACATTTGCATCATATGCCTAAAGTATATGGGTTTCTCCATGTAGATCATTGTTTCAAGGAAGCAGCCAACGTTTAGTTTGTACAAGATCAAGTGATTGATTCTTTTTGCAGCCTCTGATACTCTCCAAATCTGTAATTCAACATTGTCTATATTTTTTCACTATTTCTCAATGTCCAGTTTTCATGGTTGCACATTGACAATGGAAAATAATTGTTTTGATTGTTCTGCTCCCAGTTGTCATAAAAATGGCCTTATCTTGTCAGCTCTGCCATATTCGGCTTTCCACTTTGCTAGCAGCTGCCAACAACCATTAGTGGGGAGGGAAAGAAGAGCAAATGGGGAATAAACATGTATAGGTTAGAGATGGGAATTAGGGAGGAGAGATGATGGTTTGACAGAGACCAGAGATGCATGAAACCAATCTGTGCCAGTCTTCAAGCCCATGAAGCTTTGGAAAAGAATGTGAATTGCTCCGAACATCCGAAGCAGTTCTCAAAACACCTATGCAGCTCGCCATTGGCCAAAGACAATCTGGTCCAGGGAGGGGGAGGACCAGGATGAAAGGGAAAACTTTGTAACTTTTGGCGCAAGAACTTTAGTTCTAGCCTGCTTTTACTGCTGCCAATAACCTTTAGTAATAGCACCTGTCACTTCATCCAAATGGAGTCGAGGGTCTTCCTTTCCTAAGGGATTTGACTGGGGCAGATCTGACAAGAGGTATGTCAAATACAGAATAATAGTAAAACAAGTCTTTATTGAAATATTTGTCTGTAAGTGGACATACAAGTAAGTGGGATGCCCATATTTGGTTTAGTCTTTCATTCTGACAAAAGTTTCCTAGTTCAAATAATAATTAAACTTTTGTGTAGATGCAGATCAGTATAAGTATGGAAAGAATCGTGTTGAAGCAGATGCAAAGAGATTGCAAACAAAAGAGGAGGAACTATTGAAGAAAAAAGAAATCCTGAGGAATCACCTGGCTCAGTTGCGAAAAGAAAGGAAAGACCTCCGGGCAGCTCTTGAAACGAACCCTGGTATGTTAGGCCCTTCTTTTTGTTTATAATCGAAGTATCAGGACATAATGTCTCTAGCATCGAAAGTAGCTTTTTTATTATTATTATTATTTTTACATGAAAAAATTCAAACTTAGAAACAGAGTGGTTATTACAGAGGAAGTCCACTCCTGTTTATAACTTAAGGGAGTTTGCATTACAAAAATGAGACCAACACACAAACTGCTACTCTATGCCAATTTTCTGTTCCTTTGTAATATTCAATTACATTTGAGGATGCTGCAATAATGAGACATTGTGTTTCCATATTCTTTTCAATGACAGCTAATGTTATGAAGAGGGTGGCAGAGATTCTTATTTGTTTCTTTATTTTATAGCAGTTCTGTTGTAGTTGTGTATATGATGTTACAGAAGAGGAGGCAACTGTTCAAGCATTAAGCTGCCACTTTCAAGGTAGTCCTGTGTTATAGATAGCATTATTTTTATAATATTTTATTTGCCAGGCTGGATCATTTTAATGAAGTTAAATGCTCAAGACTAGTTTATACTGTTGAATAACCATAGCACTAAATATAACTTACTTTGGCAATAATTTGCTGATGCAGTCTTAACTATTGTATTTTAATTATAGAATATTTTATCCAACCAGAGTGGTGTTCAGGTGGGTGGCTATAACAACTGAAATTATAAGTAAAAAAGCAAACAGACAACTTGGGTACATTTAATGTGGCTGTTAGATTAGAGTAACTTGTATTTGATGAATGACGATGACTCACTTCTGAGGCTACCGTCTGTGAAGTGTCTTCACTTTCCAGTTTAAGAACAGAGTGTACAATTTTATCACAGCCTCAAAGCTCATTTCTCTCCTCTGCATTTCAGGCCGGAAACCCCTAATAATCCTTGAAGATAAATTAAAGAAGTTAGAAGAAGAGTGTAAGTTGAAAGAGTCTGAGCGGGTGTCTCTGGAACTAGAGTTGACGGAAGTGAAAGAGAATTTGAAAAAGGCTTTGGCTGGAGGCATCACACTGGGATTGGCAATCGAGCCTAAATCACAGAGTTTAACTGCACAGGTATTTTAATTTAAATAAATTTAATTTAATTTAACCTTAAATAGATTCTACTATAAAATATATTTTATAAATAATTTAAGTGTTTCATTATTTTTAAATAATTACTGTCTGTCCTGCTTCACATATGAGATTCAGCACTCAACTCTGTCGTTTGTTTGCAGACTTTTGCTAGTTTAGTAGATCTGTTACTACTTGGAGAATTATTACGCCATTTTATTATATTAATTATTAACTATAGATATAGATATATAGTAAATGTTATATATTATTAATTATTATACCTTGGCTTTATGTAGCATATTGAGCACCACAGTTGAAAAGATTGTATGAAAACATAGAGATAAGACAGAATGTATTTTAAAAAATTAAACACATCTGAGATTCTGGAACTTTTAACTCAAATATGCAACCTGTTTGTATATTCGCCTCTGTAGTTGAAGATTGGAAGGTAGTGGATGTAATTAATTTTTGAGAAGGAGTCACAGAGAGATCAAGAAAATCATAGATCTGTCAGATTAATGTTTCTTCTGAGGAAGATAGTAGAGACTGCTGTTAAAGATAAAATTAGCAAACGTTTGGAGACAAAGGCCTTGATTAAGGATACCCAACATGGCTTCACTAAGGGAAGGTCCTATCTTAGCTAATTTACTAATAAACATGTAGATAAGGACAAACCAGTAGACATCAACTGCTTAGTGTTTCAAAAAGTGTTTAATAAAGTCCATAATCAAAGACTTCACAGTAAGCTTAACAGCCATGGGATAAAATGGCAGGTCTTCTTATGGATAAGCAACCTGGTAAAGAACAGAAAATAGAATTGTAACAAATTTACAGTAGAAGTAAATGGACATTGCTCACAATGGAGGGATAAAATTAGTGGGGTCCTCCTAGGATCAGTGCTTTTTATAAATTATCTGGAATCAGGCATGATTAGTGGAATAGCCATGTTTGCTGCTGAGAGATATATGTTTCTTCGCTACTCCTAGATTTCAAGTTATATGGCTCTGAAATTATTAAAGGATTGCAGAGATTCCTGACTATGTATCTGCCAATCTTACACTGTTATCTTGTTCTTTCAAACCAATCTTCACATTTGTCCAATAGGATAATACCCTGTTCTTAGAGAGCCGGGATAATTTAACTGCTGATACAACTATTGATACTTTTTGATAGCTGTGGTTTCAGGTTGTTTTCTATTTATTATTTAGTCCCCAGTTCTAAAGCATCAGACACTGGAGAATTCACCCATCTCCAGTTGTGATACAAGTGATACAGAATGTTCTGTACCTGTGAATAGTGCAATTGTCCTGAAAAGACATTCGTCCTCAAGCACCTCTCCATGCCGAGGCCACGTGCTTCAGAAGGCAAAGGTGAGATTCACACGGTTGTTACATATTCTACTACTACTACTACTACTAAGTGGCTTGGTTTATTTATCCTTTCTCCATAGCAGAGAAGCCAGTTTGCTGTCTTGCTTTGCTTTGAAAGAAGATAACTGTTGATTAAAAAAAAAAAAAAGCCCTTGGAAATCATATTTCCCTTGAAAAGTTTCTTCTTTTAGTTCAAGTGAGAGAAAAAATGTGGAAAAATAGCTCTTCAGTTGCAATATGATTCTATAAAAAAAATATTTGTATTTTCTGCATGTTTGTTTAGCTTTGCCATGAGTGTTATCAGAACATTGAGTCTTACATATAAAGAAAGTCCACCAAAACAAATGACATTAAAGTTTGGTTCTTGCTTCATTATTTTATAAACAGATTCATCCAACTGACAGTATGTGAGGATAAAAATGTAATCATCCCCCTATTTTAGTCAATTTGATAAAAGAACAGGGGCTATTTGTTCAACAATAAAAGCTTATTTGGGCCAACCCTGCCTCACATAAACTTCAAACATTGACTGCCCTTATTAAGATAAAAATCTTCCCACATAAGCAGTCAAAAGAAATTTCTGAAGATTTCTGTAAAAAAAAAGGCATTGAAAAGATGTAGAGAAATATTCATGAAGGTCTACACCTACATTAGTAACCAGTCAGAAACATAGTCTTGAAATGGAGAAAGTTTGGGATATTGTTTCCAAAGTATGGACTGTGCTGTTAAAATCACTACAAATGTGCAGTGTGAAAATATTCAGGTGGTCACAAACAATCCCACTGTAAACAATATCCAGATTTGTAAATATCTCTCACATTAGCTAAAGTCGATGGTCATGATTTTATCATAGCTTGTAGCTTAATTCAATCTAGTTTCACTAACACTGTTGATCTGCAGAAGGAAATGAGGAATGGTCCTCCAGAAACCCCCAAACCTTGGGAAAGGAGCAGATATTGGCCATAAATTGCCTTTCATTGGTTCATATTAAGTGCTTTATGAAGGAGAACAAGCAAGGTTTAGAGTTGGATCTGGGTGAGAATTACATCCACTTTCCAACCACCTATTGTGTTTGTCTGAAGCCAAGTCTCAAAGGAAGCTCTAAGCTTGTCAGATACCCAAATGCAGAATCACATGCTAGATTGCACTTTAGTTTTTGCTTAGCAATTGCCTCATTAAGCAACCATTCAAAGTTACAGTGGTGCTGAAATAACTAATCTTAAAACCAATGTTTGCATTTATGACCTTTACAGTACCTCTCTGTCACAAGATTGCCGTTATAGTTAATATATGTTGCCCTGTGCCTGACTTGTTTTTCTTTCCCCAACCCCTTGCAAAGGTGAGAAATTGGGAAGAATTACAAAAGAGTAAGCAACCACACCATAGGAAATGTGCAATGAAAAGAATGTGGTGGCATCAGCAGCCCTGAGTGTGCTATGCAAATATTCCAGTGTATTCTCCATAGTGTGCCTGCTTCTCTCTTTTAATCCCTTCCTCTCCAATCTTCCCACTCAGGGAGTAGGAGATGGATGAGGCACAGGAGAAATTGCATAGCTTTTTCTTCCCCTCTGTAGGCAATCTCTCCTGTGTCTGACCTAGCCCCCCCTCCTCACAGGGAGGGGTTTGAAAGGGAGGGGTTCCAAGAGAGTAAGCAGGCACAGTGGGGAATACACTGGACTGTTTGCAGAGGACTCTCAGGGATGCTGGCATCAGAGCATTGATTTTCATGTGTATTCCCCATTGTGTGCCTGCTTACTCTCTCGTAATCAGTTCTCCAATGAATGTAAATACAAACATTAATTTCAGTCTTGTTAATTATCCACTGCTGTGGGGAGCATTCCAAAGGGGTGGGAGTGGCTAAGAAGCAGACAAAAGCTGAAGGTGCAAAACTAATTAGAAGATCCCAAAGGGCAGGGGAAGTGGGAAAGGAAAAGCACAGTTACAGTCACGTGATTTCCCAAGACTATTTCACTTAATGACAGAACTGTTGGTCCCAATTGTGGTTGCTAAGGGAGGACAACCTGCTTAACAGTTCCCTTTTCCATCTTAATAAGTTGTCCATGTTTACCTTCTTCCTGTTTTGACCCATAGTTGCAAGATTTTATGAAATCATACATTATACCAGTTCTGATTTCATTATTTTTTTGAGTCAGTAAGATTCTGAGGCTCTACAATGGGGCATCCCAGCTTTGCTGGATGGCCATGCTGGCTGGGCAATTATGGTAGTTGAAGCCCACACCCTTAGAAGTTATGAAGGTTTAGACTTTCTTTCTGGAATTGTCTTTTTTTTTAATCCGATTGTAAACAATAAATTTTTTCTAGGTTGGTACATAATATTTGACTTTGCTAATATGAATATATGTGTATTTGTAATTATATTTACATTTTCTTTTTCATTCTTTCTAGGAGTGGGAGATGAAAAATGGAACATAAAGAAGTACAATTGCTACTAGAATTCTGCTTTGGGTCTCTTGACTCAAGATGAACTAAGGAAGATTAATCTGCACAGGGGTATTAATGGGTTGTCAGTTCTGTTTAGTGAATGGTCAGTATGCTTAATACAGCTAAAGGGGGGGCCTTCTTGAATGTGTCATTTCAAATGCAGTGATTATTTACTCACTTAAAGTATGAAAGAAACAGTTTAAATGATTACGTAGATGGATCAGGTAAAACTAGCAACTGTGCTGGATGGAAATGGAGATTGGCATGTTTCAGTACCCATTTGGAATATATTTAGATACATTTTAATTATTAGATATGAAATCCAATTTTGACTCCCTGAAACTTTGCTATATGAATGTGGGGATTCACAAACTTGTAATATTAATTCAAGGCTTATGAATTTTATGCAAGAGAAGAATGGAGAGTTGTAGTCTTTGCAGAAATTACACACCTGCTGTTTTCCATGGTGAGTAGAGATCAGAGAAAGACTAAATTCTTAATGGGGAAGAGAGATTAGAGCAAATAGAAAGACATCTTCAACCCCAAGTAAAAATACCAGTCTCTTTTAAACTCTTTTTTAAAAATGTATTTATTTGCTTGCTTGTTTTGAAATGTTTTTACGGATTTTATTTTCAAGAATCAAATGGATGCCACTTTACACATACAAAAAAGCTCCGTAACATAAAAACTGATGTTTTGAAGCAAATTTATGAAAGAATCAAAAACTTTTCAAAACAAAAGAAAAATTTGGATTCAGAAATCCAAAATACCACCCAACCTAAAAATATTTAAATTGATTAATTTTAAATTAAAAATCCTTAAAATTGCTACTTTCCTTCTCTAATAAAAGCAGCATTGAATGTCTCCCCAAAAAATGAAATGGTGTTATTTCTAAAAATTGTTGTCTGTTAAAAAGAGACAGAATATTCTAAGACAACAATGTAAAACTTGTTCTTTTCCTGCTATAACTGTGGTTTAGGCATGAATCTGAATTGTGAGTTAAGAAGTGCCTACCTGAGAAGCATTAGGGAACACGGTAGCTCTGTGTCTTAGTTTCCAAACGCCATTTTCAGTACCGGGATAATAGTAACACCACCTTTGCAGACTTACTGAGATAGTATTTGTGAAGTACAATGCTTGAGATGATCTACATACCTTTTCATTACAGTCTTTCCATCTTCAAAGAAAATGTAAAATGTCTCTTCAGGTAGAGTTCCACTATTCCCTTCTGTGCATATGGGCTGCTCCAATATCATCTGGCATAGGATACAACACAGCTGTACAGAGAACTCCTCCATCGGATAGTAAATAGATTTGCAGTGCTTTCGCGTCTCTTTCTCCCTTTTACAGTTCTGTTTCTTACCCAAGAGCTGTGACAAAAACCATGGCTGGAGAGGCTCAAGTGTTTTCTCCTTTGTTCCCCTCCCTGTCATATTGAAGTAGAACACAGGTCACCATGTCACGTGACGTATCGCGACGTATCACAGCTCTTTTTGCATTGTCGGCAATGGGGTGGGTGTGGCTTCAGTATGATGAAACCGGCCCGTGGGCTGGCAGTTTGACACCGCGGAGGTAGAAAGTCCTTACAAGAAGCTGCTGCTGATAGAAAGCTCTGAGTAAATGACAGAATAGCCAGAGTTGGCTCTGTGCCCCCTGCTTCGCCAACCATTTCTATTATGTTTGAGTTAGAGTAGGTACTTTAAAAGTGGCAGGATCTCCAACTAGCATTACTTATGAGAACAGAGACCAAGGCACTCTAAACTAGTGACTTATTTCTTTATGCACCTGTACCACTCACTTTATAACACAAGGGACAACTTGAAGAGACAAAGTCTAAGTCTAAAATGCATTTATTTTTAAAGCACCTAGCCTTTTGCTAACTAGAAAGCCAGAAAGAAAGAATTGTGGTGGGAGAGAACTGCTTGGAGAAGGACAAATGCTTTGGGCATCAATCCCTTTTTATAGTTTGATCCCCAGCTATGCATTTGGATATAGCATTTATTCTTTGTATTGCCTGCATTCTTCATGTCCACAAAATGTAGGTCATAGTAGAACAAAAGATTTTCAGCTAGCCATATCCAGCTTCAGGATGGAGGTAGGTTTTTTTTTAACCTTGGAATGATCTTGCTCGGTCTTTAATAAGTTGCTTTTTTTTTATTTATTCTGAGATACTTGTTCTCTAGAATTCTCTGCCTAGTATTAGGTTTATTAAGCCTTTGCTGAAGACCTACAAATGCATTCAGGCCTTGTATAAATACAGTTATTCTTTAGATGATTTTTTTTTAATTTATTATAATTTAATTGTGGAGAGCTACTTTGGTATAGTGATTAAGACATCAGACTATGAACTGGGAGACTGTGAATTTTATTTTGCCTTAGGCATAGATCCTTGGGCCAGTCACTCTCCAATGACTGACCTTGGGTCAGTCGCACTCTCAGCATTAAGAAGGAAGCAGTGAGCAAGCCACTTCTGAAAAACCTTGCCGAGGACACTGTACAGACTAGTCCAGGCAATCACCAGGAATCAAAAAATGACTCAAAGGCACCCAAGCTGTTTTGAGAAAATTGCCTGGGAAAACAGCATGTAGTTAATAAACAAATACTGGGCTGCCATGAAATTCATCTGCCTGAATTTAGGAAAAAGGCATATTAAAAGGCCCTTGGGTGATAACCGCCATATCTAAAAAGATTCATCTTGCCTTTGGTGACTGGTGACTTATTAAGGATTAATGTCTGCATTTAAGTTCCAGGTATTACACACATCCATGAATTGTTCTAGTGTCCATAATGTAAAATGTAAAAATATTACACATCTTTACACATCTTGATGATAGATTTTCATTTTCTATAAGAAAGGCTGTGGCAGGAAGATGAATTAACAACTGATGGTTGAGAGTCCAGTTCTGGGCATAATCAAAGGTAAACAGTTTTACACAGTTGTAGGGACAATTGATTTCATGCATGTCAGTTATCTCAAAACTGTTTGCTCAGACAGAGAATGAGATCAACATGGGATCCACAATGCAGTGTCAGTAGGCTTAGTGTGCTCATACATGACTTCTTTTGTGTATTTCCTTGAAAATTTAATTTATAAAGATACATTTAATTTTAAATGGTATGTGCCCAGCTTTATTTCCAAAAATGTATGTGGGCCTTACATGCTCTGTATCTGACTGAAAAATCCATCCAAAGTGTAGCCCTGCTTACTAGTTATTTTGAATCTTCTGAGCAGCGTAGGGTAATTTCCAGTGAATCCTTGTTTCCTTTTTGTGGAAAATTGAGAGCTTCACTGTATTTGGAAAGGAATTGGCATAGAAAACAGCCTATATTTGTGTGTACAGGGAGGAACTCTGTATGCAGTTGGTTGTAGCACTAGCTTCTTGTTTATGTCAGAAAGATGGAGGATAAGCATTCCATAAATGGGGTATATTTTTGAGGCCCTGAATTTACATGCTTGATAATACAATTTTTCCACTGCTGCTTCTTCTAATAGTTGTTTGGATATTTTGCAAAATGCAGTGTACTGAAATACCTTCAATATAGCCCATTGATCTTTACTGAAAGGAAGTTTTAAACAAAAGTTATTTTGTTTAGGCAAATTATTTGAAACTAATTTATTTATATGTTTGAATAAATGTTTAATTTATGGATGTACATATTTATGAAACTAGATCTAGTTCTAATCAACAAATGTTTAGTAAGGAAGTGATTTCTTTTATGGTGTCTATTACATACCGCAAAACAAAGAGAATAATTAGAATAATTTTATGAGATATGTCCAATTTTATCTTTTTGAACATTATTTTGAGCATAGGGTGCATTTTGAATGGTAGTTGCTATCATTTCATCCTTTTTTCAACTGGCCATGCAATGGCTGGGGAATCTGACTCTCCAGATGTTACCGACCTACAGCTTCCAGCAACTCTAGCTAGCCTTGTTGTTAGTTTTTTTAGTTCAGTAGCATCAGAAGACAATGGATTCTCTAGGTCTGCGCATGAGAGATGAGCCTGTTATGTTGCTCCAGTGGCCTTATTCTAGAACAGTTTTATACATTTTAAAGATACCTTGACTTTCATTTGTTGGAATCATATTTAATGTCCTTGTTTGCCTAAGCATTTCCAGAAGACCTTTGAAATTGAATTAAATTTGCAATCTAGTTTGTCTTTCTTTGCTGTATTGCTTGTTCAGTTTCAGTTTTATGTGTGTTTACACTTTGTTGTTCTAAGAAATTAACACAAGCCATTTTGAAATATGCTTTGATGAAGAATTGGCACAGAACAATCTAATCTTGAGGCCAGAGGAACAATATAATAGTCTCTTCTAGGGGTAAAGGTGTGGTGTGTACAAAAAAAGTATATTTCACTGGTCCATTCTCTTTTCCCATCATGCAGTTCACTATCCTTTTGCAGGCTTTTGTTCATAGTTAGGAAGCCTTTATGAAGTCATTCATCAGGCTGCCTTGGCAATGGTGCTCCCAGCAACTTTTAAAAAGTTTTATATACATTGTATTTCTACACTACTGTACAGGGACATTTTACAGATTTAAGTTGCAATGGTATTGTTTTAAATTTTTGTTAGGAAATCATATTTGATGTCATAGGGTTGGGATATGAATATAATTTCAATGTATTTGGGGAATGAGCAGTTTTTTTTAAAAAAAAAACTATATTTGCAACATTTTAATACTAATTTTATATCAGTCTTCTAATATTACTTACTGCACCTACCAATTAATCGGAATTGTCTAATCCAAAATATTCATATGTTAAAACTGTAATTTCCTACTGTATTTTTTAAATGAAAACATATTTCAGTTCTCCAAGCAGGTGAAACGTATCAGTAAGAGGAACCCTCTTCTCTATATTTATTTTATGTCTCCTGTATTTTATTATACTGCTTAATGTTTTTCCTGTGTTCCTCAAAGTTCAGCTGTTAGAAATTAAATGCTGAATTAGTTAAACCTGCAGTTTAACTTTGGAGAAAACACCTTTATAAATAAATTCCAAATGAAAGAAAAAATGCCAACGAGAAACTTCGGCCTCATTAGCTATGATTTATTTTTACCTTTCTGTCCCCCAAATGTTACGACAGGCACCTTTTTTGGTGTAACGTTTACTTCTTATTAATAAAGAAAAATCGTGAAAAATCAGCGTTTGTTTTTCAGAATTCTTTTTTCTGGTGTTTTGCACAACTTCTTAGCACCTGATGCGCTAAGAAAAATGTTTTATGTTAGCTGGGCTACTTACTATGCCTTTTCTCTTTTTCTTTCACTGCTACATCTGGGTTGTACCTTTCTCCAGTGATAATTTGGTATGATCTCTGTAACGGTGCTATTACACATGGGAGGTAAATGGGTGAGGCTTTTTTGAATCTGAATAGTATGCTTTTCTGTCCATGTCTGTGGGGAGAAGGATGTGGGACTGGCTAACTTAAAGCCAATGTAGGATCTCTACTCTTAGTGGGCACATCAATCACATACATTTAATAAAGTGAGCAAAGTTTATAGTCTAAAAAAATAATTTTGGTCTGTTGTTGAAGGTTCCCAACCTGCCTGCTCCCCTCACAACACAGGGCTGCTAGGCATAGGAACAGTTTTCACAGGTAAGGAAATTAATAGGTCACTGAACTGCACCCGTTTTAACCTGTACACATTGGTCACCTCTTGCAGAGCTAATTGAGGTTTCCAGGTTCTCTTGAAACAAAAAGGAATGGTGACAGAAGATAACCTCAGCTTCAATTGGTCAGTAGGAGGTGGGCAAATCACCGCCTTTACTGCAATGTTTCTTGACCATGACAATTTTATACTTCACTCATCATCAGCCACATTCACCAAGCATCCTAGATAGTGTCCATAGCAAAAAGTAGGGACAAGAGAAGGCAGACTGCAAAATTTTAAAACTGGAACAGTTTTGGCTCATTTTAAGCTGCCTCCACTATGGGCTGGGAACAAGAGGATAAAAGTAATGTGACAAAGCCAAAGTTATTTAAGATGGTTAATAAGATAAATTTCTGCCCTGGCTAGAGGGATGTGCCCCATAGATGACATCACCCCCATTACATTTTATATTTATATAAATGGACACACATATTTAAAGAGCAGCTTGAGAACCAGGATGAAGTGGCTTAACTGTGTGGAGGAAGAGTTATAAATGGCCAGTTAAGTATACTGAAAGGGAACTTTAACTTCCATCTTGTCTAATTTGTCTTAAAAAAATCCCCACAAAGTGTCAAGAGTGTCAAAGCATTTTAATGAAGAAAATGCAATACAGTTTCTTGGAACAAGTGCATTCCTTTGGACACACTAATTGACCTGCTACATATTTTAAAGCAGAACAGTCTTAAGCTGAATTCCACAGCTTATAAATAAATTGCAATCAGAACTGTAGCAAGACCTAATTCAGCTATCTAGATTGTGCAATTGAACTGTAGTTAAATGTTAACATGATGTATATTTCAACATTTGCTTCTGCTTTTCAATGTGATCACATCACTACAAATTTGACATTTTATCTGTCACATATATACAAAAATATACAGACTCCTAAATCTCATCCACCTTACACCTCTTTGACAATTATTATTTTCCCTTGTATAGAAACAAGATTTGGCTAATCTTATCTAAAATAGTAATAGGAAAGTGTACTGTATTATCACAAAACTAGGTGAAGTGAAAGCAAAGAGAAATGAGTATTATTACTATTATATCAACTGTAAACTTTTCATAATTTATGAGTGTCAAGATTGTTTTCCTTTCATATTCCATCAAATGCAGGAAATTCATCAGGTGGTTTATCAATTCATGTCATAAATAATATCTAAGCCAGACTTGCATATTTTAGGGCCTATTAACAGTTTTAGACAGATCCCTTTACTGAAGCTGTTATGGGAAATAAAACACGATGTGCATCTTTTTAGGATTGTGTGATATTTATTCACTAAGGCGCCAAGATGGTCAAGGGTCTCTCATGCTCAGTGTTTGCTTTCTAAGCACACACATTTCAGCAATCATCATATAAACAAACACAAATACTATGTAAAGTGCAATCTGGTTCTTCTATGTGACAAATTTCCACTGAACTCTTTTAAGATGGCTAAAGTGGCGAGTAATGAGGGTGCATATCAGATTACATCACTGCATTTTCAAAAATATGGGCATCTCAAGGCCAAATAAATACTCCTACCTCTTGAAAAAAAAAGTACAATAGAATTTCTCAACTATTCAACTGATAAGTTTTGAGAAAACAAGGAGAAAATAAATTTACACTTATTTAGGAAGAATCAACATTTATTTAATGGAAGGTAAAAGGGAACTACAAAAGGAACAGAACTACATGGAGCCTAAACATACTACAGCCCTAGAGCGAAAGGACATGCCAGCAGAAAAGAGAGTTTTTGAGAAGATAATGCCATTATTGCATTTGATGGATGGGATAACATTCAGATCCTTGAGGCAGTCATGAAAGGCTGGGCAAGTTTAAGCCCAGCACATGTCTAATGCAAATCTCTTGAGGTAAAGGCTAAATTGTCCAAAGCAGGGTCAAAACAGGACAGAGAGAGTAACTGAACAGGAAGGCCATGTAACAACTCAAACTTGCAATTCTTGAGCTACATGCTCCAAGTCACTTTCTGCTGCCTACAAGAAGACTGTGGAAGCTCTAAATACCACAGAGTTAGATAAGCTGGACCATGGAAACCTGTGGAAGAGGAATAGGCTGCGAGACATAGCCTCACCATTTATTTCAGCCTAACCCAGTGTATCTCCTGGCAGGAGTTAGTGCCTTGTCAGTCGAGCAGTAGAAGTCAACATGCTAAGCTGCACTACCTGCTGGAATCCCCATGTGCCCTTGTGGGCCGCTGGACCCTGTTCCTCTGCAGAAGCAGCTGAGGAGAGACTTGGCTTGGGCAGCCAAGCTGGCAGGTTGGGGCTGGCTGAGAAAAGGAGGAAACGGCAGAGGTAGAAAGCCAGGACTGCTTAGTCTGCTGTGAGGATCTCTTTATGAGACAGACATGGAACCAGAATATTTGTAGTTCAGAGTTGGAATAAGGGGTCCTTGCTGCTCTCTGAGCTTGGTTTTCTCGCAGATGTAGTGATGCTGTTACCTAGGTCAGGTAATGAAATGTCTGCAAGGAAACAACCGAACTCAGCACCAAGGACCCCGCATGAGTGGGGGGAAAAAACGAAAGAGTTTTCTGCTAAAAATGTCTCAGGCAGAGCAGGGAGAGACAAAAGAAAGCAAATGAAAAAACAGACCAAAGGGAACTTCTCAGCAAGGAGGTGGGAGAAAGGCAGGGTTTTACCAGCTCTTAGTGAGATGGTTTTCTAGACTATTTAATTTTGGGAAAGAATTTGAAAAAAATGTCACAGATCAATATCACACTGGTATTTTCATTAATAAAAAATGCTGCCAGCTAAATCACAATCTAGCTTTTAGCTGTGGTTTGCACATACCTCAGTTTTGCAGTAAAGTTGTCATTAAATTCATTGCTGTTAAATAGCATCTTACAATACTCTTCATTTTCTTCATTTATGACTCACTGGGGACTTTGTATCAATGCTTCAACAATTCACATTTGAGATCCCTACCATATAACAAGGACTGTGTATATTAAAAATATTTCTTGCAAATGATCACTTAGTGTAACTTAAGATACATCAAACTGTCAGCCTGCAGGAAATTTAAATTCAAACTATGCTGAATGATCTTGGACAAAAAACACAACAACTTTGGATAGACATTTGCAGAGATGAAATGGCAGAAATCTCTAAAGGTACGTTTTATGCGAGATCAACCATTGCCACTCCTTGATAGATTTTGGATACAAACTGTCTGGTACAGAAAAATGTGTTTTCCTTCAGTCATTTGGGTCCAAAATGGCCTTTTGTGTTATTTTTAAGGCAGTTTTAAAATCAGACCTTGAACTGGGCGTGGAGTCATGAAACATCCAGCACAGCTCCCTCCAGACTGATCAAACGCGATTCAATTTGGCTGGACTTCTTGACAGTCCTACAGGTCCATTCTGTTCTAGCTGAAACTTCTGGCTCGTCTTCAAGGCTAACTGCAGCACACGCAACACAATACAGTGAGGGTGGGGCACCTGTATATTTCCAGAAGTTAAGGACAACTTCCAGCAATCATCACCATTGGCTATGTTGGGAAATGCAGCTCAGCAAAACTGGACAGCACCTCGCTCTGTGTTTCAATAACACACTGGAAGATTATCCAAGCAGAGACCAATGTTGCTGGATGACTTTTGTTCATCAACATTTGCAGCTGGTGAACTTGGAGGTCAACAATACCTGAAGTGATAAAGCTGAATAAAATAAAACTCCCTAAGCTATTTGCCTGCTCTTTCAAAGAGAATTAAGCCCCATGCGTGCAATATCCCCTCAGTCAACTATAATATAGGGCAGGGGTAGGCAACCTTGGCTCTTTTATGACTCGTGGGCTTCAATTCCCAGAATTCCTGAGCCAGCATAAAAGAGCCAAGGTTGCCTACCGCTGGTATAGGGCTTCTAGGCACATATCTACCTTCAGTTAACTCTTGCCTATCTAGCTCTTTATTAATTTCCAGGCTCCAGGAGAGCACAATGTTTATAAAGGCAAAGGAAATCAAAGGGCTGTTGCCATATCTTCATCCTTCAATTCCATCACTTAAGGGAAGAATGCACCTTAAAAAACAAAGAAGAAACGGGCAACCTTCTTTCAAAAGTCTGAGACTAGTCTACTACAATGTACTTTACATGATTGTTTACATGTCCTCTAGAGCAGAATGCACTAATTGAACAAGTTACAAGGAGCAGTTCGAGAGCATTTGCTCTGCATCCTTATTTTCAGGTGAAAAAAAGAAATCAATGTTTGAGTTCAGAGTCTCCATACAGGTAATCCTCGAGTTACTACAGTTCACTTCGCAACCAAAGTTATGACATCATCCCCCCAAGTACTTAGGACAGAGCGCTGAGATTATGAATGTTGCAGCACCACGGCAATCGCTTACCCTTATGAACGACCACAAAGGCACCGCAAATTTGCCCTGCCTATTCCTCCCCCCATCCTGCTAGATCTCCACAGCAGTTCTCTGCAAATGGAGGGATGAACAACAAGATCCATGTCAAAAGGCTTTGCAAACAGACAGGAGGCTTCGGTGCTTCATTCCTTTTGCCATTTCCTTGCCAAAGCCTGCAGGGGTGAGAGATTACGTCCCTGCATGCTTCGGTCGTCTTTGCAAAAAGCTTTTCCCGCCAAGAACGGAAGCCGGGAGGGGCATGCGCACCACTCCCAGCCTTCATTCTTGGTGGCAAAAGCTTTTTGCAAAGATGACTGAAGCATGCAGGGACGCAATCTCTCATCCCTGCAGGCTTCGGCTGGCTTTCCTCAAGGCTTTTGCTGCCAAGAACGGAGGCCAGGAGCAGCGCACACACATCTCCCAGCCTCCATACTTCATGTCAAAAGTTTTTTGCAAATATGACCAGAGCCTGCAGGGATGCAGGCAAAGAAATTGCCGCAGAGAGGCTGAAGAGGACACAGCTCACTTGATCACTGAAATCCTCAAAAGGTAAGTGAGTCTCCACAGGCCAAGTCCCTGTGGACACCCAGTGGGGCGGGATGGAGGGAGAGCATGAAATATTTCAGTGGGTTGGGGGAGGTCTTGGATGGTCAGAAGCACTAGGCCTCTCCATGGTCTTCCTCACCCTGAGATATCTCATGTGCAATTAACGACTTGAACACTTAACGACCTGAGCATTTGATTAGCAAAGGCTTTGGGTAAATCAGGGAGGGATCACATTAATTGAATATGATCCCTCCCTGATTTACCCAAAGCATTCGCTAATCGAATGCTCAGGTCATTAACAAATTCCTCGGGTTACAAATGTAATTGTCAGGCTTTATTACATTCATAAGTCGAAGACTACCTGTATATTTGAGCTTGTTTATTTTAAAGCTCAACTGAAAATTTCTCAAGTTCCACATTCAAATAGCATGGAAAAGCATTCCCAAAATAAGGAATTCCCATTCCTGCAGACCGATAGAATCTAGGCCTCAAAACTTTGAACCCAAAAGGAAGGCTTATAAGCAGAACAGAACAAAAATAGCACTAATATTGGCAGGACCTACAAGTGTCAAAACCAAAATCAGAACATCACCTAAGTTGTCACTGGAGATTTTCCCACTGGGAGTCAAGGATAACCCACAAGAATTGTTGTTTCAAGAAACAGAACCACAGAAAAGTCCTTTCAGAGCACCAATGAAGACCAGCAAAATGGAATGGTGCCTGACCATTCCCATTACAATATTTTTGTATATTTAACTTTTGGAAACCACTATCTGGCTCATCTCACAAAGATAATTTATCCTGCATAGTTCCCCAAGGCTCATGGGAATAAATCTTAACAAAACAAAACATAAAAATACACCCATCTCATTCCTAAGGATTGCCAATGCCCAAAATATGCATACACAGTGCATACAATCCTCTGCAAAATAGGTGTGCCTCAGTCCCACAGAAAATAATTGAATAAAATTGCACAACAAGATACTTAAGTCCCCATTTATCTACACCCATTGTATTAGATTGCTCAATTTATAAAAAATTTGGAAAAACCTGAGAGGTTTGCCAGAGACCTGCCAAGGACTTTCTTACATGCTTGTTTCTAAATGGTTAACAGATAGAATCTACAACAGAGACAAATGGATATTGATGTTATAAATGCACCATAAAACAAAGGAGAATTTTAATGATGAAAGAGGCAGGACTGTGTAGGCTTGGCTGCCCTGAAATTCTAAACTTCCACTTGGCTCTTCTCTTAGGCTTCTGCAATTGGGAAGTACTGCCAAAGGAAATGCTCCTGAAAATCATCTGCCCCCCCCCCCAAAGCATTAATATTCTATGAATGCCACTCATGTCAAATTGTTTCCCCATAGCAGGATAGGGCCAGGGGCATCTACAGCTGTGTGGGTGGATACCAAAAAGTCATAACCAACAAACTTAGAGAGACTTTAGGAAGACTTTCTTGGATGGAAATCGCAAAAGGGAGAACAACTTAAGATGCCTAGGAAACTCTGAAAAATGAGATTATAAAAGTTCAATCTAATACAATACAATTGAGAAACAAAAACAAGACGAAACCAGCATGGTTGCACGAAAAACTCTCTGATAAACTGAGAGACAAAAAGGGCAAGTATAAGAAATGGAAAGAGGGACGCATAACTAAAACAGAATATCAGCATATAGCACGAATCTGTAAGTCAGGAAAGCTAAGCCTCAGCATGAATTCAAACTTGCCAAAAATACTTTTAAAAGTTGATTTCAACATGTAAAAAACAAGAAAAAAGTCAAGAAAACATTTGGTCCACTAATGGGAGAAGTGGCAAGGAGGTACCAGGTAGCCAGGAAAAAGCACAAAAGGAAAAAATACTATAGTCCAACTTAACAAAAGCAGTACTGTAGAAGACATGAATGCAAGATAAAATAAGCAACAAAGTGGTAAGAAAACACTTATCCACTCTAAATGAGTTCAAATTGTCAGGACCAGATGGATTACACCCCAGATTTCTGAAGGAGTTGGCAGACACGGATCTCAGAACCACTGAACAAAATCTTTCAAAGAGTCTGGAGCACTGGGGAACTACCGGTACTGGAAGACTGAAAAAAGAGCTGATGTGGTTCCATAAAGAGAAAAAACATGGACTCGGGAAACTACAGACCAATCTGCTTGACCAGGGGTTTGGGCTACAAGGCCTCTTCCGTGATATAATTCAGATTTTACCAGACAAGAAAAGACATACTGTATGTTAATTTGGGTTTTAGTTATATGGAATATTATTAAGGTGACCAACCATCCTCCTTTAGGGAGGACAGTCCTCCTTTTGTAAGTTCTGTCCTCCCTCAAAATTTTCACCTACTTTTTGGGTGGCCTTCTGAAATTTCAAAGTCTTCTGGCCCATAAATATTGCCTATAAATATTGTCCAACATGCACCCAGAAGAGACTCCAGGTTATCTTGTGGCCTAGATGGCCTTCAACTTGTTTAAGGAGGCTAAGGAAGGCAATGCTTCATTGTCAGAAATGTCACTGTCCTATTGAACAGCTGAAAACCACAGAAAGAGAAGGAAGGCAAGTCTCCTATGGGAATCTGGATCCTATCTAGTCAGTTCCCTGTCATAAGCTTAATTTACCTAAACCAGGGGTATGCAGCCTTGGTTCTTTTATGACTTGTGGACTTCAACTCCCAGAATTCCTGAGTCAGCATGGCTGATTCAGGGTTTCTGGGTATTGAAGTCCATAAGTCATAAAAGAGCCAAGGTTGCCTACACCCGACCTAAACCCTCCCTGTTTACTGCAACGAGGCACATTGAAGTTTCTCTCCTCCAAGAGTCTTTTATCACCCATCACCAAAGGAAATTTAGAGTTTAACATATGGTCTGGCATTTACTTTCATCATCACTCCTATCTGGGATGGTCGTCCTGTTCCACCAAGTGTGTAGCATTGGGAGAGATGAACATGAAGCAGTGAGGGAGGGGACACCTGCCTAGTCAGCCACATCAGCCAAATCAACCCTGGTGATCAATGGGGTGAGATGTGACAGCCAGATCGCCCTGATATTCCATTTACTTTAATCTGTCTATAAACTCTTTCTGTTGCACGGGTGGATAAAAATATACTATCTCTGGAAATGTAATGTCTATCTTTCTGTACATCCAGTACAGTGTGATGTAGTGTATATTCATTATGTGACATCAGTGATGTAATCCTTCTGCAGACTTGGGAACAAATGAAAAAAAATTGTTCCGGGGTAACAAGTATGCAATTTGCTATTTGTAGATCTATATTGGCTCTTAATAAAGGGTAAACTAGATGTTATATATTGAAGTGTGACCGAAAAAATAAACGTATGGTTTGTGTATCAGTGGAAAGCGTTAATGGAAAGCATTCTTGGCAGGAAGAAATATATACCTGGATATCTAGACAGGGGGAAGAACCACATGAGAAAACAGCCAGCAGGAAAAAATAAAGTTTCTGTTCATTCCAGTCTTTTGTTTCTCCACATTTTAAAATGCTGGCATTTGGTGAAATTTATTGCTTCTGAAGAAAAGTCCAGTTTTGACTCACTATTGTCAGTGTCACAAAAATATCCAACTCTTACAACCAAATCTACTTCTTTCGTATCAGTCTATTTCAATTATACAAATGCTGTACAAAGTGATTTTCTTACAAATGATGCAACAAACATTTATCTCAAGAACTAATCTGCCAATATAAGAGATACCTGCATCTAAGGCTAGAAAATATTAAAGAATCCAGTCTTTTTATTCTATAAAAATTCCTATGACAAGTATTGCTTCTATTCATTCTCAGGAGACGCAATTATCAATATTTGTTTGTTGGCTTAACCACAGTTGTAAACCACATACCAGCAGCTTTTCAAACAATAATGAAAGCAAGTAGCCTTAAAAATACTGCCCTTGCATTTTACAGAGCAAAGCAATGTTGTATCAAAAGATCTGGACTGAAATTTCTTTGCAGTGGCTAGATCCCAACCTGCTCTTTTCATTTGCAGAAAGAAAAATCTCTTTATTGGGAGAAGGAGAGGGAGGAAACGGCAAGAGAAACATTAAACCGAGGGACCTTTTAATGAGCCCAGATGGTAGGAGTAAGTAGGGTCCAGAAGATTCTGACGTAAATAAGTAAGAGTTGGCAATATGAAAACAGGAATCTGTGTAGATGGAGCTTCTTCCTCTAGTAAAGCTAGTAAGAAGTTGTAGCTCTATCTACAGTAACCGCAAATAATATACAGTACTGTACTGCAGTGTAGTGCTCCCACCTTAAAACAGACATTATCTTACTGAAGGAAACAGAAAGTGTGAATTTTGGGATATTCTAAGTTTGCTGAACAGCAATGAAGTAAAATAACATCTCAAACAAAGATCACCCTTCATTTAACTCTATCTCCAGTTACGGAAGAGCAGAGTTAGAAACAAAGTTTTCACTTTAGGAAAATAACAAAATCAGATGTTTATGCTATGATCAGTACATGTACACTTTTTACTGCTGATCATTCACAGATTTGTAAAAACATGGAGTCTAGATTTGCGATCTGCCCATCCTGCTGCATTGCTAGGGTTACTTTTTAAACGTGTTTCCAAATTATAGTGCACCAGTAATTTTTCATCACAAAAATTGTGGGTCTTTTTTAAATTTTCAGTACCAGAAATACCATAAATAGTAAAATGAAGAGTTCTGTCCCTTAATACCAAGAATAAAAATATTTTATGAAGAATACCCCCTTTTTGTTTTTAAACACTTAGACTTCCATATTTTTTCAACTGCAATTATTCTCTGTACAGGTAAGGCAGTGGGGAGTTGTTGCTCTTTTATAAGAAAATGTGCAGGCCACTAGGAGCTCTGCTGCACAGACAGACAGAGAGATCCTGAGCAGGTGGCAAATAAAATGTTGCCATTCATTTCCAGCAGCCTTATATCTGCTGGAATGATCAGTTCCTGAATGCATTGTGCTTGACACAGTACTGCAGTAGTTGCTTTTGTGCACACATGAGAATGAAATACATCAACACAAAATGAAATATGGAAAGAATTCATTGACACCTTGGAGACCCAGTCATGTAATACATACACAATAAGTGCAGCACAAGTGATTTGTTAAGGATCGTTCATTGATATTCAGAAACTCTTTCTAAATGTGCACTTATGTGTGTATTATTTCTAGACTACTTTGTGGCTAGTTTTCTATATGTGTCTACTTTGACAAGTACCACCAGTCTAACTGCACTTTTTGCTCCATAAAGTTACTGGGGTGAAACAAGCACATTCACAATTAAACTTGCAGTTCTTCTAAATAACAATAGAAATTATTTCCTGCCTATAGAAGTAAGACTTCACTTAGCTCCAGTTTGAAAAATGAAGCATGATATTTAGGATGAAATTGAAAAAGTGCAATTATTTAAATGGAATTAATCAAATTTGATTCACCAGATTGTCAAACACGTCCAAGGCAGTGATATTTTTAGTTTGTTCAGCCCCAAAGTAGAAATAGGAAAAAAAAGAATAAAATAGCAAATTTGAAATAGGCTGCTTTGACAGCATTATCCTGAGATAAGAATGATTTTATAGCTATAAAAATAGAAAGTGTAAAAAAATACAAAAAAGCTACTGAAATTTTAAAAAGTAATTACACTTGCTGTTCTGGAAACTAAAGAAAAGATAAGGCAGCCCAAGCTGTTTAATGGTGTGGGTTGCAAACTGACTGGAAGTCTAGCGGAACATTCTGACCGAAAGATGGGGGTGTCAGACTAGAACGAACCTGACCTGGGAGCAAAATGAAGCTGAAAGCTTCTTTTGGTGATATATTACAAAAAGCTTCTACTCGTTTTCCAACATCAGCATCAGTTTTTATATTCTGAAATAGAAGGAAGATGTTATCTAGATCTCCAGTGGGCCTGAAGAGCTATGCCAGTGAGTGATCACCCTGTCTCTTCAATGCATCCCTTCTGAAATGTGCCATATCTGATCCAAGTTGCTGATTTAGCAGGAAAAAAATCCCAAATATTCACCCATTTCTGTTTCAACTATTTTAAAACTAACCTTCATGCCTTAAGAATGGCAGCCTGATGTCACCATAGTGAACAAAGTCTGAAATGAGTTTGATTACGTGGACATAAATAAGCCAAGGGACCCAGAGACAGACAAAGTGGTTGCAAACATGCCTAGGGCTACAGATCTGCTATCTTAGTCTGAGGTCAGCAGCCATGAACACAAAGCGTATTATTGTGTTTTCCAAGTAACACATGGCTGTTGTATCTTCGAGACAGTCTCCTTCCCACTAGCAGTGAATTCTTCAGAGAGGAAAGGAGGGACCCACAGTAGAAGATTCTTGAATATAGGTTGAGTTGTATCAGCTAACCAGGTAACTGTGCATTTCCCTGGAACTAATGCTCAGAACCATGCCTGAGAGATTGCCTATGGAACAAACAAACAAAGCACCAAGATTAGCAAATTATAGGGCATTGAAAATAACCCCCCTTTTATTCAAGGAACAATTCTACCACAGTGGAAAGGTGTGGAAATGGTGCAGCAGATCTGAGGTGCAATGCTGAAAATGTTGGCCATTGTTGAATCCTCATGAATTCCTACAACTCTGAGCCAAAAGACAACCTTCAGATTCAAGCAGAGTTAGATGAGAAAGGAGGACGGCCCCACGGGCTTCCTTCAACATACACTGACCTGGGACTGGACACTGACTGCCATCAGCAATAAGGGAACTCTGTAGCTGTTCAAGTTTCCACCTCTCCCAGAAGGAGTCACTGCAAGGTAATGGTGTGGAGGAGGAGTCCCAAGGTGGGGATGGCGATAAAGTAGGCAACATAAAATATACAAAAACAACAGAAATGGATGGGTGAGCTGAGGAATATGCCATATAATTTTTTTTCAAAAATATGAAAACAGAAAATTCAATTTGCTTCATTATATTATGAACAGAAAATAACTTACAATAACTTCAGTGAAACGGGGATGACAAAAGGGCCTTTCAAATTTAAATGACTGTCTCACAAATATTTAAAATTCTAGTAAGAAGTGGTAGAGGTAGAGAATAATTCTCCCTTGTTAAGAAATCCTAAAATAAAAAGTACATTTGCATGCATTCTACCCTCACAATACAATTGTAACTTCCAGAAGTGTCAGCAATGGCCATACTGCTTGGAAAGTTCTAGAAATTAGTCCAATCATGATCCTATTCTGAACTCTGGACTAATTTCTAGAACTTTCCAAGCAGTATGGCCATTGCTGACACTTCTGGAAGTTACAATCCAGACATTTATAAAGTGCCCTGCATAGGGAAAGGCAAGGTTGTGCTGGGCTAAGAGTAATCCAAATCAGCCCTTGAGTTTTATAGTAATGAGTGAGAATTTGAACCCGTGTTTTCCTGGCTCTAATCTGAAATGCAGTCAGGTATAGTGGCACTTTATCATCCACTATGGAACATTAGGGTTGTTCCATTTATGCTTGACTGTCCCTAAACTGAATCAGAGCATATCACAGGAATCAGTGCAAAAGCATATTAGTAGGTTTGGATGGAGAATGCACATCAAACTTGTAATAGGTTCCAGTTAGCAATATGAAGAGATGATAGAAATGAAGAGGGGGGGGGGAAATATTCTGGAATGGCTCTTTTATCAAAAAAAAAAATGTAATTCATCTGGCAATACAAACATAATGAATCTCTCTTCAAAATTATTTTTACCCTGAGCAAAACAGGAAATTGAGAATCCAAGGCAATTAGGAAATTATTTCATCCTTTTCAATACATTCCAGACCCAAGCATTTTTGGTATCGCTTACTAACTTCAGCAATTTGCTTCAATATTTTGTTAAAAATATTTATTATTAAAAATCAAAATGTACATCACTGATCCAGCGATGAGTTGCTGCTACTCCATGACTACTTCATGTAATGTAACTTCTTCATACGGCTACAATATTTTTACACTGTAGTTATTCTATTTTATTTCCAAAAGCTTATTCTAGGATTCCTGGGATGTTATTACATTTCTCAATCTTTAGTTGGTGATACCCAAAATTTGGAGACGCAAAAAGCCATTTTACATTCTCTTACTTACCGGTATTACACTATTATCCTTCTTTCCTCTCCCTTCTACCCACTCCTGCTTCTCAGCATGAAAAAGTTATCAGAATCCAACTGAATATCTTAGCTAACAATCCAGTTGCATCCTATCAGTGAACCAGGTTAGGCAAGCAGCAAGAGGGGTGGAGCACCCAAAAGCTCAAGGTGGCAACAGCTACTGCTTCAACTCCTATGCATAAGAGTTGGGGCTTCACTTACATCAGTGAGCCTGCCATCTTCACTTTTTGAGACATCCCTACAGATAAATTGTAAACCAATAGGATAGTTTGTTTTTCATGCTATGCCTCTCCTTCCATTGCTTCCATCCAACTCTCTGCTTCAAACTCCTCTGTGGTAAAATAATCCCATACCAAACTACTAAAACCATAGGATGTAATTGGCCATCAGCAACCTTTTCAGGCATTGGACAGATGACCTTAAAAACAAAGAAGAAGAGAGAAAAAATGCAGAATTTGTGCGGTCTCACTCTCAAATGTTGTGAGAGGTTAGTATTTTATGTGATTTCAGGCATCTTTTGTCAATACTGTTCAATTTAATTTTCAGGAAGCAGGATCGTGGTATTGATCCATGTCCATGGAAGTATCTTACATAAAAGTATCTAACTTTTATGAAGCAGTTAGGCCACTTTATGAGAGGTGTTGGGAATATAAGGAGAATTGCCCTGTCATTTAAAACAGAACGGGGAACCTGTGTGCCCCAGAGATGCTGCTGAATTATACTGCCTAGCAATCCAACCAGTACATCCAATAATAAAGGATTCTCCTTTCACACACACACACACACACACCTATTTATTATGCTGTCAGAAGATTTTTTTAATATACCTGCTTCAATGAGTTAATGTATATATTTAAAACATTTAACACCAACAAATTTGAATTCAGTCTTGAATATTCTTTTAGTCCTGTAAATTACTTCAGCATAGACACATTTTTCTAAAAAATCTCCAATAACTGTCACACGTGGCAGCGTGCTTTACAGTAATCATCATAATCATTAGCATTTTCTCTCTGTTTTTTTTTTCAGAAAGCACCTGGATCTTAAACATATTGTCAGTAGTCTGACATAACTGGAAAAAATTTTGTGGAAGCTGAAATAAGATGAAGTCAGTATTATTATTTGGTATGGGATCATCTTAAATACCAACTAGATTCCTACATTATTTTCATAAAAAAATTATATTTACCTCTTGCATTTCCCAGTGTTTGACAATCAAGATCATCATCAATGAATTCCTCCCCCTGAGTATTTTGGGTATCCTCTCTGTGGTTTACAGGGCTGGTCATCTCTTGTTCTTTTTCATTTTGCATCTGAGCATAGACATTTCTCCCTGGTAATTTCCTTAAGAACATAAGATAGTTTTTTAATATTGTAAAGCATGGGTGTTAAACTCGCCACGTCAGGTGACGCGCCGTGACATATTGCAACTTTTTTTACATTGCCGGAGCTGGGGTGGGCGCGGCCTCCGTATGATGCAACCAGCCCGCAGGCCGACAATTGTTATAATGCATTGCCTTGATCTACCAAGAGTGACCCATAGGTGGAAGCATCCATTGCAAGAATGATTGTCTATGTGTTCATTTAGACTCACTGAGCTACTATGAAATACTTTCTGATGTTTATGCAAATATCCCAACCAAATCTATGGCATCAAGACTCAGATAATTATCTTGGAATTTTTATGTGTTGCTCAATTCTCTGCATTTACCTTATTACACAGGAACTTAAGAGTTTTCGAGCACACAATGCAGCGTCTTTGGGGCAGGTTCAACAAGAGCTCACAATTCCACTGGATTCCATAGTTATCTATACTAAAATACAAGCTATCTTTTCCAACAGAGATTATGATTTTTTTCATAAAAATGCAAGAATTTTTATTCTTTTTGCTATTTTTCATAATTTTATTTAAATTATAAATAAAATAATGTTTTGTGTTTTTAAAAAATGCAGTAATAACTTTTGTATTTTTTTATAAAAAAATACAAGAAGCAATGGGTGGAAGCTCGTTAAAGCAACATCCAACCTGGAACTAACGGACAGCTAATGAATGACCCTCAGAATACTAATGACCAGATGACTGCAAAGAATATAAATCTTTCCATTCCCTACCAGTCAGTTAAAACTAAAGAAGCTTCTTGGATGTGAAGTGAAATGTTTTCAAAGAAAAGAACCAAGAAAGTCTAACTGCCTTTTGGAAAAGCACCTTTGGGACAACCATGACCTGGATGATTGAGAATCTCCATAGACATGATGTCCACAACCTTACACCATAATTGAATACAGCAAAGTAGAAAACAAGTTCACTAGAGATAACAGAGGTAACTGCTGCCACATTCATGCATTCCCATAGTAATCTTTGAACAATGTAAGTCACCAAATGGGAAAGGAAACGTTTTAAGAATTGTTAAATTTAATAAAATATATGTTTAGCTTCAAAACACTTTCCTATATTGAACTGGAGTCCAACTGACTATTGCTCATTAAGGACAGACATAGGATGCTTGAAGATTAAAGGACTCTTGTTGCTATAAAAAATTATAGAGCTACTCGACTTTGTAACATGGAAACACATGGCAAAATGAAAATATTAGCTGCTTTAATTAAATGAATTCAATGAAAACATTCTATTCATTCATGTAAAATAGATTTAAATATTCTTATCATCTGACCATGCCCTCACACCATATTTACCCAAAAGGAAGATGGACCTGAATTAAAAAAAATTATAAACATATCAGAAAATATAGTTATTTCATCCAATCCCCATCTGTTATTTTCTGTTTTTGCTGAAAGGAATAGGTATGTATGGAAATGTGTATGTGTGTGTGTATGTATGTGTTGGAAAATTTGCGTAAAAATACGACTCCTGGGCATGTCTATGGTACAAATAAAATACGAACACCAGGAGAGTATAAATATAAAAATATACTTTACTAAAAGCTGCCAAGCTTTCGTTTGGAAACTCCAAACATCATCAGGGCTAAGGAGCCAGTAAACAATGATGACTTAAATGGGTTTTGCCGGCATCTGCAGCCGGCTCATGGACCGCGTCACCGGTCCCGGCCGGTTAATTAGTGTTCCAGATGTTTCTTTATTACTCTCCTTACGCTTCCTTCTATGGTTCTTCCGGATCGTTCCTTCCACTATATCATTACTGGCATTCATCTCCTCCACCACCCCTTTATCCTTATTTCCTTCCATAGTACCGACCCTCCTCCCCTTTTTGTTTTCATTTTCCACCCTGGGGGCATCTGTTTCTCCTCTATCAGTGTTACAAGCTTCCTTGGGCTCACAGACGCTCCCCCACACACACGCTTTTCTCAATCCCTGCTCCACACCCTTTCTTCTCACTCCTCCACTGTCATGAGTAACTTTCATACGGGTGTTGCATATTTGGGGGTCTATGCCCTCCTCCTCCATCCTGGCAATCTTCGTGTCGACAGTTCTCCACCGTTCCATTTGTTTGCTGCGTGATCGGGTGCTTACTCCGTCTCTCAATTCATCATCCCCCCTCCTCCCTATCGCATGCTCTTCCCCATTGCTGATAGGAACGGTATTCAGGCGGATCACTTACCTTTTGAATTTGTAAAGGACTATGGCTCCTATAACCACAAGTGAAATGACAAAAAGAGCCATTATCATCCAGTACCCATTGCCTCCTCTGATGCTCTGAGAATCTGAAATTAAAGTTAAACCCTGGTAAGTGGAATCTTTAGCAGAATAATCTTCTAATCCATCGTAAAACATTTATCTGTTCAAACTTCAACTTGCACTAGAGTACACTTTTTTTCCCACAGTGATGCAGCAATGAAATCAGCCTTCACTTCCTGCATATTCTCCAAATGTGTTGGATTTCAGAATATTTTGCCTTAAGATGTTGGGAATTTAAATTCAACACCTTCAGGGTATCAACCCGAGTCTTGCTTTCATGTTCACCTCCTATTTCCTTCCAATTCCTTGACTCTGCTAAAATATATCTTAATTTTAATTACCTGGTGGACCAGTTCCATAATATAGCCCTTTGGCTCCCAAGTTTAGTAAAAAAATTAACGCAGGGCAAACAAAAAGCTTTATTTGATGTAATCCATATAAAGCTGACTATTGTCACAGAATAATTCTGAATTATCTATCATCAATATTAGTGTAGCTTAAATATTAGAAAAATATTTTCTCTGGGGAAAACTCTACTACTGTAATTGTCTAAAAAGAGAGGAGGGGAGGGGAGGGGAGGGGAAACAGGAGAGAGGAGAGGGGTAAGGGGAGAGATAGTTTACCTGAATCAGAACTACCTAATACCACAAGGACCCATTTTCCTCCTCTCATGAAGAAACTGATGTTTTGGGCATTCAGAGATTGCTTAATAGCAGCTAACCGCTGGAAATAAAAAAAAGTCATATAAAATAACAAATCAGTGCATTTCTAATGCTGTTAAGTTTCAGTAACTTCAGAATAAGGAAGAAATGATGAGATGGAATTGGCTTCATGTATCCTAAAAAACAGAGAAAATTATAAAGGATGCAACTTATGCAGACAATGAAATGGAAGCGTTGCTTCTAAACTATTAACTGCTTCTATGTGCAAGTTGATTAGCTCCCAGGGTAAGGCCAAGAAAAAGGCTACTGGAAGAGTGACACTTTCATTCTTATCTATCCCTCCCTTTATTTCAATCTTTCTATTGGAATTGCACATAATAAATTCTAATACTTCCAGATTAAGGTGTGCTGATATTAGCCAAAAAGGGAGGATAATGTTTTTGTATACAAATCCAGTCACTTGGGTAATTCATGTTTCACCTGTCTAAAAATAAGACAAAATACATCCTAAGGCAAGTTTGGATGCTATTTGTACCAGTGCAGAATGTCTAAGGCAGTGTTTCTCAACCTTGACAATTTTAAGGCATGTGGACTTCAACTCCCAGAATTCCACAGCCAGCAATTTTTCCCTGTTTCATTTCTAAGATTACATTTGTAAGAAATGAGATAATAGCCTAGTAGCCACATGAATCTAAACCCAATTCTTAGTGTGTCATTACAGCCTGCTCAGGCAACATTTTGCTACAAGATGTCTACAGCATAGGATGCCCAGAGGAACTAATGACTTTTTTTATAGTACTGTAGTCCACTGTGATGAAATATACGAAACCCTTACCTTATGCGCAATTCATCACCCAGACCCACTGAAAGAGCCCTCATACTATGGTGATGAACATGAATTATCTCTTTAGAGCATGGGTGTCAAACTCGATCGCGTCACATGATGTATCATGACATATCGCAAGGTTTTTTGCCTTTGTGGAGCCAGGGTGGCCGTGGCCTGTGCGTGATGCATCTGGTCCACGGGCCGCCACTTTCACACCTCAGTCATGGAATGATAGCTTCACTACCGTAGTGTTAACTAAAGCGAGGATCAGGCATCTCCACCTGATGGCTGATATGGTTCTCAAGATTTCTGCATCCTGTTCCTAGGAGCCGGGGGAAAGGCCACTTCCCATTTGCAATTCCTATTCCTCTCCAGTTCAATATTTTTCTTAGTTAAAGAAAGTAAGCTATCCCTTGCTTCTGTTGTCTTCTGAGTGAATGAAGGAATACTTTTTTTGGCTCACAGGAAAGCCAAAAAACAAAGATTCTATTGTGTCTCAAAAGGCAGCTCATTATCTCTCCCCCAAAAAAGCAACTATGTATGTAGAGAATGGGACAGTGTCTTCTGAGTCTCCCTCTCAAATCCTGTCTGCTGCCATTTGTGGGAACGCTTTTGTCAGATTAAAACTTACCACCAACAAGAGAACGATTTCCCATTAATTTCACTAAGAATGAGATGTAGGCAGGGATGACTCATTACAGATTAATATACATTAGTTGAGTACCTTATCATTAAACACATTTTTCTTTCCTTCAGGATGGTTTGTAGACAGAAGCACATAAAAGTCAGCAGTGGTGGGTAGCCCAGGTTTTATCACTGTCATAAGACTTTCTTCAGGTAAGCATGTTTCCTAAAAGGAGGAAAAACATTGGATCTGCATGACCTCCTTCAATTAGAGATTTTTTAATAGGCTTCGAATTTGATGTATTTTTGAATATTTTAGTCAGATATACAGTAAGTACAGAAACTGCATCACATCTGACATTATTTAGTCACACTAGAAACACTTTTTCAAAAGGAGGAAGAGATGTTAATAAAATAACCCAAAATTTGAGATGCTTATAAAAATAATTTTCCAACAATTTAGACATTAAATCCAACTATCTTAGAGTTTCCCAAAAGTTTCGATTGGCGATGTCAGATTTTAGGCTACTTCTATTAGGACAAGGAAAATATTTAAAAAGAGGTTATCTGCCAACAACAGAGGAGAAGATACAAAGACCTCTCTTTGACTTATTAAAACAGCCAATATCTTTTTCAAGGGACATGCAGTTGCTTCCAGCTGTCTACCCTTGTGTATACTTCAGTTTTCTTGTTTCCCAGCTGCTTTAATGATACAAAGAGAGTCCTTCATGAACTTTCCAGCATGTTACACGGCATTTTTAGAAGAATTTCCTCAGCCTTATGAATTGCCTAAAAAATCCCACCTCCCCCATCCAAATTTCAATATCCAATATAATTTAGACAAAACCCAAATTAAAAATATCAACCCAATTTTAATATGGACATACTTGCACTTTCTAAAATTAAGAGCAAAAATATGCATCCTGTGGGTTACTTTTCTAAGACTAAAGCTGATGGCCCTTTTCTCTAAATGTTCTATAGTTTAGGGGACAAAGCCTTGATTTTTAAAAAATAAAGCAGTAGCAAGAAATATTCCAATATATATTTATCAAAAGTAATGTACTAAAGAACATTCAACCTCTGCCACAATGGAAACTTTAATTACTTTAAATTTTCTAGTTTACAATCTGAGGAGTTATTCATAGCCAAACAGAGTACCTGGGCAATCCGTTGTGTTACCACATGTCCAATATCCTCCCTCCAAGCAGGTATGTTTGGATTGTATAAATCTAGATGTTCAGAAAACCTTAATGGAAGTACTTGATAATGATCTGGGAATATAAAGAAATAGTGCAAATAAATAATTGAAAAAAAAGCCTTCTAAAAATAGCAATTCTAAAACAATTGAAAATACTCTATAAATGTAATTATGCATGTGTATTAAACAAGTATCCTGAAGTTATAACTTATTTGTTATATTACAACAAGAAGTAACATGACTATAAATCATGGGAGAAATAGAATTAACCAGATATCAATAAGTGCTCTGATTTGCATTTTCACAGCAATTACAATTATTGTGATATCCAGTAGATTGTAAACTTAACTCTAAATTCACAATACCTACAACAGGATGATAACAACATGTGATTACTAAATACCATTAAAAGGATGGTGCCTCACCCAAAACCTGAATAATCTTGGAATCTTGGAGCATAGAATTTCCACAAGAAGCTTGAACTGTAACTCTGACTTTTCCTGCTTCAGCAAAACTGGTTACCAAGAAATTTTCCAGTGAAAGAACTGGCTAAAGAAAATAAGTGACAGAGAGAAAATAAATGTAAACCAAAAAGTTCCCCACTGTGAATATTCATCTTTAAATGTGGGGTGTTTAAAAGGTTTGCCAACAGTAATGTCTTTTTTCCTTAATTTGGGAATTCACTAAAATATCACAGGGAACACATGTGAACTTAGTCCTCAGAATATTTATTCTGTGTAGCAAAAATAGGGTCACCAGCAGGTAACCACCACGAATTGCTCTGCTGCATGTATCAATTGTTAGTGTTAAGGGAAAAAGCAACTCTTTCCATCACAAAAACAAAAACTAGTGAAGTAAAAATAGCAACAAGGCTGATAAATACTAAATACTGACATAATATCTCAATGGGCAGTGGTGGGATTTAAATAGCTGAACAACCAGTTCTCTGCATGGACGCCGCTTCCGGAAATCCATTCTGGGCCTGGGAGGCCTCCCCCAGGCCTCCAAGGCTCAGAACGGCCCACCAAAACTGCGTAGATGCACTTCTGGTGGGCCATTCTGGGCCTTAGAGGCCTGCCCTGGACCTCTGAGGCTCCGAACGGACTTGTGGGAGTAGGATCCACACATTTCCGGCGGTCCGTTCTGGGCCTTGCGAAAAACGGCTAGGGCTTTAGCTGATTTGCCGAAGTCAACAAAAAATTAGCTCCCCGTTCTCCCGAATCGGTGTGAACTGTCTGAATTCCACCACTGTCAATGGGCTTCAATTATGCAAATACTCATTAGACACACAGGTAATTTCTCTAAGCAATGAATAATAAAGATTGTTCCAATATGTCAACAACTAGGGTGAAGGATTCAAAGTCAGGAGGCTTCATTTCTAGTTACCTCTGAACAAGAATTTTATATTTTCTTTTGTCAACCCCCCCCCTCCTTTATTTATTTATTCATTCAGTTTGCTACTTACCACAAATAATTTACTTGGTTGTTTTCAGCAATGAAACATAAAAAATAAAATCTTCATGGTAAAAATTATAATTACAAAATCATAAATCCCAGAGTTATTCATCTCAGGTATCATACTCAGGTATCATACCTCTAGAAGTGGTTTCTTTTCAATAGTTTTTGAGAGGCAAAAAAATCACTCAACAGATGCACAGGTCCCATTTAAGTTTGCAATTGTGAACAACTTACAAAGTACAGGTGTTTTGTTTGATCTGGCCTATTTATGTGTACCTCAGCAGACACATGTCCTCGTGAACATGCAGACATTCCCTCATCTATCCACTTTTTCCAAATGGTAGCAGGAACATTACCAGTAGATATTTTCAATGAAGGAAAGGGGGAATCCATGAAACCTTCATTTTCTTTACAGCAAAAAGGGCTTAAAATTGATGAAAATCCCCACATTTTACTACTGTCTACTACTTGATAGCCAGAAAGAACAGAGGACTATTGATTCTAAGTATGTGAAAAATAAAACATTATACAATATTATCAGCAATATTATCATGAATGCAAAATAAAATATTAAATTATAATACAATTCATGATTTCATTTAAATGAAAATAATGTATTTTCATAACCCTCATTTACATTTACAAGCTTTTACCATTCAGTTTTTCAAAACTGGAAAAAAAATCCTGCAAAAACCTTTTCCTTGAGTTTTTTCTTTTCCTCTCTTCCTTCCCCCTTTTCAAAATTGATGACCGGATGCTTTGCTTGGCAGAACCCCAAACCTACTTGGTTCCAATGAATCCCTTTGGTTTCAACATTTCTAAGAGTTCTGAGAAGGGGAGATGGCTGCTTGCCATGGCTCCCAAGCACACGTAGTTTTAAAACAAAGAAGCAAAGAGGAAGCATATAACACAATAAAAACTAATTTCAACTGGAAGAAAGTAACTGAATCTAAAAGATACCTATTTGAACTGTCTACAGGTTTTCACTGTGGTAGATGAAGGGCATGTAAATGTCTGATAATGACACAGAAGTCCTAATATTGATTTTTCTTTGGCAACATAATCACACACAAGAAATTAAGAAATTCCTGTATTAATCTAGTTATCAGAGACTGTGCAGTGGAACTTTTGATCTGGACTTAAGCACAATCAAAAATCAGTAGGTGTTCATAGGTGTCTAGTTAATTTTATAATTTCCACTCCATAGTCTCTGACAACCAGATTAATACAGGAGTTTCTTAATTTCTCACAATTTCTAAATCTTCTAAAGTCTCTAAATCCTTCTATTAAATATTATGTTCCTTACATAAATATGTACATTATGATTTTTTCCCCACAATGCATTATACTTTTTGTTCAGACATTTCTTGCATTGAAGCTTTTTTTTTTTTTTTTACATGAAGGACTCTCAATTCAAAATTAGATGCCCTGTGTGGTCTTATCAATTACCACAGTTTCTTTTCAGTCTCCATATAGTAGCAATTCAGGAACATTTTCCTTTAAAAATTCTAAAATGAACTAGACACCTATTGAACCACCATGTTTGCATGCATTAATTGAGAATTATAGGCTTGTTGGTGTGATGTTGCTAAACAAACCTGCCATAATCATAGTTCATATGGGGCACTGTTATTGTGAGTGATTAAACTATCTGATAGTCACATTTACATGAGTGCTGCTATTAGTTCCATTTAATGGGATTGAGGATTGGGAGTAATGTTATTTCTAACAGGACAACCTTCACTATTGACTATTAAATAACTTTAAGAGGGGGAGTTATGGATAGTGAACAAAAAGATCTCATGCACTCAGGAGTACAGTCTGAACTGCTAAAAAAAATACAACCTAAGCCTGCAACACATAGTGCTATGCAGTTTCTGCATTAGAAAGCTGTTATAGAAGTCAACTTGAAATTGACTTACACAATCCAAGTCTCCCTCCTTTATTTGACCAGCTCATCCCTATCAGTTCCCATCTTTTTTTATAGGTGGTCTGCATTTCAGGTTTAAAGACTGGAAAGGAAGAAACGGTCTACAGTTGTTGTAGCAGAGACCTTGGCAGACAAAGAAGCGGGGAGCTGGCTAGAGAGTAACAAAAGGCAAACATTGGACTTTCCAAAGGTATAGAGAACTTGCTAAAGTTTATTCTCTCCACTTCTTGACTATTTTGGGGCCTGGTTTGAGAACAATAACCACCTCTTTAGCACTTCAGTAGTTCAAACCTAAACTCAAAGTCCTATTCAAAACAAAATGCCTCACAGTAAACTATTCTGGCAGTGGCATTTTGCAGCTTGCTATGTTGCTTTCACACCAACAGTCCCAATTACGCTCTGGGTGCATAAGCAGCTCCTTACTTAAATATGAGCCAGCAGTGTGCTGCAGCTGCCAAAAAAGCTCATGAAATCTTAGGTCACATCAACAGAGGGATAGTTTCAAGATCATGTGACGTGTTAATGATGCTTTATACTGCATGGGTGAGACCACACTTGGAATACTGCATCCAATTCTGGTCACCAAGATACAGAAAATGTTGAAACTCTAGAAAGAGTGCAGAGAGGAGCAACAAAGATGATTAGAGGAATGGAGGCTAAACCAGATGATTAACGACTGGAGAAACTAGGTATGTCTATTCTAATGAAGAGAAGGACTAGGGGTGATATAATAGCAACCTTTCAGGACTTGAGGGGTTGTCACACATAAGAGGGAGTAACGTATTCTCCAAACACATAAGAGCAGGACAAGTAGTCACAGGTGGAAGATCTAGAACTAAGGAGAAATTTCCTGACAATGAGAACAATTAATCAGGCCTGCCTCCAGAAGTTGTGGGTACTCCATCACTGGAGGTTCTCCAGAAGAGACAGGACAGCCATTTGTCTGGAATTATATAGGATCTCCTGCTAAGGGCAGGGGGCTGGAGTGCGTGCAAGATGGCCACTCCAAGAACCTCAGTTAGCAATTTGTTCTTCTCACTGAGATTGCACTGTGCTAAAGTGAATATGGGAGAGGTACAATATGTCAAACCTTCAAAAATATTTAACGATAAAACTATACTTTAAAGAAAATAAAACTAGTTGTTTTAGGATACTAAGATGCTTATAAAATTTATAAATAAATAAATAAATAAATATTGAAATTAGCATAAAAAGATTCAAAGGCTGTAAAAAGGATAGTAATAATTATTCAATACCTGAATATTGTTTCCAATCCACCAGTAAAAAAGTGTAAAGTTAGAGTTCCTTGGCAGGATAATGGCTGTCAAATTCACATCCTGGTTTCTGCCAACAGCAGGAACTACTTCAAGATGTAAAGCCTGCAGTGGAGCTGGAAAGATTCCCAACTGTTAATTAAAAAGCCATTAATTTATCTTGTGCTTTCAAATATATATTCTAAAGATGCACAAGAGTGCTCAGGGACATCTTTTAAACTTTTCAAGCAAATTCAAGAGAACCTCAATTCCTCAGAGACTGAATTAAAACCATCATTTCCTTATATCAAATTTTATTGCTCAATAGAAGATTAATGATAGTAATTCTCACTGCAAATTAAATTGCCTTTAATATTGAAACTTGTTGAAATTTTAATTAAGATACTTTTTTAAAAGTTGCATTTATTTTATTTGGAAGATTTAAATAAATATTGTATTTATATTCCTTCCAAATCAGAAAGGGGAAACCTGAAGCTGATGGGTTGTGTATATATATCAGAGAGAAGCAAATAGGAAGAGTGAGATTTTCAGTTAGGGAACAGCAGAGTTTCCAGACACTGGGAACAAGGGATTGTGAAGCCTCTGAACTTGTCTGACCAAGTCTAGAGAAAGCCTTATGTTTGCATTATTTACACTCAGGGTTATGCTGCCTTCTGATGGGCAGAATTTATTAGTTACAAGCTGCATGAGCTATAGGGACTATTTTTTCCAATACTGTTGCAAGGTGCATGTGGCCTGTGGACTATGAATCTGAGACACTGATCCTACAGTTCTTCAGGGGAGTTTCCCTGTACATTAAAGCTAATTTCATATGAATGAAGTCCTGTACTGTATAACGGTGTTTTTCCTCAATTCAGTTGTTACTCATTGTTGACAATGCATTTAGAGCAGTATATTACATATACTGCTCTAAAAGTATATTACATATTTGTCGCAAAGTGCTCTAAGAGCAGGATCAACAGATGTTAGAACAATTATAAATGCTTTCTACCTATAGCTTTGCAAATCTCAGGTTTTAGATGCTTCCATTTTCAAATAACTTTCTCTCATGGAATTCCATCAACTATATGTAAACAATCACATATGTCTACCGTGTTTCCCCGAAAATAAGACCCAACTGGAAAATAAACCATAGCATGATTTTTCAGGATGCTCGTAATATAAGCCCTACCCCCAAAATAAGCCCCAGTTAAGACTGAGAGACAGATGGACGCATTTAGTATTGTATTTCCCTGAAAATAAGACCTAACTGGAAAATAAGCCCTAATGTGTCTTTTAGAGCAAAAATTAATGTAAGACCCACTCTTATTTTTGGGTAAACACACTGCACAGAGATAAATATAATAAATAAAAGGCTTCCTACCAACTTCTTTGCTGGGACTGTGCTTTTTCTTTCCCTTTTCTCCTTTTCTCAGCACCATTTACGTTCTTCTTCCAAAAGAAGCTGACAGATTTTATCCCTCCATTTATCCACAAATCAAAAGCTGAATCTATTCACACTTATATATATTGCAACATTAAATAATCAGTATTCAATTGTGTTTCAAAGTTGTAATGACTGAAAACAGCAATCAAAGGAGTATGACAGTGTTTTCCTGAAAATAAGACCCAGTCTTATTTATTTATTTATTTAGCCTCCAAAAGAGGCACCAGGTCTTATTTTCATAGATGTTTTTTTAACAGTCTCACCTTGCGGCGGGGCACCAATAGCCCCATCCAGCCGGCCCACTTCTTCTGTGGCCAAAGGAAATGCCTCTGCAGCTGAGAATGGAGCTTCGGATTGACGTGCGCAGTGCCCCCCGGCCTGCGTTTTGCCATCAGAGGCATTCCACAAAGGCCTCTGCAGCTGAGAACCAAGCTACGGATTTAATCTGTAGCTTGGTTCTCAGCTGCAGAGGCCTTTCTGGAAGGCCTCTGATGGCGAAATGCAGGCCAGGGGAAAAACAGAGCTCCATTCTCAGCTGCAGAGACATTTCCTGAAGGCATCTGACGGTGAAATGCAGGCTGGGGGGCGCCACCGAAGAAGTGAGCCATCAAGGTAAAGCAGGTGTCGATTCATGGGAGGCCTGGCTGCAACAGTAAGCGGGTGCGGCGCCCGAGGGACAGCTCCACCCCCCCACCCCTACCCTAGCTTGATTTTTAGGTGTGCATCTTGCCCCAAAACTAGGGTTTATTTTCGGGGTAGGTCTTACTTTTGAGGAAACGCGGTAGCAATCCTGAGAGAAAATAGTGTTGGTTGTGTGTCATAAGGCAGGTCAGATGTCAGCTACACCAGAGATCCCCAACCTTTTGGGCACCAGAGATTTTTTTGCAGAGCAGAGGGTGCGTAGTTTTGTGTGCTACCTGGATCTCGTGGATGGGGCCTTGCTTGTTTGTGTGGACCAGTTGCTGGCATGCTGCAGCCCGGTACTGGTCCATGGACCGGGGGCTGGGGACCCCTGAGCTACACTTCCTTCAAAACTATATTTAGGCAGAACCCTGTAATATATCCCTGATATCAGTATATAAAAGGAAACTGTGAACAAATTTCAGTTTAGTGGAAAAGGAAGCTTTTCCCAACTTGATCAGACAAATTAATGGATCTGTAAGCTGCATTTTTCACTTAAAGAAAAAAACTAACCTCCAGATTTTATGCATTTTTTAATTTGTTCACCTCTGATGATTCAGCTGTACCCAAAAGTGAGAGCAGAGTTTCTGCTCTACTTGTTTTGTGTGCCAGCACAAAATGTCATATGCAAAAGATAGCAAATGCAAAAAACAATGAGGCATCACAGGGATTGGTGTTCCATTTTTCATCTTGAAGGCTATCTTACTTCCTTTATGACTAGGGTGAGCATTTATCTGAGCAAGATATTAAATCAACGTTCAGTGTTGTACTACAGTGACAATATACTGGATAGAACCAGAATACATGTATGGAAATAACCTAAATATATTTTTCAATTTAGTTTATAGCCAAAGTGCATTCAAAATGCATCCCTCCTGTTTCTCAACATAAGATTTGTTTGGTATTGATAACAATAGCAGTCAAATGAATAAACTTAAGATCAGAAAGTCATTTCTACTCTAAAGGGAGAAAATCCAACATTCTGTTGACTGTTAAAAAGCTCCAAGAGTGAAATTTGTATTCCACTGTAAATTGCTAGCCATTTTATAATGGAATATACAAATGTAACAAATAAGTAAGTTAATACTATACTAGTACTGCTATAATAATGAGAATGAGAAAAATAAAGTAAAACTTACGATGAACCTGAATAAATATGACTGCTTCATCCTGACCCGCAGCATTCTTGGCAACCACAGAGACATGATAAACTCCAGGATTTTCATAATGGTGTTGAAATGTTTCACCTATCAGTGTCAGGTTCATATAATTTGCCTTCATGCCATCTCCAAAGTTCACTTGGTATTTGGTGTTTAAAGTATCGCCCTATATGAAAACCAAGAATAAGGAGAAATAAATGGGCATATCACAAAAATGGAAGAGGGAAGCAATCAAAACTATGTATCAGGCTACTGACATTGGCAGCTCTGAAGCTTAGCGATAACCAGTGCTTTTTTTCTAAAAAAACAAAAACAAAAAGGTGCCGGAACTCACACGTCATACAACCCGCCTTGCCTACGCTACAAGGTTCCATCCAAAAAATGTGCTGGAACTCCGTTCTGGGTGTTCTATGAGAAAAAAAAAGCCCTGGCGATAACCATCCACTGAACTGACTGCTGTCTCTGTTACATCAGAAACAGAATTTCTGTTAATTGACCACTTTTTCCTCTTTTTTTGTACACTATTTTTTTTCTTTTTTGTTGTTGTTAAGAGTTGAATGTATGCTTTTGGGGTTTTTTTTTCATTTTGTTTGTTTTACTGTTTTACATTTTATTCTTTGATAAAACAAATGAATGAGTTAGTGAGTGAATGAATGAATGAATGAATGAATGAATGAATGAATGAAACAGAATTTTCACAAAGCTCTATTAAAAATATTTTAAAATCCATGGTACCTCAGAAAATTTTATTTGTGATGCTGTTCTTGTCTTTGGAGGATTAACCTACTCTTTTTGTTTGCATGGTGAGAACTGATCAATTTAAGATAAGAAACCCAGAATTTACCTAGGTTACTTTGAGTTTATATATGTATCGTATTTATATGGCTGTCCATCTCACAAAAACATGAGTCTGGGTGGTGTTATATACATTTTATCAAGAATGGTGCATATATTTTTTAAATCAATGCTTAGGCCATTTAAATTCAATAATAGACTCTTATTATTAAAGATGAATCTTCCTCTGATACATCTCATTTTCTAATAACATAAGCATCCAAATCAGCATGCTTACCGTGTTTCCCCAAAAATAAGACCTGATCTTATATCTATCTATCTATCTATCTATCTATCTATCTATCTATCTATCTATCTATCTATCTATCTATCTATCTATCTATCTATCTATTTATCTATCTTCTGCCTCCAAAAGAGGCACCTGGTCTTATTTTGGGGGGATGTCTTATCTGCTTACCTTAGGACTGCCACAGCCAGGCCTCCCACACCCCAACACCTGTCGTGCTGCTGCCTGAGTACTTCTGCAGCTGCTTGTGGCTGCATGCCACATGGTGCATGGCGCTGCTCCCAGCACGACACAGTGTGGCTCATTGCACTGCTGCCACTGCTCGCAAGCAGTGGCAGCAGTGCAATTGGCGTGCCAAACCAGTGTCCTATTGTGAGCAGCAGCAGCGGCGTGATCAGTGTAATGCACATGGCCTCCTGCCATGAGCGGTGGCAGCGACGTGATTGGCGCAATGAGCCACGTGGTCTCCTGCTGCGAGCTGTCCTGGTGTGAGTGGCGGCAGCAGTGCGATACACCATGTGGCGTGCAGCCGCAGAAGAACTCAGGCAGCAGCAGGACAGGTGTTAGGACGTGGGAGGCCTGGCTGCAGCAATCCTAAGTTAAGTGGTGTGAGACGCGTGGGGCAGTTCCACCCCCACCCAAGCTTGATTTTTACATGTGCGCCTCATCCCACAGGATCGCCAACATGATTGCCAATGTCCGATAACGGATATGACACAACAAGAAGAAGAAGCCTCACCCCAAAACTAGGGTTTAATTTTGGGGTAGGGCTTATATTAGGTACAAGCGTAAATTTCAAACTAGGGCTTATTTTAGGGATAGGTTTTATTTTCAGGGAAACACGGTAGTTTGCATCAGGTTGTATCCATTCCATGCCCCATCAAGTACTACCATGTACCCCAAGAGATTTCACCTTTGTACCAAGCCTGACAGTGATTTTGGCATTGGCTAAGGAAGAAATTGGCTTTAACACCTATATCAACTCAATCTGCTGACTGAGATTGATTTGATTGCACAATGTTTGCAAAGGTTTTTGGCCAGAGCATGTGCTACACAAAGTGCCAAACATTGAGCAATTTGAAGTTTCCAATCTGGGTTGGTCACCAGAACCAGAGATTTACTCTTCCAAGCTTTAGGACTCCTGCTGGAGCCCATCCTAAGGGAAATTCTCTATGGCAGAATATGTGCTTTGGGCTATTGTGCGTGGTATTTATATGATGCCTGGTTGTGTACAGCATTTTAGTTGTTGATGGGGTATTGATGGCTGGCTATTAAGTCGTTGGCTGTTGTTTCCTTGTGTTGTCTCCTGATAAGCTGGCGGCAAATCAGCACGCCTGTTGATTGATGATAGGCCTGTTTCCCAGGCTTCAATCAGTTCCCAGGCTGTTTTGGGGCTTGCTCATCCAACAAACCTAGTAGCTGCAAAATTGAATGTATGTCCATTGCAATGTAAAGCTACCAATGAGTTTGGGTCTCCTTGTCTGACTGTTGGCTTGTGTTTTCTTGTAATGTGGTAGTTAGCTTTCTCCTGTTTGTCCTACATAGTCACAGGGGCAATCCATGCAGGGGATTCAGTAGTTTACATTAGAAGTATCTCCCACTTCCTTGTGATCTTTTTAATGTACAATTTGTCCTCATATGGGAGCCTCTGGGCGGTGTGCAATGCCCACTTGCAGATATTGGAAGCTGCATTCTATTGTTTCCAAAATGTTTTTGATGTATGGCAGGGTGTATCATGTAGTTGGTCCTTTACCTTGTTTCTTCCTTTCTCTCCCCACCATGTTGTGCAGACATCTTGTAACAAATCACTGTGGGTACACACATTCTGCCTGAATTGTTCATGTAGGTATCTGCTCTTCAGTTGTTTAGCTTGCTAGGTACTACAGTGGGTTGTCACCCTGCTATATAGTTGAATTGAACAATTTCTTGGGGCATGAGTGGTGGGATTCAAATATTTGAACAACCAGTTCTCTGTGTGGAAGCCGCTTCTGGAAGTCCATTCTGGGCCTGAGCAACAAAAAACTAGCTACCACTTCTGCTGAAGTGGTGCAAACTGGCTGAATCTCACCACTGATATCAAAGCTACTTCTGCTCTGGCTATATCTACTACTTTATTTAAGATGAAGTAACACTATCAACAATCTCTATAAGTGCATGCACTGCACACAGTCCTGTCCTTTATAAGCAACCCCAAAGTCACCATAACAAATCAACAGTCTCCAATACTCCTTAAGTTCTGGGAAAAACATATGTATCTCACAAACAATACTTTTGCCATAAAATGTGGCAAACATTTTATTATTATTTGCGGTTTTTCCTTAACTGCCTCCGTGTAAGCTGAAACTTACTGTAAAATTCCTATGCCTCTTCGCCAGCAAAACAGGAAAAAAAAAAAAAGGACACTGAAGTCATTCTGCTTTTCACTTGGACTCAAATACCACTGAAATGCTTGAAGCCATTTACACCAATTCTGCTGTGTTTCCCACTATTGCCAGGCTGTCAAGGGCTAGATATGAGGCCAGTTACGGTTCCCTGCTATCCTTGCCCTGTGCCTCTATTTGAAATCTGGGGCCCACCTTAAGTAGTATATGAAAAACAGTAAAACCACACAAAATACATGCAAACAATAACATAGATTAGGCTTTGGAGGCAGGTCTCACAGGCATCTGTAAACTAATGATGGCCCTTAAAATCATAATACCTTATGCCACAATAACTTTAGCCTGGAAGTTCTTATCAACATTCAGATACAGATGCAGCGGCATATTTCCCATGATGTTCCATGTAAGATTTACTCCTGCTTTCTGGGAAAAGGAAATGATTAAAATCCTCTCCACTAATAATTAATTTAAATTTAGGGACTAACTGTTCTGCGGTTTGGCCATTTCCTGCTAGAGGAAGTTTCTTGATTACTGACACTACCTTCAGTTATTTTTCAATTACTTCATTCCTAGGAAAAGAAGAAAGCCCTCGGTGACTCACATACTACCTCCTGCTGCCAAGCCAACCACTTTATCTTCATACTAATATACAGCACTGTCATGCTAGCCTGCCAGATAGTAACAGACTACAACATAGCTCCCATCTCCCTCTTTTTTTTTAATCAGTGGGAAAAAAGAGGGGTGTCTCTTATAGGAGCTTTAGGAAATAAACTGTGAAGTAAGAGAAGGAGATTAATAAAGCCTTTAACTCCAAATAAAGAGAATAAGTCAGCAGAGAAAGAGAAAGGAAAACAAAATACATTGTAAGACAAATTCTAGTGGAACCGTGCTTTCAGGTTAAAAGGACAATTACATTTTTCCTGACTTCCACAGATGAAAAATTCCAGTAATACCTGATTTTGTTTGACAACAAAGGTGACATATTCTCCTGGCTTAATGGCTAGATTTTCCCCTTTAATGCTGATCTGCAATCCTTTGGGAGCAGTTAGTGGACAGACATGTTGAGAAGAATTTTTCTGTAAATCCACACCTCCTTTACATATATTAGATATAACTTTACGGTATCTGTAGGAAGAAGTAAATGGAGAGCGTATCTGAGGGAGGAACACAACTGATCAACAGATACAGAAAAAGATATACTCATGCCCTAGAGCAAAGTCTTAATTTGGATTCAATCCTATATATTCACACAACATACTTAGAACAAATGTAGAGGCAGCATGGTGTCAGTATATCATATACAGTTCCTAGCTGCTAGGATGCAAGTTATAACATGTTGGATTGTAATCTCTACACTAGAGATTCTAGTTTCCATAAAAATAACAAACATGCTTTGGCTAAAATTGGGTTTTGGTAGCATGCTGGCCAAAATATGGTAAATATTTGATATTGTTTTTAATATTAACAGAGAAGGCTGAATGTTGCATGGGTGTAAGGCTGATAAACTAGTCTATACCTTATTTACATTATTAAAAAGCACTATGAGAAAGCCTTAATTTAACCAAAGCCACAATGTATAGTGTCACCTATGTTGTTGTGGTTTGAATATGAAAGTTGAAATCCATAGGCTGGCGATAGTGACATGTTATGCTCCAATAATGGTGATAATGAAAGAATCAGAAAGAGTTTTGAGGGAAAAAATGTGCAAAATTCCAGATGAATGCAATCCAGAGAAAAATCAGTAGACTACATAAATGGATAAGTAACAATTATATAATTGATGAGAAGCTAAAAAGAGAAAGAACTGAGAACTTGAAAGAACAGCAGCAAATTATAAAGCAATGTATGGACATATTGGAAACAAGGATACAGTAGAAAGCATGGGGAGATCCATGTGAATGCTGTTGATATGTGCTATTTCCTTTCCTTTTTATTTTCTCATGCCTTTCATTCCTTCTGCCTGTTATTTCACACTCCTTTTTTACCCCAAAAAGAAACGACAGATGAACATGTAAAGTTACCTATTTTCTCTGTACCTGTAAGATTACCTACAGAACAGGATAGGGGCAATTTAAAAACAAAACAGTACCAGGGCAATTGTAAGGGAAACTATTCTTTTCCAACCAACTATGTTTTTGTGTATATAGTAATAATAGTAATAATAATAAGAATAATAATAATTTGTCTGAAATGGTATAGGGTCTCCTGCCTGAGCAAGGGCTTAGACTAGATGACCTCCAAGATCCCTTTCAACTTATTACTATTATTATTATTATTATGGATCATACGCCCAAGTCTGACTGTGCGATGATCCATAATAATAATAATAATAGTAATAAGTTGAAAGGGTCCTTGAAGGTCATCTAGTCTAAGCCCTTGCTCAGGCAGGAAACCCTATACCATTTCAGACAAATGGCTGTCCAGTCTCTTCTTAAAAACTTACAGTGTTGGAGCATTCACAGCTTCTGGAGGCAGGTTGTTCCACTGATTAATTGTTCTAACTGTCAGAAATTTCTTAGTTCTAGGTTGCTTCTCTCTTTGGTTAGTTTCCATCTGTTGCTTCTTGTCCTGCCTTCAGGTGCCTTGAAGAATAGCTTGATTCCCTCTTCTTTGTGGCAACCCTTGAGATATTGGAACACTGCTATCATGTCACCCCTTCTTTTCATTAAACTAGACCAGTGATGGCAAACCTTTTAGAGACCGAATACCTAAACTGCAACCCCCAACCCACTTATGCATCATCAGGTGCCGGGTGGGTGTGGCCCATCGGATTGGGTGTGGCCCATTGGGTAGGCGTGGCTGCAGTGGTAACAGCAGACTGGGTGGGACTAAAAAGTTCAATCAATCAATTCCAACTTTGCAAGATTTTTTTTTCCTGCAAGAAGTTGAAATTGACTGATTGATTGAACCTTTTTTTTTTGTACACGGCGGCGAAGGCCTAAAGTGAAAAGGTTTTATAAAACCCAGCTGAAGGCCTAGGACTGAGGCAACGGCACACATGCCCACAGAGAGGGCTCTGAGTGCCGCCTCTGGCACCCATGCCATAGGTTCGCCACCACTGAACTAGACATAATACCCAATTCCAGCAACTGTTCTTTATATGTTTTAGCCTCCAGTCCCCTGATTATCTTTGTTGCTCTTCTCTGTACTCTAAGTTGGTATACTGCCCAGTAAGTCCTTCAAAGATTAAAAAAATGGAGGTGCACAATAATTAAAATAATTAAAAGTACAAGACTCCATGAAGACTTGGCAAGGTCAGAACCTGTTACTCAAACTGGCCAAAAGGCCAGCTACAATTCCAGAGCGAATTGACTGGATAACGAAGAAAGAGGCACCCATGTACTGCAGCCATGTCAATGCTCTCCTAGTGCAGTGATTTAAGGTATGTAGAAAGTAGACAGAAACCTTACATTTCTCAAAATAGCAAGTCTTGACTTGCTTAATATGATTTTGTGCTGCCAGATACATCAGAAAGGAAAAGTAGCTGCATCCCTGCTGAAAATGTTAGCTATCTTTCAGAAAAGCAGCTTCAGTGACACCAACTTGGTGGCTAACAGAAATCCCCAGAGATAATGTATCTCTAAATATTAAGGAGCATTCATCAAGGCAAAATGTTATGCAGAAATCTGCCACATGATTTTTTTTTTCAAAACCAAAATACTTTATTAGAAATAAATATGTTTTTGTCTCTATCACATTAGCAATTTGTAAGGAGACTGATACAAGGCTGAGAGAAAAACAGAGAGCTATTTTCCAAGCATATTATTCACTTACTTACCCTGTGCTACTTTTATAGGACTGACCCGTGATACAGTCTTCAGGAGGGGCTTTAGGATTAAACCAAAAGTCAGCAAAGCACGTGCTGAGCTCCGATTTTGACAATGAACGTTCAAATCCATAATCACTACAGAATAATAATAATAACAAATAGATTTTTATTGTACACATAACTGTATAGCAGAAATTATAGCAGAAACAGTTTGTATCCTTTTGGGATGGTATATTTTACCAGACACCTTTGGGTTCTATAGTTCTTGTCATATTGGCCAACAAACTAACTTTCTAGGAGTGTCTTTATAGTTTTGACAGCTGAGTTCATTAGCACTCTAGTTAGTAGCAATAAGTTTCCATTACAAAAACCAGGTTTATTCTCTTTGCATGAAGAATAAATGTACAATCTTTTAGTCAATTTTATTTACAAAGGAATACAACATCTCTGGGAGGTTAGAACATTCCACAAAATTAGAAAGCATATGGGCAACTGGAAGCGAAAAGAGTCTTAATTTCCACCCTTCCTTCTTTTGTTATGGACTACTGTGATATCCAGCTTAGATTCAAAGGAAGAAAAGAAGGTCTAACATAGACAGAAAATCCCTCTTGAAACAAAGTTCCTCAGGCTGTCTCCGAAGAGCAGACTCAAAGGGAACAGATGGTTCTGGCAACCAGCCTTGGTGGCCACCTGTAATAAATCTGCTACAAGCAGCTGTGCTGGCAGACACACAGTTCTCTCATGGTCCACAAGTCTCTTTTCAGACAAGGCAGCGTTTTATTACAAAGGCACGGACGTGATTCAAGCTATATGGGATCTTTTTCTCTAGAAACTGGCCACCTTTAAAACTGAAAATATGTTTAACTGAATAGGATTTTTTCAGTTTATTGTATTAAATCTAATAAAATGTAACATGCAGGATGGTGAAGAAATAAAGAATGCTGTATTGCTGAAATAAAAAATACCCTATGCATACAGTATACTCTGCCCAGAGTTGTTTTGATACAAGATGGGCAGCAAATAAATGTAATAAACAAACAAACAAGCTAATTCTATCAGTATTGCTTAAGCACAATTCAAAATGACAGATCTGATACTTTACAAACAAAGACACACAAAGTGCAATTCCTGGGCAATCCACTTTCCACTTTAAAAGCTAAAACTTTAACTGTTATAATAGATTTGGAGTAAATAATCCCATATATTCATGCAGATTAATTATCTCCAAATCTGTTTTCTAGTTTTGCCACCTTTAAGAAGTGAGTAGGGCAAGTCGCCAAGTCATCATTTTCAATAATGACTTCACAATGATATTCATCTGAAAAAGATTCTCCTGACTCAACCAGGACATTAGTTGGTGGAACAAATTAGTGTTTATGGATAATTTTTTTCATTGTTATTCTACTGAGGTTTTTTTTTTTTTCAGTCTTTAAGATCTATTTGTGAACTGTCATACGGATTGTTTTCGGACTGAGTGATGGTCCATGAAGTGTTATAAAATAAATGAAATGTTTTCTTTTTTGCAGAGATAACTGTTCTCTTCCAAACAAATAAAAACCATAATTTCTATTAATAAAGGTAGTTTCAACTTACTTAGCAACTGTTTGAAATCGTGATAGACCTCCCCCAAAAGAGACTTGCGACCCAGATCTGAAGTTCTGATGTCAGCTCTCCCCTGCAGTCATGTCACCGCATGTTAGGCCTTCAGCAACCGGCCTACATTTACAGCTGTTTGACACACCCAGTGGCCATGATTTAGGATGTTTTGCTAGAAACTGGCATCTACTTCTGGTTTCTGGCAAAACCTGGCCTATACTGAACAAGGGATTCGCTTAATGACTGCCACAATAAAGGTAATAAAATGGGCAAATCATGTTGTGACCACGTTACGACCATCATGATTTATGACCGTAATTGTCAGGCTCAATTATAGTCATAAATCAAGGACCACCTGTATGGATTTTTCAGTATGTCTATACATAACATTAACAACTCAGCCACTTGGAAGAAACAGGAAGAGAGAAAAACTTACCACAAGAAATCAGAAGAACTGCATTCACAAATTTTGGAAGAAAGTGCTGACATAAAGTTTTTTCCTTTAATACACCATGATGAACTCTTCCTCCTTCGAAAGGTTCTCTGCTGGCCCATTATGCAACTGTCACCCTGAATATCAAAGATTAGTTCCCACAGCTGCTAGATAAAGGTATTTTTTTATTTGTATCCCACCTTTATTATTTTTACAAATAACTCACAGCAGCAAACATATCCAACAGGCCTTCCTCCTCCTATCTTCCTTACAACAACAACCCAGTGAGGTGCATTGGCCTGAGAGAGAGAGAGTGACTGGCCCAAGGTCACCCAGCTGGCTTTCACGGCTGAGGCAGGACCAGAGAGCACAGTCTCCAGCTTTCTAGCCTGGTGCCTTATCCATTAGACCAAATTGGCCTTCTTATGTTAAATCTTACACTTTGCATTTGTAGTTTAAAGACCTACATTATTGGACTAATTTTCAGAACCCATTAAGAATTGTCAACTGAATTTTAAGATCTAACTAGTGTTTCACATTGCAGACTGCATGAACTGATCTTTCTCAACACAATTTAGCTTCTTCCTTTTTCCATTTCTTGTATTGGTTATAAACACCCGATGTCTATTATGAGCAAGCTTAACAACACATCTTAATATTTAGAATAGAAAATATAGCAATGTTTATAGGCACATATGTGTGAAGCAAAGGAGAAGCAAATTAAATGCTACAACAAAATGACTGATCTCACAGAACAGAAGACAACGAGCTCAGTTCTTGGGCTGTGCAACTTCCACTGAGAAACTTTCTTGTCTAAATCTATACAGAGCTATTTCCAGTGTAAGCAATACTGAAGTAGACTCGATAGAGGGCATCTTTCCTCACTTTTAATTAATCTGATTGTACTAAGCAAGCTGAAATATAAGTGTGTGCCTATTGCTCAAATCATACCTCTATTTCTTTGCCTGCTATGTCAAAAAGAAATTCTCCCTAAATTTTGTATCTTAAAAATATCTTGATCCGTTAATCTTAACTGGTCTACATCAATTACAGGCAATTAAAAGACGGACTGTTGAAACCTGAGTTTATTCATATTCAGTCCATAATAAATACTCCGGATCAGCCAAATCTTAGCCAGTCCAGTCTACAACATGTTTAATGTGTATCATGTTTATTGCATTTAATAAAATACTGAAGCATACTTATCCAGCTAAAAGTTGAATCAAGGAGCACACACTGCTGTATTTGTAAATATTTGAGCTAGAAGACAGCCTTTTGTGTAGAATTTAAGGAGCAATATACTACTCTGAAATTGTTCTTTGCATACTTTTCACACTATTCATTTTGCAATGTCATTAATGATGAGCAAACCATACCCCTAATGTTTTGATTTTATGTTCACTTAACTGGAAAACTGTACTCTACAATGTATTGTGAAATATTCCCCCCTGGCCGCTTATTTGCTTTGCATCAAAATGCTGTCTGATTGCTCATGCCATATTACCTTTCCTAAATAAATCTGAGCTTTAAATTCAAATTGGAAGCTATGTCTTTAATATATATAAAACTTTTGCTTTTAATTAATCAAAGATTATTTTTGATGCTTCTATGGGTATGAATTTCCTGGAATAAACAGAACACACAGGTAGTCCTCAACTTACAACCACAACTGAGCCCAAACTTTCTGCTGCTAAATAAGACAGTTGTTAAGTGAGCTTTGCCCCATTTACGACCTTTCTTGCCACACACGCTTGTTAAGTGAATCGCTGCAGTTAATAAGTTAGTAACCTGGTTGTTAAGTGAACCTGGCTTCCCCATTGACTTTGCTTGTCAGAAAGTTGCAAAAAGGAATCACATGACCCCGGGACACTACAACGGTCATAAATATGAACCAACTGTCAAGCATCTGAATTTTGATCACGTGATTATGGGGATGCTGCAAAGGTCGTAACTATGAAAAACAGTCATAAGTCAAATTTTTCAGTGCTGTTGTAACTTTGAACGGTCATTCAATGAACTGTTGTAAGTTGAGGACTACCTGTAGTCCTAAAAATTGAGCTATTCTCTCACAGTAGTCTGTTTCATGTGTTATTGGTAAGCCAATAGGTAGTACAATCCTATGGCTGGCTATTTAGAAATCAAGCTACAGTCAGTGGAACAAAAGCTGAGATTGTATCACATACATAAGTTATGTGACCTGCATACTCCCCCTTCTTTCTCTCTGTCTCGTTTATGATGGAATGAAACCATGCTACAAATTTCCAGATCATTTGAATAAGAAAAACTGAGGTCTGTATAAATCATATTTCATTTAGAATTTAGATATTAACTCAAAATTAAGTTTTAGTTTGATGTGCTGGTTTGTTAACCAGTTCAGTTAGACAAATTATAGTTCTCTTTAAATGAACCATAGCCTTATTGCAGTTAGTACATGTAATGCCAAACATGTTTTAGTATTACACAAACAAATGTCACCAAATATGATAGTTATTTCTTTCTATGTAGTTGCACCTGCATATTTGTCAGGTCCCATGATTCATAGTCTTCATCAGTGCATTCACGGGAAAAAGATGGACGGAAATCTACCTTCACTAGCTCCCAGTCTGACTGATAGCTGATGTGTCCAAACACCCTAAAGAGAAAAAAAATCAGAATGAGATCCCAACTAAAAGACTGGGAGTGAAAAACAAGAATATAACAATATAGAATACCTTCTGCTATGGTTGGTTGTGGTAAATATAGGTAGTTCTCACTACTGAATGCAGTTGAGACCAACAACTCCATCACTATGGGGTGTGGTTGTAAGGTGAACCATGTTAACTTACAATGTCAGTTCCGGCTGCAGTCGTAATGTCATATAACTGGGACTTGTGACTTCCTACCAGTTTCCCCATTGACTTTGCTTTGTTGGAAACATAAGCATATTTATGGAGGTCATAAATCAATCAAGTGACCACATGATGTTGCCACCATTGTAAATGTATGCTGGTTGCCACCATTGTAAATGTATGCTGGTTGCCAAGCACCCAAATTGTGATCATGTGACTACAGAAAGCCACAACTTCGAGGACCACTCATACATCTCCTTTTCCAGTGCTGGTGTAACTATTCTGATGCAGGCTTCGCAAGTAATGAGAAACCACTTACTTGCAAGTAAAACAAACCCCTTTTAATAAAACAGGGCAGGAACAAACTTTGTTCACTTTGGGTAGAGAAAACCAAAAAGAAGTAATCACAAAGGAAAGTTTTTTCCCCTTCTGACACAGGGGCATGAACAGTCTCTGTTCACTTGAGGCCTCCAGATAGAAAGTCTTTCCAGGATTAAGCCAAGAAACAGTCTCTGTTCATACCGGCTGAGGCAAATTCACTACCTATTAGTTCCCAGCAGGGAGACTCAGTTGGCACCTCAAATACAGAGCAAGTAGTCCTGACAAACCTGGTTCTGGTAAAGGAATTTGACTTGATTGATGTACCCTGGAAAATAACAGGCCACTCCCAAACTCCTACTATTTATTTCCCAGACAGGGAGGGGCTGGCTAGCGTCTACGTCTTCTTTTCCCTGAGAGCCGGCTTATTGCCTTCCATTGCTCTCCTCTCCTCTCTACGCATACGCACATCTGGGATGGGCCCCATCTGTTCCTCCCCCTCACTCATCTCAGGCCCAGAAGACAGCTGCCTCTCCGCCTGGGGTGCGGACAGACGGCTCTGGCTCTGGCTCTGATTCTGCTTCCTCATTGGAGCCTTCCAAAGGCTCCAAAGTTGACAAAGTTGACAAAGTGGAAGGTCCACCTCCTCCACCTCCTCCTCATCTGACTCTACTGCTAACTCTGCTGGCAGCTGACAGACCAAACAGTAACTTTGAATGAAAGAGCAGTCAGTACATGAAGATGTTATATTTTCAAACTAATTCATAATCAGGCTATTCTATACCATACTTTAAACATTAGCAATTAATTGACCCTGCATATCTATATCTCAGTACTTAAGGATAATAGAACTAAAGAAGAGACTTTAGTAATCAACAATGGAGACTACAGTATCTGCTAGTCAAGGATTTTGCTTTCTTGAACATTTATATTTATTCACTTCACAACACAAAGTATATGTGTTTAGCTTTGAAGTAATGTATATTTAGCTAGATATCTATTTATCTACTATCTGTATATCTAAGGCATTCCTTTTACTCTTCTACTGAATCTTGAAGATTTCACATTATCACAAAAGTATTTCCCATAAGTACCTTCCCATTTAATTGTCATCGATTAAATTGGCTTTTATTTCATTTAAAGATGTCCAACAAAAAATGAAGAGCTTGGATGTGTTCCTAAAGGACGGATAATTGTTTAACTTAATGTAATGAAACACTTTTAACTGTTGACATTTAAACTTTTTCCATGCCGTTAGTGGGTTGGTACAATAAAAGGTACTTACGTCATGACTAAAGTCTCATCCCCAGGTTCGCTAAGTAGGCCATCCACATACACAGAAATACTTGTGAAATTATGGGTGCTCCAAGTTTGACCTTCATCCACACTGAATCTGTAATGGAAGTAGTAAAATAATCAATACCATTTTTTAAAATAATTTAATTATCTTATAGGATTCACACAGTCCAAAGTAGTTAAACAGCAGATATTCTAAAGCTAACCATTATAGGTAGTCCTCGACTTATGACCATTTGTTCAGTAACTGTTCAAAATTACAATGATGGTTATTAGGGCCAGTCCTTGGAGTTCTGGCTGTTCCAGCAAATCTTGTGATTGCAATCTGGGTGTTTGACAATCTGTTCACATTTACAAGCACCCTGCAATCACATGAGCACATGAGCACAATAACCTTCACTATTGCTGGGGTAACTCTCCCATCCTTGTACCCTCCCCAAGCCCATCTGCACCTGTGCCATACTGACCATTTGTGCATCCCAGTGCACTCTCTCCAACCTCTCTATCCCTCTGTTGTAACCCCTGACCTACATGCACTCTCCCCAACCCACATAGTGCCTCTTGTATATCCCTCCCCAAACTTTCACATAAACCCTTGCACCCTTGAGCACCTTCCCTGACCCTCGTGGAATCTCTCTTGTATCTTTACAGATCCTCTCTCCCATCCTTGAACATTTCCTCACAGACTATGCTCTCACACATCCTCCTAAACCCTCATGGCCTAGATACCTCTTCACTCTCTCCCTCACCCTGCAGCCATTTACCTGTCTGTAGGTGTGGGATTTTCAATCTCCTGATAGCTTCTCCAATTAATTGTTTGTGAGTAGCTGAAAGGAAGTTGCCTCAGCTAACAATAGAATAGGTGGCATCTGGTTCAATAGTAATAATTGCCAAATGGATCTAGGAATCCTAATGGACAATCACTTAAATATGAGCCGCAGTGTGCTGTAGCTGCCAAAAAACCCAATGCAGTCCTTGGCTGCATTAACAGAGGAATAGAATCAAGATGATGTGAAGTGTTAGTACTGCATTATAATGCTTTGGTAAGATTACACTTGGAATATTACATCCAGTTTTGGTCACCACAATATAAAAAAGGATGTTGAGACTCTAGAAAGAAGAATAGTTGCAGGAATTGGGTATGTTGAGTCTAATGAAAAGAAGGATTGGGGGTGACATGATAACAAAGTTCCATTATTTGATGCGCTGCCCCAAAGAAGAGGGGTCAACCTATTCTCCAAAGCACCTGAAGACAGGACAAGAAGCAATGGATGGAAATTAATCAAGGAGAGAAGCAACCTAGAACTAAGATGAAAATTCCTGACAATGAGAACAATTAACCAATGGAACAGCTTGCCTCAAGAAGTTGTGGGTGCTCCAGCAATGGATGTTTTTAAAAAGAGACTGGACAGCCATTTGTCTGAAATGGTATAGGGTCTCCTGCCTGGGTGGGCGGCTGGACTGGAGGACCTTCAGCGTCCCTTCCAACTTTATTATTCTGTTCTGTTATTCTGTTATTCTTTCTATGATCACGTGTATCCATCACATCAACCACAAAGGAAGTCTGGAATGATATAGGATCTCCCGCCACGGGGTAGGGAATGTGGACTAGAAGACCTCCAAGGTCCCTTCCAACCCTATTGTTCTATGTTCTAGATAACTATTTATAGATCCTGAGGGGGTGGGGGAGAATAACCTCCTTACCTATATTTTGTTTCCTGATTTCCATGGATAAGTGTGTTTATTACATATATGAATAACAAACATGGAGCAAATATTAAATCAGCAAATAACTCTCTTAGAGAAAAAAACATTTCAGCTGGAATATTTTTTAGTACTGAAAATACAGTAGACTAATGAAAGTTTGCTGTAGAATTACTTGAGTATTTTCAGAGGAATAGATGTATCTTTGATGGCCACAATCACACCACCATGATCCAGATATAAGATATGATGCTCCTCTTCAAAAACCTACAGCCAGGAAAAGAAAAACAACAATGTAATTAGGTTTACCGGAAAAACCATATTAGCATATTGGATCAACAATAGACTAATACTGGAAGAGGGGAAAGGGGATTCATTGGAACAGGGGCGGGGAGGTGGACCGAAATCTGGGAAAAACTGGAGTGACAACAGAATGCGGGGTGGGGGAATAGGGGGAAATAACAATGGAGATCAGGAAATGATATTCTTCTCATGAAAATTGCAACATCAAATATTTTGGGTCATGAAAATAGTGAAAGACACAGCACAGATGATGGGAAAGTATGTAAAGGTGAAAGATAAAATGACATTTATAAAAATCCCAAGTGATAATGTGAAAATACATTCATCTAAAACAGGGGTGTCAAACTCGCAACGACACGTGACATATCACGACGTATCACAACTTTTTTTCCATTGCCGGCAATGGAGTGGGCATGTTTTCGGCATGACGCATCCTGCCCGTGGGCTGGCAGTTTGACACCCCTTATCTAAAACATCGTTCAAGAAAAAAATAAGTTATGTCCTAATTAAAAAATAATGGATTGCTATGCTTTCCCAAGGCTATAGTCCTCCGCATATTTCTTAAAAGCGAAAGGAATTAATTTTGTGTAAATATGCTTAGGCCTAGATTGCAATTAACTAAATGTTTAAAAATTGATTATGTCATCAAGCCTCTATGAAAAAAATCTCAGTAGTAATAAAATATAGATGATAAAATATATCATATCCTTAATCTTAGTTGATGATGTATACAAAAGCAGATTCTACTGGGCACAACATTGTGGCAAGATGATTGCTAATAAACAATAAGCCACTCATTCTTTCTGTCTTTAGAGTTGATTTGGACTATCATTAAGGACCAAGCTATATAGCTTGGTCATATTAGGATTCACACATGAGGCCTGAAAGATTTATTGAAAAGCTTTTTTCTCTATATATATTTTTTTCACTGAATCAGAACATGCTTATGGGTTGCAAGATTGCATTATTTTATCATATTTATTTATTTATTTGTATCCCACCTTTATTAATAAACAAACAAATAAATAAATATAAAAAGATGTAGAATGAACCAAATCCATCACATTGAGTTTATATACAAGCTATCCACTTCACTTTCATACCTGTCTCCATGTTTTGCCACAATCTGACGTGATATACATTTCTTCCTTGTATTCCACAAGCTGGGCACCCAGATTTCCTGAAAATAAAAGTATAATAAGCAGAGGTTACTAAACTATTGCAAATGCTTGCTGTAGTTCCTTTTACAAAGGCTCCTATTCTCCACCCACCCTTATGGCCAAAAAAACCTCTTCTACATGCAGGGAAAAAGAGAATCCCTAGAGCAGTTTCTACTTTAGAAGAAGCAGAATTATAGAAATTGAAGCTCCATGCACAGCTTGGAGGTTGTCAAGTTGGAGAAGACTATCCTAAAGCCACAATAGGCCCAACGATAACCCCCACTAAAGAATGATGTGGGATTTGTTCTTAATGGCACTGATGACAGCTAGCCTGACAGCAGGGTTACATGTCAATGTTTTTATTTTATGGTATTTACTGTATCTTTTAACCTTGTCCTGCATTTTTATCCAATAACTTAAAGGCAGGACATATAAAGATATTTCACTTTAATCTAACAGCAATACAGCCATACTACATAAATTAAATTGAGTGATGCTACTTTTCCAAGAAAATATGCAAATTTCATGGCTGGGTAGTGACAAACCCTAACATACCGTAACCACATTTTGAGAAGTTCCCAGGTTTTATGCTTACACATTGTAAGTACCCAAGAAAACAGGCATCACCAATACTTTCACTAGACTCACCACTGTGTTATAGTACATACCAGGACTTATTCTACTGTGATTTTTTTCTGTCATCAGAATCTTCAACACCACCAAAACTATCAGGAATTACTAGTTCTATTTATTCTGATATGGCTCAGATATCCTCTAAGGTACATAGATCAAAACTACCATGCAACTTGCTTTCAAGTGATTCACTGCTTTATGTTCCTACTACTTCAGCCACCTGTTCCTTAATTTCATTTTTAATGTAAACTCATTAGTTGAAAAAACTGCTTCTCTTTATTTTCCTGATCTGATTTTATTCCTTGGTATTTGAATCAATTTTGTCATTCCCCCTTCTTCTCCAGACCCAGCAGAAAAAAGGTCCAAGTCCTCTCTCATATTCTTCACAACAGATGTTACTCTGGAATGGCTAAAAGCTGCTGAACTTGGAGACACACGGCCAGAGGTCTTCTCTAGGGTCTAGGATCACTCGCCATAGCTGACTTGCCCTGCTGTCTCAACCTGACCGACTCATCGCAGACAACTTGCCGCAGACAACTTACCACAGGACAACCCATCACCGGACAACTCGCCATGGGACAGTTCAATGCAGGATAACTCAAGAAGAGCAAGTAGAATTGCAGTGGGCCTTGTCTTGCTTTAGTTTTAAACCTTCTCAAGTTAGAAGTCCTCAAGAGTTGGCCACCTCAAGAGAGCCTGGGTGAGTCGGCCAGGGTGAGTTGTCCCATTCTGCTTCTTCTATGTATTCCATCTATCTCTGGTGAGGTTTTGTTTCTTTTTTGTTGTTGTTGTTGAGAGTACAATGAAGCACAAATAGAGTATAAGTCTCTCTACCACCCTACTTGTGCAGGTTCTGAACCCAACTGAATCTTTCCAGATTTCTTTCAATGTTTTGTCTTAATGACTGCAAGTCAACCTAGGCAAAGAAATTAGGCTACTAGAAAAAATGAGGAGTCATTGAAGAAGGGGAGCTATATTAACTTATGGTGGCAAAATTAGAAATGTTTAATACCACCTTTTCTAACAATTTTTATTAAAAGTCAGAAGTGACCATGAGCTGCAGCTCACTTCATCAGACGAACAGCATGGCTAGACTGATGTAGGATTTAAACTGTGGTGGAGTGGGAAAGGAAAGAGGAGAGAAAGAGAAGTTGGTTATATAAATGCAGTTTACATGTGTGAGAGAGTGCAAGTTCCTCAACAATTAACAATTATAATATGTTAAAAACCTATTGTGTTTGTTGAAATCTGAGATTGTCTGAAACCTTTTCATGTGAGTTCAACTAATTCTCATTCAGTGGTTCTGTTTTCCAAAAGCTTTTGAGATCTGCTATGGAGTGCTCTGGAAGGTTGAAATGCTCAGATATTACTCTGACCTTATTTTGAATCCTAATGTCAAACTTGGTTTCAATGACTCATCTGTAGAACCAATAATATTTCTAAGTCAGAAACAATACTATGTTCTACAGGGGAAAAAATGTGTGTATCTAATATGAAGGCCTAAATGCTAGAATTAATGTGTAAATTTAAAATGCAACTTGCAGCTTACAAACCACACATATCCTTGTACTGAGCCTGCATTTAACAATTACTTCTTGCTAACCCTTTGTGTTCTGATGTTACCATGCAGATGAAACAATTTATACTTGCTTTGCTGACAAGGAGCTAAGAGTAGGGATTTAGTTTAGATAATCATAGTTCTCACAGAAAAGGGAGGGCACGGATAGGCAATAAAACTTTTAAAAAAATAATTCAAGAGGATTCTGAGATGAATAAACTTGGAAATGGAGTGGATGACTGGCAGCTTAAATGCCTAATATGATTCTAATTCTAGCGGCTGCTGAAGATATACTGTTGGTTTCATTCCAGAGAAAGAATAAGTAGTGAATCTAAATTGGATTGGGCAGTGAGTGTACAGTTCAGAAAAACATTCTCACTTGTGCTTTTTAAACACTGTCTTATCAGCAAGCTTAGATGTCTGTTACTGGCTAGGAGAGGGTGCAAGTGACTTATTAGAGCAACTTGTGGCCTTCAGATTCCCCACTGATTTTGCTTGTGAGAATCTGGCAGAAAAGGCTGCAAATGGCAATTGTATGAGGTGGGACGCTGCAACCATCGTGACTACAAGCACTCAGATTGCAATCATGTGATTGCATCAGTTAGAACAGGGGTCTTCAAACTTGGCCCTTTTAGGACTTGTGGACTTCAACTCCCAGAATTCCTCAGCCAGGCACTGTGGCTGAGGAATTCTGGGAGTTGAAGTCCACAAGTCCTAAAAGGGCCAAGTTTGAAGACCCCTGAATTAGAACTTTGAGGACTGGCCATAAATACTACTTGTTCAGCACCATTGTAACTTTGAGTGGTTACTGAACAAGTGGTCATTAAACAAGGTTACCTGTAGCTGTGAAATATAACACAGAGAATGTGGCTGATTTTGGCCCCTATTTCTTCTTTAATCAGTCCAATTTCCATCTCAAATGACCCCCTTTCTTATCCACAATTTAACTCCTTATGCAATTGGAATGACACTTTGTCCCTTTAGTTCCTAAATGAGAGAGGAAGGTCAAGAAGCTTCATAAAGTGTCTAGAGCCCTCTGACTTTGCTAGAGGCTCTTTCAGAAGGCAACGTCCTGAACATATTATCTGAGGAAGAGAGGGGAATACAATATTTCAGATGCCACTAATTGGCTTCCTCAAATGTTCCATTTTTATCTATTATATATAGCTTTTACTGTCAGCGCTTTGCCTTGCTAGGTAAACAAAATTTAGAGCTCATACATTTCCGACACAGGTCAGAAATAATATTATGGTGATAGCATCTGGTATAGCAATACCCATAGAAAAAGGTAAAGACAAAAAGAGAGAGGGAAAACTGTTCCTGGTTATTTTCCTTTGTGGATTAGATTTCACACACAACAGAAACAAGCAGATAGGATGGAACTGAAACCAGTAGCTATTAGAGAGAGGCAATTTGAAACAAAATTGCATCATTAGGTATCTTTTAGACTGAAAAACACCAAAAGAAAAATACTAAGTTATCTCTTTTTTTTTACCTGCCCCCATTATGAGCCCTGGTGCTGTATCCTTAGTATGAACCATCCCTGACACATATGGATTATCTGGCCAACACAAATGAAGATGAAGATGGCAATCAGGCTATAAAGTTAACAAAGAAAAAACACTGTTTTTAGCAGAGTAGGTGAAATACTTTTAATTTCTGAAACAGCCACACCAAGATTAAACAGAACATGACAATTGATTGTTTCTATTAATGTAATAATGGCATTATATCAAAATTGCACCAGCATAAAATATTACCACAGGATACAGGTAGTCCTCCAGATATGACTATAATGGAGCCTGCCACTTATGGGAATTTGAAGGTTGCAACCGTTAGGTGAAACCTGTCACCTAACAACCCTGCATCCCTCCCCTCCCCAATGAAAGGTAAAACAAATGTGTGGATTGTTAAGTAGAGTGTGGGATGCCTCCTGAATAGGGGAGGCCATAGGAGACCTAGTATAGGTGCAGGCCTCCTGTCCTGGCCCTCTCAAGGCCTCCCCCATCCCTGAGATGTCCCATGTTCCACTTCCCTTGCCTTGGGTCCCTGTCAGGCCTCAGGTCTGATTCCCATCCCATCAAACGAAACAACTTTCTTCTTACTTACCTTTCTGAATGCTGGGATGACTTTCTTTTTTGCATGGCGCAATTCCAAAAGTGGTCGCCGTTTTGTCCTGCCCACAAAAGGGCAACCCCATTCAAATGCTGCATGGCCTGAGGACAACCTACCCCATTTTGCTGCTTTAACAAAATCTGTGTAGTGCTGTAGAAGCTTTCTGCAGCATTCAGAAGATTCTGCAGCACTGTGCAACCTCTCTAAGGCAGCAGAATGAAGCAGCTTGCCTGGCAGCTGCCATTTTGTTCCCCGCCACAAATGGGTAGGACATATTCAGGTTGCTGCCACACAGCCCAGAGACAATCGACTTTGTTCTGCTACTTTAACAAGGTCTGCACATTGCTGCAGAAGCTTTTTCCATCATTTAGAACAGAGGTCCCAAACCTTTTGGGCACCAGGGACTGGTTACATGGAGAGAGGTTTTTCCACAGACTGGAGGGGACATGGTTTTGTGTGCTGCCTGCATCCCGCGGATGGGGCTTTCCTTGTTTGTGACGACTGGTTGCTGGCATGATGCGGACCGGTACTGGTCCACAGACTGGGGGTTGGGGACCCCTGATTTAGAAGCTTCTGTAGCACTGTGCAGACCTCTCTAAGGCAGCAAAATGAAGTAATTTCTTTAGCAGTTACCATTTTGTTCTTTCCCAGAAGCAAGCAGGACAAAATGGTGGCCACATTTGGATTGCTGGCCCCAGGCCCCAAGGACACATGACTTACCCTCCTTGTACAACATGAGGTCTGGAGAGCTTCAGAAGTAAGTGTGGGGAAGAGACCCAAGCACTGCAGAGTTCTGATGGGATGGGATGGGGTAGGATGGGGGAGAGGCGGGAGGGGGCTGCAGTGATCCTGAGGTGGATTGTAAAGGTGAACAACCACAGGCCGGCTGCAGCCGTCATAACTTTGAACGGGTCATATGTAGTTTTTGAAGGGGTGTCTAATTTTGAATGTTCATTAAACAGTTTGTTGTAACTCAAGGATTACCTGTATATCATCAATATGTTTAAATACTGTAGGACATCTTACAGAATGCCTCCTTTAAGCAACCATTTAAAGTTATGATTGTATTAACCCCCCCCCAGTTTTCTGACCAATCCTTGCATTTATAATTGTCACAGCATCCTGTGATCAATACTATTCAGGTGTCTGCAACTGTTGCACATTCATGTGATCACCATTTGTATTCTTTTCAATTGGAATGTGGAAGTAAAAGCATTAAGTTCCAGTCATATGATGATTCTCTTAATGACCAAAGCATAAGTGAGTACATAAACCTGTCACAGTCATATGATGTTTTGTTTAGTAATTCTAGCTCTGGTCCCAATTGTGGTTGCTAAGTGAGGACTACTTGTAATTGTATTCTTTAAAGTTAAATACACACATCTATACTTTGAAGGTTTGTATAGTCCAAAGACATATAAATCTGTTTGAAAACTATTTTGCCATTTTTAAAATATACCAGGTACAAATGCCAGAAGAATAACTTCTCATGTTCACAAGAAAGAATTTCTGTGCTTAGTCCCAAGATTTTATAAATGTACTAATTACCTTAATCACTTTAATAGTAATCCATCAAGACCACAGTCTCCGATCACTGCTTTCAGATATTTGAAATTTTAATCATCCTAATAATTCAGGTTTTTGAGTCTTGTACGTTTTCCCAAAGAGATATGAAGGAAAAATACTGACAAGAATAAGCTGAATTAAACAGAACTATCATGTTTGAAATGTGCCTTCTGTATAATGCCAAAGAGAGTCCTTTGATTTGAATAAAATGGTGTTTTTATTTGTCCAATATTTTAATGATTATAATTGATGAAATCTAATATACATAAAAGTACACCTTTCACTTTCCTTGAAATAAACTAAAGTTGTTTTTTGTTATTTAATTCATATGAGCATGGATTGGATCAAGGTAGGTATGTCCAAGTCCAAAATATATTATTTAATCAACTATAGAAATCCCAGTACTGAAAGTATGGGCCTTGGACCAGGTCTTTCCAGTGTTTCATATTGGCTATCCTTTCATTAACCATCTCCACGGCATCTTCAAGTCCCAGTTGGCTTATATATTCAAGTGTGAAACATAAGTAATGAGCTTTTGTTTGCAAACCTATTAGCAACTGTCTTTATAGTTACCCATTAACAACAGTAGAAGTAATCTTCTGAGATTTGAAATAACTGTTAATATTCTGGACCATGCCTGAGTTTTAATGCTTGGCAAGTCTGTTTCCAACTTCAGGATTACATCAGAAACACATTTGGGAGCACCTATTACAGCCCTAAGGAAAGATGATTAGGTTAATCCATCTCTGTTACTGAATATTATTGTTTATACTGAAATTGCCTACATAAAATTACTACTCTACTCCTCCTCTTCTTCCTCAGCACTACAAATGAAACTTTTTAGTTAAATGATCAATTATTCCCCCAAATGTCATCCATTGATCTGAAATTCATTGCACGAACATTTCATTATATTATTGTATTTCCCATCTTTTTGCAGTTCATCCTTCATTTAATCAACCAGTCCTGTGATTTAACTTGGGCTGGAAAGCATAGCTACCTAAAGTCATTTGGTGGACTTTAGGGTTATGTGAGGACCTAAAGCTAATTTTCCATTATCCTAAATCAATATTTTGGGTTGCAGAATTTCTACATGCTCTCCATCCAAAATACGTTGAGGTCAATTGTTTTTCTATACCTCAGTTTCTCTCTTGAAAATGCTAGAAAACTCACAATTCCATCTTTATCACTGTTGAACACATGTTGCCTGAATTCCTATTATAACCACAATTGATGAGTTGAACCTGGAGACTGAAAGACAATTGCATACATCATGTAGTATCTCATCTAGTAAAGACTTTCCCATGGCTCTTAAAAAATGTTGTGTTTGTTATCACATTTGTGTTCCTTCTTTCTTTAGGGAATTACAGCACATTTTATTATAATTAAAATCCTGTGATATAAATTGGACTCAGGCACAGTGATAGGCTTTCAGTTATCTAAAGGACTCCAAGATCAAGTATGGATTTGAACCAGTACTGTAATCCACTGCCATTTATCTCAGTATTGATTATGGTGAGGTTTTGAGTCATTTATAGATATAAAACTTAATGAAGGTTTATAAGATGAAACCCCCCAAATTAATGTCCAAAATAATATTGGAATGCAAAAAGCTTCTACATCTTAAAAAAAAAATGAGGAAGTTCAGGAAACGAGCTGAATACTGACCTAGCTGGCTGCTAAATGAGGTCTGCAAAGAATCGTTTCATGGGAGAGCATTAATATACAATATATACGATTTACATATGAAATACTAGAAAATTATGAATTTAGTTTGACCAATGCATTAAAACTTGGACTTATTCTATATCCTTTATCCCCATGTCCATAGAAAACACATCTTACTAAAGCCATGCAAAATCACTGCAAACGTTGGAGTAATTATGAAGTCTCTACAGTAAAAGGGAAATGCTTTTTTTTTTTTAAAAAAAAGGAAAAACTGAATGATAATGCAGATCTTATATCTAGAGTAGTTTTAGACATCAACAGAAATTTACCCAAAGCATTCAGGAAAATGAAGCACAGACATATTTGTAAATCATTTTGGAAATATAATTTTCAGCTGTTGAAGTCTAAAGTGTTTCCATCTTATTGTAAGGTACAGATTCTTTTATTGATAGAAAACCAAAAATAGCAGAGAATAATAACAGTTCAAATTATATTCTATTTACTTCTTAAAAACATTCCATAGTTAATCTGTTTTTCTCATGGTCAACATATTTTTTATGTCTTTGTTAAATAAACAAGGTTTTTGTTGCTATTTTAAGAGCAGGGGAAAATACTCACTGGTTTGCAATCAGTTGGTTTACCATTCATATCAGTAGCTGGGGGCATTAGATAATCCCAGTTACGGCCTTTATTAAATGTTATAAGAGTGGTAACTTTTCCATTTATTTTCTGATTAGCCAAAAACACTCCTTTGACACCTTTAACCTATGTTGCAAATATAAAATGTAGCCAAGTTAATAAACAACCATCAAATACATATTCAATATATTAACCTTCCTTTGCTACTAGTAGAAAAGTGAGCATGTCAATAGCTTGAAATATAACTACTCTCAAAAATTTGGATCTGACCAAGACAGAAATAGAAAGGCCTCCACTATTTTTCCACCAAAAAGGACACCTTTCTAACAGAATGTGTGTTAACAAATGTATTAGTTAGTTATAAACATTGCAAGAATTCCGTTGATGTCATTATAAAATAACCAAGAGCTAACTGGAGCTGAAGCAGATTTTGCTGTTATGAGAGCAATCTTCCAGTAATTTCCCCTTCCCCTCCCAAATACACCCAAACAAAGAAAGCAATTGTTCCTTTAGTTATGTTTTGACTCCCAAGCTGTAGCCTTTCAGGGGCTGCTCTAATTCCACACTTCAAGAAATTCTCTGCCTCAGTACTCTTATACAGAACTATTTAAATAAAACCTTTTGAAATTCATTTTCATGTGATTGTTCATGAAGTCACAGCCCTTCCCAACTAGAATAAAAAATTGTCTTTCTAAACCAGAAATCTATTTTCCTTGTATGGGTAAACTACTCTCAAGTTGTGTTGCATATCCATTGTACCACATTTTAGACTGCTAACTGCTATGTAAGTAAATTATGTTGCAGTATGTAGAAGCAGATCATTCAGGGATAACATTTTCTCTTTCCAACAGAAAGATAAAGAACAGTTCTGAAGAAGGCATCAGTTGGAGGTGTTTAACTCTTGATTACTGAAGAGACTTATAGGTTCTAGTCAAACATAGTAATTAGGTAGTTGGTTAATATTTTTAGTCACATGGATATTTAAGTATTCTTCTATTTATTCAGTATTAAACCCTTATCCAATAAATATTGTTGAGATTTCATGTTGAGAATTAATCCCTTTAAGATACATGGATGTATAGGGCTAGTCAACTGACTGACCAACTACAATAATCCTGTCATACACTATATCAATTCCCTATGGAGGTGAAACATCTCATTCCAACAGCTTATATAAGAAGGAAAAGATTATTATTTCAGACAAATATTCTTGGGCACTCTAACATGGCACATGGCTGAGAGAGGACAGAGGATATGTCAATCCTTCCAGGTAAACCAGACAGGAAACATGATTAGATGAGCTAATTCTCCTTTATTGTAAGGCTATATTAGCAGAATCTGGCAAGTGTGAAATTACAAAGGCCACCAATTTTAACTGCTTGTTCAATTAGGGGGAGTCTTTCCTAAGTTTCTTTCTCTAACTGTTAAGTCATTCCTGCCTCCCTTGGATACCAGGGGATAAAAGAAAGGGTGGAGTTATTACTTCACGGGTTTTCTACATATGTTATCAAATATGACTGGAGGCCCCTTAATATGTTAAGGCATGCCTCTTTTTGAAAAGCAAATAGGCAACTCAATTATTTGTAATAATTAATGGGTTACATATGTCTAGAGTGAGAGTATATACACTATATATCTGACATGTATTTTGCCCTATAAATGTGACTGAACTACATATGTCGACAAATATATGTATACACTAATAAAAATTCATAGATCGATTGAATTTTTTTCCTATCAGGTCAATATGTCTCAGAAAGGCAGTTAATTAATAGTAAAGCAGCCTTGGTTGTCAAAAATATACATAAAACAAATAGGAATACCTTTACCTTTTATTTTTAATATATATATCCACTTTTATATTTATAGTACTATCTATAATACAGCAAATCCCTGGGCTAAGCACCCCCAGTTTTAGGCTGATCCATAATTAAGAAAATAACCTACTGAGGCAAAATTCAAGTGAAATACATAATGATTCAAGTTCATTACACTATACTATTTATACAGTATTATACAATAACACAGTTGCAGCTTATGTACAAATTCAACTTAAGGACAGACAACAGGAACCAAACTCCTTCTTAAACTGAGGATTACCTGTACTTTAAATAAGGTGGTTATATTGATAGGAACATTCCATTTTAGGAAAAACAGTACAAAAATCTTTAAACCAAAAGTCAAAGATGCTGAAGAAATGTTACTATAGTTAGTAAAATTGTGGTTTTTTTTTTTTAAAAAGACATTTACCTCCAAAATATCTATTAAAACATTCTCCTCAGGTTGCTTGGTACTCCTGACATTTTCTAATGCAATGGAATAGGAAACGCCTTGTGGGTCAGACTGGTAGAGGTTATATGTATCAATCTGATACCATTCCTGGATAGCTATAAACACCTGGCTCTCATCAGTGCTGATAATCTGTAAATCCTGAAGTGAAAAAGAGGGGAAAAAACACAGACTTACAACCTAGAGCTACTTAGTGTTAATGAAAATACTGTATACCAGTATGGCTGAAGAATTCTGGGAGTTAAAGTCCACAAGTCATAAAAATCATAAAAGGGTCAAGTATACCATGATTCCTATCTCCCTATTATTTGGGACAGAAAAAAAGAATAGCAAGAAAGCTTTCTACAATCACTTTTTCAAGTACAGACTTGTAAAAAAAATGCTGCTGTACTTAAGAATTGCATTAATCAATTTACTTTTAGAGTCACAGCAAATTTTCCACATTTATGCAGAAGCTTGAAAAAGGACTCAGCTGCCTTAATCAATAGCAGAAAGGGTTTTTTTATACAATGTCCTAAGTACTTCTTTTTGAATCATATCGGACAATGATCAGCTCAGTATGGTAGTGCAATTTTTCATAAATAGTACACTACATTCTGAATGTGGCTTGTACCAGATTAAAATGCAGTTGGGTAATAATTAAAAAATAAAAAATACAATAAAACATAAATAATACTACATTTTAAAATTAAATAATAAACTTAGTTACCAATCACCAAAACTCTATGTTGGTGACTAGCAAGAAGTCCTGCACCAGCTCGCTGCCTAAGCTTCAATGAAGCAACAAAGACTGCTGGTGCCCCGGTATGAGTTGAGCAGAAGCATCACCATAACCAGAGCTCTTTCTCAGTCTCAACTGCAGCAGCACCAAATGACTCTACTGCTGCAATGAAGCTCGGGCAGCGAGTTAGAGCCTTTCCCCGCACTGCAATCAGCCAGCCAGCCAACCTTGAGCTGGTAGTCAATTTGCTCCGAAGCCCAGAGCCCAATAGTGGGATTCAGCCAGTTCGCACCACTTCAGCAGAACCGGAAGCTAATTTTTTGTTGCCCAGGCCCAGAATGGACTTCCAGAAGCGGCATCCACACAGAAAACTGGTTGTTCTCATATTTGAATCCCACCACTGCCAGAGCCTCAAGACTTTTCAGAGGACAAAAGCAGCGGAACTCTGCAGACGGGACTTTCGTGGTTCCTGCATCTTCCTTCTTCATCTTCAGTTCTTTCTGTGTGCAGGCAAACATCTACGTAAGATTTAGCCCATAACGATGTTCTATCATAGGTTATGCCTGATGCTTAAGTGCAACCCCCCCCTAAAATACAAGTATGGAAATTATAGAAACTCTTGAAGAATGATTTATAAATAGAAATATATTTTCCAATAAGCATTTTGAGTAAATCTCTTCTAGTCCAGCAATGAAAGAAGAATTGTGGATTTTGTGAGGAATTACCTTAGGTAAAGCATACTTTGGCAATTTCATCTGTATAAATTCATTCCGACGATAAGAAACATAGTACTTTGTTTGGTTTCCTGAAGATACCTATGAAAAAAAGGGGGGAGAACAATTTTATCTGTGAAAAAATGGCAAAAATGTACACAATAATGATTTATTTAACTAGGAACAGGGACTATAGGGAGTGCACACACAAGGGGCGCTAATGTAGTTATGATCATTTGCAGAAATTCTTCTTGAGTGAAGTGGGGAAAGAATACCTATCAAGCGATGGCTAGTTAACAGCTTGTGCGCTTGCACTTTTAAACATTATTTTTGGAGTGAGATGACAGCCAGAGTACAATGAGCAGGGCTGTAAAGAAACAAATGAGTCTAGCTTTGTTAATCTGGGGGGACTCTACAAATACAAAAATGAACTGTATGGACACAAAATTATCAAACCTGTTCTAGACAGACTTGAAAGTAGCTATCCAATTAATCAGCTATCTGATAAGACTCAATAATAATAATAAAGTTGGAAGGGACCTTGGAGGTCATCTAGTCCAACCCCCTGCTCAGGCAGAAAACCCTATACCATTTCAGAAAAGTGGCTGCCAAGTATGATGCAAAGTAAGTAAAGATGATGCAAATTATGCAACATCAGAGAAAGTTTAAATTGACACTTGCATTTGTAGTAATCCCATAGAAAAATGAAACCAACCACAAGAACAATTAGCTTTTAAATGGCAAATTGGGCTAGAAAATAACTTGTCATTTGGAGGTTAAGGGAGATGCCAACATTTGATTACGATAATTTTTTGAGGCTGCATTTATTTTCTTATTAATAAGCTTCATAAGTAAACAAGCATAGATTTTCCTGAAAATTATGTAAGCATTAACATAGTCATTGATCTTACCTGAAGGAATATGTAGTCATCCTGTACAGTCAAGGAATTCTTGTCAATCCTACCATTGAAGGGAGACTTTAGTGATTTTTCAGAACAATTCTGAAACTGACAGATCATGTAGTAAAAATCTATTGAGAACCAAAAATAATAGATATAAGTAAATAAAGAAATGCTTACATCATTTGCCAGAATAAAAGCTGAATGATTCAAAAGTCCACCCTCTTCAACTAACTGATTGATTGATCTGCTTTCCTGGACACCTGTTTTTTAGATTTTTGAGCAAGATATTTCTGCTAAGATTCAGACACATGTAAATGACAAATACCAGAACTACATATAATTTATAATATTTTAATAGAACCATGTAAATTTTAGGGTATTTAGTAAAGTAATAAATTATTCCATAAAACCTTTAATGGGCTTGTCATTTCTCACTTCAGGGTTCCAATACAAAACTTTGGTTTTGTGGAATGAAATCTACAAAATTAGATTGGCCAATTTAGTGAACAGACATTCATGGTGATTACTGAACTTTGTAATGCAGCATGTAACACATTAATTATTTTATTACAGAATACTACTAATAGCATTTGGATGAAAGGGTGGTATAGGAAGCAGGACTCTAAGACACTCCAACACAGACTCAGGTTTTCTCTTTCTCTGGTTTTGGATTTGATTTAGACACACTTTGACTTTTGGGCGAAACCAAAAAGTTTTCATTCATGCATAAATCAAAAATTATCTACTTTATATTAGCTGGAAATTTGATTTCTGCTCCATTATTTTTGCATAACAATAAAAAAGATTTCCTCTTGAGAGTCTCACGATTCCACATTTGAGAGAACCTTACTTGAAAGGTACATTAGTCTAACCAAATTAAACTTCAGGTATGTACATACAGTACTTAGTCTTAAGCTCTTTAAATTAGGTTTTCAATTTTTCATTAGATACTCTTAAGACCTTTATGTTTTGATTCATGCAATCCCTTCAACTTTTCCTCATATCAATTAAAAGTAAAACCCAATATAAATATATTTTCCCCCTTGCCAATTTTTTTTTCTTATCTAAATCAAAGGTTCCCATGTTTGAGAACTGCCTCAGTGGAGCCCCCTCTGTCCATCCATTCCATTGTACAACAAATATTTTACATTCTTGCTTATGAACCCAATACTGAGATTTAGGAATACTGGGGACCTGATTAAAAATAAATCGGAGAGTCCCTTCCACAATCTCACCAAGCATTGGGGAAAGGGTTGGATCTGTCAGAAGCAAATCTGGTATCTCTTTTTGCTGGCTTATCTGTACTTTCTCCCAACCAGCTTTGATTGGAGAAGGATAAGGAAGAAGTGAAGGTAAGGACAAAATAACTTATGGGCACCCTGTTCCTGTTTCACTCAAATCTAGACCGAATATCTGTTTCCATCTGATTGCTCATGCCAAAGCATTGTGCAAAAATATAGTCCTCTACCCAGTTAAAATGTACAACTAAGTAAAGTTTTTTGGATCTTGCAATGAAAGTTTTATTAGATTTTTTAAATAGTCATCACCGGATCTGTTCAACAGTCTTTTATTAATGGTTACACAGGCACCACAGAAGGACACTTGTGGTACACACTGATTAGCTAAGGTATTCACTTTACATGGAATGCAGAAATATGAAAGATTACAAATAAAAAGTTATATGTGCATTAATTTAGAATATAGAATAACAGAATTGGAAGGGACTTTGGAGGTCTTCTAGTCCAACCTCCTGCTGAGGTTATGACTTTGTTTGCCTCTAGGTGTTCGCTGATTTGTTGCTTGATTATCTTTTCCAGAATTTTTCCAGATATTGAGGTCAGGCTGACAGGTCTATAGTTTCCTGGATCTATTTTTTTTTCCTTTTTTGAAGATGGGAACTACATCAGCTCTTTTCCAGTCCTCAGGTAGTTCCCCAATGCTCCAGGATCTTTGAAAAATATAGTTCAGTGGTTCTGAGATCATGTCCGCCAGTTCCTTCAAAACCCCGGGGTGTAATCCATCTGGTCCTGGTGATTTGAACTCGTCTAGGGTGGATATGTGCTCACTTATCATTTTCTTGCCTATTTTAACTTGTGTTTCTAATCTGTTATTTATGGTACTGTTTTTGATAGGTTGGACTGTTTTTTCCCCTTTGTAAAGACGGGTGCAAAAAACAGGTTAAGTAGTTCTGCTTTCACCCTGTTGCCTGTCACCTTCTTGCCACTTTCTCCCACTAATGGGCCAATCATTTCCTTAACTTTTTTCTTGTTTTTTTACATGTTGAAAGAAGCTTTTTTTTGTTATTTTTGACTTTTGTCGCAAGCCTTAGTTCATTTTGAGCCTTAGTTTTCCTCACTTCATCTTTGTAGGCTCTGGCTATTTGCTGATATTCTGCCTTAGTTATGTGCCCCTCTTTCCACTTTTTATACTTGTCCTTTTTGTCTTTCAATTTATCAGAGAGTTCTTTATGCAGCCATGCTGATTTCTTTTGAGAGCTGTTATTTTTCTTTTCATTGCTATTGTGCTAGGCTGGGCTTTTATAATCTCACTTTTCAAAATTTCTCAAGTTTCTTGAGTTGTTTTCCCTTTGAGTATTCTCATCCATTTAGTTTACATCCTCTTGTTTAGTACAAAATCTTTTGTTTGCCCTTTGTGTCTACGTTATTAGCTCATTTAAGTATAATGGAGCTGGGCTTATTTTCTAGTAATATTAACATGTTTACTTGATTAAAATCATAAATTGATTAAACAATGAATTATTATTTAATCATAATCAGACTAATCATGATATCCATTTTGATATCCATAATGAAAGATTTTTTTACACTGACAATATTATAGCATACATAAAATGAGAAAAAGAGATGAGGCAGAGCTGCTGAATACATGAGAATGCGATAGATTATTGCACTTAGAAAGCAAGCTTCTCAATTTTTGTGAACTTAATCAGAAATTTTTGGTTAATTTTGTTATGAATTTAACCAGAAATGTTGAAAACAAAAAACAACTGCAATATATCCTAATGAGTACCTCCATTTGGATCTTGGAATTCTGTATGAACCAAATCAGGGTCTTCATCAACTCCATCAACAGCCCTGCAAGAGTAATAAAATTGCCGTTACCATAGGAAAAACTACAGTTTTAGGGTGAATAAAACTAACCGTCTACTGCCAATTCTGAATTTATTTTCCTTGCTTTATTATTAAAATCTCTCAAAAAGCAGTGCAGAAATAGATTCAAAAACACTCATGTAAAGGAGACATGTTTTTTAAATCCTATTATCCAAAAAAATACGCTTATTTCCTGATTTATTTTTCAAAAGTTTGATACAGTCCATGTAAATTATCCTATTTTAATTACAATGGTCTCTGAAGTCAAGTTCACAGCTGAGCAAGGTTTTGAACTGATATTTTAAGCCTAAATGTCCTAACTACTACATAAGCAAATTTTTTAAAACTATAACTGTAGACATAAGATAAAATGTTTTCTAACACATTATAAATACTAAATGCAGTTTATTATCTCTAAAGTCAGGGCTTTTTTTCTCATAGAACGCCCAGAACGGAGTTCCGGCACCTTTTTTGGGTGGAACCTTGTAGGGTAGGCATGGCGGGTTGTATGATGTGTGTGAGTTCCGGCACCTTGTTTTTTTTACAAAAAAAGCACTGTTTAAAGTACTATCTTTCCTTGAAGGCAGATCTTAAAGAAAATCAGTATCAAATTTATACTTCCTTTGCCATGTTAGATAATGGCCGTTTTATTAAAAACAGCTTCATTTGAGAAAATTACTGTATATAATCACTGTCTCCAATATGAGCACTGTTAATTAAAATAGTTAATTACATTTCAAATTAATTCATATTCATATCTACCTCAGTAAAATCAAAATGTTGAGAAAACAAATACTGTTCTTTAGTACGATTTAATTATTCCTTAAAATAAATAGTTACCAAAGCTCATTTCAACTATAACACCGAGGCTGTATTATATCTAAAAGTCCATAAACATGTTTCATTGAGTTTTATTGTACATGTTCAAAAGACAATTAATTTCAATATCTATAATTTCAAAAATTCTGATATATATAACATTCAACTTTCTAGCCATTTTTTTAGCTATCTTAACAAAACACTCCTATGTCTCTATCAAGATAGTTCACCAATCTGTCTCAAATCTCCCTAGATAAATATAGTAAATAAAATGACATTAACAAAGTAATTTGTATAAATTATGTTTACAGAAATATTTCTGGAAAGAAATATTGAATATGGATGTTTAAATATTGTATCTCTCCTCAGGTTCCTTAAGATTATGTATTTATACATACTTCAAAAATCATTGCTTTTCTTTCTTATTCCTATGTAGATTTTCTGTTTGGATGATTTATTGTTTTGGTGTTCTATGTGCTGTTTTATTTTCTAGATTTTATGAATGCACTATTTTATTTTATTTTAAAAAATAACTATATCCTCAAAACAATTCAAATTAAACTTGCACTAAAAATACTCTCATGTCTGTCTTCTTTCACTATATTTAGTAAATTGCTAAAAAGTTTGTCCAAATATACTAATTGAGTCAAGATCTCCAATTCATAATACCGGCTTATGAATGAATTGCCCTTTAATCAAGCAGCATTATTCATGTCTACAATGAGACAGCTAATTTGAAACATGATGCTGGTACTGTTTCTAGAGGGGATTTTGTTTTCAGTGTATTGAATAAACAGTCTCCTCTAATTAACATGAAAGTCATGTTTTCTGGCACTTTTAGTTACTTGTAGAGACAGAAAATAACTTACTCAACATAGTTATGTTTAATTTATTATTGTATTTTTAACCAGACTTTTTTTTCTGATACTCCTGTCTCAAGTGCCATAGCTTATATTGTACAGTAACCATGCTACTCTTTTGATACTGCACACAGTACCCAAACTGTATTTTTTATTCAGTACTTATCTGTCTAATACTTTAATGGTTCAGATTGCTTTTTGTCACATAAACTTTTCTCTTTAAGAATCTTCAATTATCTTTGTCACTTGTAAAATGCTCCATAAAAATATATTACAAATCACTATCAGAAACTTGGTATGTGTATTTTACTAATGACGGTACACTCATTGCCACAGAAATATCCACACATGAACAAATGTTTATGTGATAATCTATTCACCTCAAGATGCCATAATTTGGTTGTATTCACTCTCATATTCCACATAAAGAAAATTATATATTGTGAGGAAGGATATGCAACTGTTTATTAGTAACTGGATTACTTTGAGTGCAATCTGTGAAATCATGGACATGAATTATGCTTCTCTTGAAAGCTGGTTCAGAAACCTCTAAAGTTTACAGATTTTCCTAGCAAGAGTCCTGTTTCCAATGTGTACCACACCTGATTATGCACAGCTCCTGATGATACTGCTCAAATCATGAGAAGAGCACTAAGATTGGCCTACAGAACCGGTTGGCTGAATTCACTTAAAGAACCTTAGATACAATATTATGCCATCAAATTGTTGACAACTGTTAGTGATCACATAGATAAGACTTTCTCCTTAACCTTGCCTTGCTCAGCACTCCTGGAGATCTGCCGCACACTGCTTACCTTCGGCCATTTTTCTCCTACTATTAAAAGGCCCCATGTGGCCTATCTGAGGCAGCTTCTCATCACACCAGGCCTTCTTTTCCAGAGTCTGTCTGTGTAGCTTTGGAGATCTCAAGAAGCCCCAGGTGAACAAGTTCCATCCTTCAGGAAGCCTCAGGAAGTCCTATGTGATTTTGGAACAGGTTCCATTCTTGCAGAGTTTCCTAAGGATTCTGGTGGCTTTCAAAGTCACATGCTTGTGTGGAAGGGGCAACTGCATCATTCCCCAAACTCATGTGCCTTGGAGAACAGTGCAAAGCAACACTTCTGAGCAGCAGTGACAGTAGTATGGCTGACATAGAAGCCTGGGATGGTGGCAGCTGCCTGAGACTGCTGAAAGCCCCAGGCTACTTCAGATCCAGCATCAGCACTGCCTCCCAATCCCGCTGTGCAGGGTCAGGTTGGAGCAGCTGCAGCTTTGCACTATGCTATACCAGCCCCCAGTTCATATCTGGCCCGTGCTGGGCTCCTGCATCCCTGAGGAACCCTCTCACTCCACTTACCGAATCACAAAATCATTTAATTACTATAACTAGGAGAGCCAGGATTGCAATCGTTGAGTGAAGCAGTCATGTGGACATCCTTCTTAATGATTGCAATGACTTACAGCTGCAATCTGGGCTCAATTATAGTCAGAAGTTGAGGACTACCTGTATTGTGACTCTAACTTTTTTTACGATCATTCTGTAATTCCTCTGGTTTGTATCAATGAGATTCATGACTTCAAAGCAATTCCTGATATTCTCTTTGAAAACAGCAGGTATATGTTCAAGAACATATCGTGGATACTCTCTGCCTGCCTTTCCTTTTAGCTTAACTTGGAGTTTGCACATGAGCAGTTTGTGATATGTTCCACACTCAATACATGGCAATGTTTTGATGGTATAATTGAGCTTCTCCACCTTCTTTTAGCAATAATATAGTCAATGAACTCTAATATAGATAAATAATAAATAGTGGTATCCTTCCTCACTATGGCCTAATTCACGTACTTGGATGATTAATGAATTTGTTAATAGGGGAAGGGACTTGTGTTCATAAGGATTGCTCTTCCAAAGGCTACATTTGTCTGAAAAAAGAAGATCAATGATAAACGTTGGCTTTTTCAGAGTTACCTTAGATCCCAGAGGGCACTCACTGTTGATTCACAAGCTCATAACAAAGCTTGAGAGTTACAAGAACACACTTGGAAAAGCATTGGAAGAACCAAGCCTTTGCATGGGCCTAAAGGCAGTACTAGTCTCTGAATGCAAACCTAGGTAAAAGGTTCCAAAGCCTTTTTAAAATCCAGAACCACAAGAAAACATTCAGAAGCTGCTGAGGCAGATGCCACCCTAATTTAGTGAATGAAAAAGAGGGAGAGGTTTAGTCCCATTTTACAACTTTTCTTGTCAAAGTTGTTAAGTGAATCACTGCAGTTGTTAAGTTAGTGACATGGTTGTTAAGTGAACCTGGCTTTCCCACTGACTTGCTTGTCAGAAGGTTGCAAAAGGTGATCACATGATCCTAGGACCCTGCAACCGTTGTAAATGTGAGTCAGTTGCTAAGTGTCTGAATTTTGATCACATGGCCATGGGGATGCTGCAATAGTTGTGTGAAAAATGGCCACAAGTCACTTTTTTCAGTGTGGCTGTAACTTTGAACAGTCACTAAACCAGTGGTTCTCAACTTTTCTAATGCCGCAACCCCATAATACAGTTCCCCATGTTGTGGTGACCCCCAACTACTTATACATCACCGGGTGCCAGGGGCGTGGCCAAAGAAAGGGGGGGGGGAAATGGCGGACAGCCTTGTTTGGCGACCCCCGTGAAATGGTCAATCAACCCCAGATGGGGTCCCGACCCACAGGTTGAGAACCACTGCACTAAACCAACTGTAGTAAGTCGAGGACTACCTGCAGATAATTTAGGTAACCCTGGGTAGCAAAAGGTTTCCCACACCATTCTACCTCTTATAATATTATTGGTTTCACTGAATAAGTACAGGGCTGTAAGCCTCTTCCCTCAGAAATCATACTCACATGTTTTTCTCAAAGTTAGTTACATTTAAGTGTCCAAACATTTCACTCACGTAAGCCATCCCAATATTTTTACATTTCCTATATCATAAAAAAGTGCTATTCTAATTATAAATCACATCCCTCTTACTATAAAATCCATTTATATCTGAAAGTTATCTATTCTTTTAACCATATTCAAACAAATTTAGTCATGTAATATCCCATCTGGTAAGTCAAATCATCTGTTCTCTTAAGTCTAACTCTAGCCTTCTTCCTTTGCCAAGTCAATTTCCAAGTCAGTGTATTCAAATCACCAAGGAATTTTTTTCTGTATTTTTATGGATATTGTTTGGAATGAGAGAGACAATTTAGGTGGAGTATTTCTGAGGGGGAATTTCACCCACTCAATCATAACTGACAAGAATATTTTGAATACTGATGGGAAACAAAATTTAAATAAGAGCTTGAAAAACAGGATCTACATTGATTCAATAAGAAGACCTTAATTGCAAATACAATTGAAATATAAGCTAGTTAGAAAAGATGTTATCTACTAATTTTGTATGTATCGATAGTGCCAAGAACTGTATTTGCTTAATGTTGATAAAATGAGAATATTACTGGAAGAAGAGAGGATCAAGGAAGTGTATTACGATCTAACATGTTAACTATGGAATTATAGAAATTAATTATTATTAATCATTGTTAAATATGTAAACCCAGACAATATATAAAGAAATCATAGTCACATGTGAAACTGTTGCACCTTTCTCAGTATCTGCATTTGTACATCTCTCTGCCATTTTATAGAGGGAATCTTGGGAGATTGTCCCAAGCAACTATAGAGTTCAGCCTGCTGAATATATGAATGGCATTTACAAATGTTATTATCTTACAAACTCAGATGATTGAGATCTGGGAATTAGATAAATGTAAAGATGCTAATTTTTACTTATAGCTAAATTCATTATTTAATTTCATGTTTATGTTGTCCTTCCAGAAATTTAGAGTAACTTCTTTTATGTACAAGAACTTTGTGAGGTATGTTAGAGAGGGTAATTGCTTCAAGGTTACCTACTGAATTGCAAATTTGAATCAAGATTTGTACTTGGGCCTCCCTTGTCTGAGTCCATTGTAGCCCACAAGTCCATTGTAGCCCACATAGTCTGGATTAATCACCGTGATTAATGTAATGTAACCAAAACTTCTAAGAGATGGATGAGGCTGGGTGGGAGGAAGAAGGATAGCAGAGGTCCCACCAATTCCTGCCTTGAACTACCCCACATTATAAAGAACACATTGACCAGCCCCATTGTAGAGATGCAGTAAGTGACAGACTGCGGGAACAATACTTGTAGTAGCAACATACCTTCCTCACAACGCAAGGACAGGAGGAAAGCACATTTTCACAAACAAGAGGCTCTGCTATACAGGCTCTGCATGTAGACAAACATGTAACTCATTGTATCCCATGCATCTACATTTAAAAACAACTTTTCTCGTATATGAACATATTGGTTTCTTTTCAGTAAATGGAAAAGCAACTTATACCCATATTTGGTTTTTCCCAAGAAAAAAACCCTGAAACATGCTGTTTGTCTAGAGACGTTTTTTTCCTCCCAACAAAAGAGTGGGAAGTAGGACCAAACTACTGTATTCTCACTGCCATTGCACGACAAACACAGAAGAAAAGAAAACCTCAGATTCCTACATTCCTCTCAGTGAAAATAACCCTCTGCAATACTGACTGGCAGTCTGCTTGGGACTTTGTAAATGATGACATAGTTTTTCAGTGTTGGTGAATTGTAACTTTCAACTTATCTAGCTCTACACTATACTGGTTGGGCCTGCTGGAAATTGTAGTCCAGCAACATCAGGAAGAACACAGGCCCCTATCTGTAATTTAGATTATTAAAATAAGAGTTCTGAACAAAGGTATCAAAATAAGGTTTCACAAAAATAAAGGGAAAATTTCTGGGCGATTTAATTCCCTTGGCCTGGAAACTATTTGGAAAAGAAAGAAAGTGAGAGTTAGACTTAAAAATCGGAAGGTGTGACCTATAAGAGGGGGCATTATATGATTAAATATCTGTTTGAATATGATTAAAAGAATGGATAGTCCTTAGATATAACCAGACTTTTATAACAAAAGATGTTAGAATTAGAGTAGCACTTTTTTCTTTCCCTTCCTTCCTTCCTTCTTTGATATGAGAAATATGAAACTAAGAGAATGGCTGGTATGAACAAATTTTTTTAGCTATATAAATGTAATTCATCTTGAGAAAATCATAACTGATAAAGATATTTTGAATACTGATGGGAAATCAAACTTAAATAAGAGTGTGAAAAACAAGATATTGACTCTACAAGGAGATTTTAATTGCAAATGCAATTGGCTAAAGGTTATAAACTGATATTACCTGTATAAGATTAGGAAAATATGATGAGGGTGTTTATATCTAACTTTTTATGCCTTAATTGTAGCAAGAATTGCGTAATGTGGAGAAAATGAAAATAAATTGGGGAAGAAAGGAGGATCAGGAAAAAACTGTGGATTATGTAATATTGAACAGACTTATATTGAAGAAGCTAATGTTAAGTATGTGAACCCAGACAACACGTTGTTTACTAAGAACTAAAGATGGTAACTGTTAGAAATCAATAAAATACTTTAAAAAAGGGTTCTGAACAAAGGTATCAAAACACATGTTCATTATTAATCATGGTGTTGAGAAAAGTCCTGAAAAAATGTGTAGGATTCAGTTACAGAGTTGATTTAATCATGTAAACACCAATCAGAATATAACATTGAACAACCATTTACAAAAACATCTGTATGTAAGTAACAACTGGCAGAAATACAGCCCAATGTGAATTCCTAATGTACACCAGGTTGCAGTTTGGCAAATCAGAAGTTTAAAAAGCTCTGGAGAGTATGTTTAATGTCTTATGCAAGGGTATTTGATTTAATAACTGGCAAATTAATAATCAACAAGTTCTTTGCAGAAAAATGTTCAATGCCAGAAGAGTGACCTTCTAAAACTTAGTCTTACTTCACACAGTGCAAGTACTTTGAAGCGATGAACATTCTAGAATTGGATATGGTAGGAAATCTTTCAGTAAAACATAAAGAATGAAAATTAAGTATAAATTACTTAAATAAAGCAGAAAAATGAAAGGTAGGAAACCCTATACCATTTTGGACAAATGGCTGTCCAATCTCGTCTTTAAAACTTCCAGTGTTGGAACATTCACCGCTTCTGGAGGCAGGTTGTTCCACTGGTTAATTGTTCTAACTGCCAGGAAATTTCTCTTTAGTTCTAGGTTACTTCTCTCCTTGGTTAGTTTCCATCCATTACTCCTTGTCCTGTCTTCTGGCACTTTGGAGAATAGCTTGACTCCCTCTTCTTTGTGGCAGCCCCTGAGATATTGGAACACTGCTATCATGTCCCCCCTCGTCCTTCTCTTCGTTAAACTAGACATATCCAATTCCAGCAACCATTCCTTATATGTTTTAGCGTCCATTCCCCTAATAATCTTTGTTGCTCTTCTCTGTACTATTTCTAGAGTCTCAACATCTTTTTTTACATTGTGGTGACCAAAACTGGATGCAGTATTCCAAGTGTGGCCTTACCAAGGCATTGTAAAGTGGTATTAATACTTTGCGTGATCTTGATTCTATCCCTCTGTTAATGCATCCTAGCACTGTGTTGGCTTTTTTGGCAGCTGCATCACACTGCTGGTTCATATTTAAGTGATTGTCCACTAGGACTCTGAGATCCCTCTCACAGTTGATACTATTGAGCAAGGTAGCACCTATACTGTGCATTTGGTTTTTCTTGCCTAAATATAGAACCTTACTTTTTTTTAATTACAGTATAATTGAATAGAATACCCTCAAAGATTGAAAAAGATCATTTTTCTCCATAATTCATTTTATGTAATCCTGAATAGCAAAAATATGTCTCTTACCAATAAATATGATCTTTTGACACATGATCTTGTACGCGAGTCCATTTTATCCCCAAATCAAGAGATGCATAAAGCTTAAAATGAAAAAGAAGGAGAAAACATATTTTTATTTCCTCCAAGAGTGTAAGGTAAAAAACATAGGACTCTTCCAACATTTCCCTTCAACAAGTTGTGGGATGGAGTGGAGAGAAATGAATGGTTCAAACTCACCCAATGAATTTTCATAACTGACAGTGGACTTGATTTAGTCGAATATCTTATTCATTACCTACCTGGCTCGTCCATATTTTAAGATATTTAAAACATATTTAAAGCTTACTTTACATATTCTTATCCATAATAATTTTTGCGAAGGAATAAAGCATAGATAAATTAGTACTGAAAGCTGAATTAATACTAGAGAGCCAGAAGTGTAAATAGCTCATGTCTCTGTTACAGATTTTTAATGTAAAATCATTTCAATATTAAGCAAACATGATTGAGAATGAAACAGTATTTGGATTCCTATAAATGATCACAGTGCAGAGAGACTGGTTCATATACACAAATCAATCACTCAGTAAATGCAGGATCAACTAATGACATACAACTGCAAAAAATCATTGTTGCTAAATGTTAAGTTTAATGCCATTAAAAAAAAGATTTAATTCTGTATATGATGATTCACCTGTGACAGTTGGAAAGGGATATGGATGCAGAAATTACAGAAACTATTTTGGAAAGCTTTCCTATATTGGTTATTTTACAGTATTTTATGTTATAAAATTGTTTGATACTTCATACTGTTCCTCCAAGCTGTCCAGAACATATTTCAGATATATCAAAAGCAAAGCCACACAACATTTTTTAGTTTTTTACCTGTCCTTCCTTGGTGTAAGCAAGCACCTTATCTTCCTGTTTTGGATGAAATATCAGTGTTTCCACAGAAAAACTAATGGGCTGCTTTTGAAAAGTAGCACCTTCATCTGTACTAATAAAAAGATTCTGGTCCAGGTCATTGTGGGAAGAACTTACAAGTATTATCTATAAAAGAAAAAAAGCAAAGCAAACAAATTAGCCAAGTTCTAATACGATGTGCACATATTTTTATCTAATTAAGAAGGGGAAAAAATAGGAACTAAATAAGCAATGCCTCAGGACCACTTGATCCTAAATAGATTAAAAGAAGTATTCTGCCAAGTATTCTAATAATCTCCTAAATTCTCATAGCTTATCTAAAGACTCATAAAAACTGAAGCTTAGCAAAACTGCAGGAGATTTTCTAGCTAATCTCTAGTGGTTTTCACATAACTACAACTCTCACATTTTGTAAAGAGAAGCAACAAGTTTTATCACACAAACTAAGGCATGCTCTTCTGCATTTCTAGCAAATGGGGCTGCAGTGTAATCTGAGTTTAGGTCTACTTTGTATCAGAACAACAAAAGAAGTCTTGGGAGGAGGAAGCAACATAGAAAGTATCATGAAACTGGAAACTGCAAAAATATATCCATTCAACTTACCTTTCTAATATAGTTGTGGACGCTAGGAAAATGAATATAACAAAACTCTATTATTTGTTATTAGCCTTGTAGAAGATTTGTGTGATGATGACGAACCAAAGGGACCTTGGAAGCCAATGAATTAACTGAACTAGGACCCAACATCAAGTAAAGAAGAAAAGGACTCTGTAATTACAGAACAGCTTCTACACTAGATTTCACAATATAACCTCTAAGCTTGAATATGTGACTGTGATGGGCACCAACAGAGGAGACAAGCTGTGGGCAATGTCAAACACATATTATAATGCAAATTTTGCCCAGTTCATACTTGCATTATGTTGCTGTACACAAGGATAGAACTTGCATTGTGACATCGTGATGCATACTTTTCTCATTTTGGAAAAAAATCTCAGCTTGCTGCAGACATTCTGGCAGCTGGTAGACAAAGGACTCTCATACAGAAGTGTGAAAAGGTAAGAAAAAAATCCTTGGAATTAGTGATCTCACTGCGATGAAAGCTAGAAGCCTTTTATATAAAGCTGTCCACTTGCATTGGAAATGACATGCATTTTTACAGGTGTCTGTAGCCAGCTGCCTTGAGCCCTGCCCTGAATATTCTAAATGACTTCTCGGATGCTTATTCAATTGATACTTAATCAATTTAATTGATTTATATATTTGCCCCACCTCACATACATGTCTCTGGATATTTTACAATAAAAATAAATAAATTACATGCAATACAAAAAGTATAAAACATGTAACAGCTGGCATTGTAAAGTAAACATTAACAATAACCAGGAGATGGGCTCTGTCACACACTCGGGTCTTCAGGCTTGGGCACAAAACCATGTTTTCAAGACTTTGCAGAAGGCCAGCAGGTCCCCACAGCTTCAAGATAAAAAGACAGAATCTCCATGGCCTCATTCAGACCACCTGGGGTAGAAATATAGAGTATCATCACCATACTGATGATACCTCACCCCAAACTGTCAGATTACCTTGCCCAGTAGGTTCGTGTAGATGTTAAACAGGAAGAGAAAAAGTATTCAGCCATGTGGCACCTCACAAATGAAGAGCCATGGGTTGGACTCATCAACAGCAAGTGAAACGAATCCCGGCAGGAGGAGAATGGGAACAATGCAGTATTGCCCACTCCCAACTTCCAAAGCCACAACACAGGGATGCCATGATCAATGTTATTAAAAGCCACTGAGAGGTCAAGAAGAGCAAGGACATGCCAAGGAGTGATCCAAGAGTATGATAAGTGCCATGTCAGTCCCACACCTAAGCTTGAACCCTGACTGAAAGAGATACAGATAATGCTTTTCTTCAAGGGTTCTTTATACTATAGTGCAGTGTTTCTCAACCTTGACAATTTTAAGGCATGTGGACTTCAACTCCCAGAATTCCACAGCCAGCAATGCTGGCTGTGGAATTCTGGGAGGTGAAGTCCACATGCCTTAAAATTGTCAAGGTTGAAATACACTGCTATAGTGCAACCATCTTCTTTACAATCTTCCCTTAAAAAAGGAAGATTGGATACTGGACATAATTATCCAGAATGCTAGTCTAGTGATAGCCTCTTGCAAATGGGGACACACCACTGCCTCCTTAAGAAGTGGCAGGTCGACCTCTCTCTCAAAGAAGAATTAGCATTGCTCGGACCCAGCCCACCTCCTCCTCAGCAGACTTAACTAACCAGGCAGCATATAGATCTAATATAGAGGTTGCCAGATTAAACAACCTGTCCACATCCTCTAGTCAAGCCCAGCAGGATCAACTCCTCCTGCCACCTGATAGCTAAGCCAGGAGGTGTCCCAAGGCAAGAATGCTTTGCAGATGGATCCCAGGACCACTGCCTCCCAAGGAATAAGGCCACAGGTGCAATATGGGCACAGAAATAAGGACATTTTGTTGTCTTCACTGCCACAAGACAGGCTCTAATACTGTAGTGGCATTAGCTCCTGGTCTAATCAAGTTTGCTCTTCATAATTTTCCAGCAATACTGTAGATGTTTCTTCTCTCACTTATTTTCCCTTAGTTCATCAGCTCATAAGCTAAGGACTATCTGTATTACATTCTGCAGTATTAGCTCTAACCCCAAATTTTAAGATAAATTTTCATTAAAAAATTGAAGTACTATTTCAATAAATAAAAAGATACACACACTTAAATGGCAGAAATATACCTTCATCATAATTTGTAATATTCTAAAAATAAAAACCATAGAGTCTCATATATGTGACACCTGGAATTCTTCCAATGCCATTACCTTATTACCTTGCCCCAAACTGGCCAAGTTCAAACCTTTTTTTAATTTGGCACCTTCAAGTCAGTTTTGACTTCTGGCAATTACCTGGATTAGTCCCTGCAGTTTTCTTAGCAAGATTTCAGAAGTGGATTGCCATTGCCTCCTTCCTAGGGCTGAGAGAGAGTGACTGGCCCAAGTCACTCAACTGGCCTTGAGCTTAAGATGGGACTAGAACGTACAGTTTTTCTAGCCTGGTATTTTAAGCACCACACAGAAGTGGCTCTCTAGTTCAAACCTGATCCAGTCAAAATGAGGGGATCTAAGATTGATTTCTTTACAAAGGTTATGAACCACCACCTCCTTCGACTCCTAGTGAAGGTGGCATTAATGGCTGAGCACAAATATCAGGTGAGCCCCTCCAGCCAATACCAACTAAAATGGACTCCCATCTAGTTACTAAGCTCTGTATCTTCCGGGCTGTAGCTGTCGATATTGGGAAGAGAGAAAAGTAGTCCTGAAATAAATCCCCATTACCTGCTGTGAGGGCCACCTTGCTGAGGCGCCCTAAAAGAGAGGCTGGGGGAACAGCACCTTTTATGTCCACACACTTTCCTCCCATCCCAACACTGTTGCTGCATGCCAGGCCCCAAAGCAAAGCTAATCTACAGAGAGAGGGGAGAAACAAAGGACTGTTTAAAACGCCAAGGGAGAGAAAGAGTTCTCTAGATGAATGTTTCCGTAAGACACTTCAGGGGGCGTTTGGCTTAGAGTGGTTGCCTGTTCCTGTTACTTGGCAGTTCCTAAATGCCTTTTTTTCTTTTTAATCTGCAGAGTGATTTTTAAATGCCTTGTGCCTGCTTCCCAACCATAAAGAATTTTCTGGAATGTGATACATAACATCTCTTTCATCTGTGGGAAAAGTGAGCAAGGTGAGCGGAGGAGGGAAGTTTGTGGAGTGGCTAATTAAATCTCTTGCTGTACGGAAGCCAGAGCTAAAAGTGACAACTTGGATGGTGTGAAATTAAGGACTGTATAAATCTGTCCTCAAAAGCTTTATACGCTTTCATCAAGATTCCATTACAGAATAAGCAAGCTTTCAGATAAAAATAGATGGGGAACACAGAGAATAGGAAAAGTCCGGACATACATGGAAATAATATTTTGTTTAAATAAGGACTTTACAAATTATACAAAATTTACTCTTTGTACTATCATCTACATCTACAATCCAAAATTGCATCTTCACAATGTACCCAGTTTTGCTATACCTTTATATTTGGATATTTATTTTAGTAACTATAAATATCTATAAGGCAGAAGAGTGGTAAAATATTCCAAATGCTTCCAAAAGAGTGATTTAAGGCCATCCCTACAACTCCCCAGGTTTTAGGATACCTATGGATTAACAAATCTATTATCAGATAAAGATTTGTAGAGTTCAGTGTTTTAAGACCCATTAAGCCTCCACTACAACAAATGTGAATGAGCATTTGATTTTCTTTTCTTGATCCTATTTTTCACTAGGGCAAATCTGAAAGACTAGACAAGACTATTACGTACCTGGGAAAAGGCCTCTGTCATCACTGGGGTAGTTCAAAAGATTCAAGCACACATGTCACACGAGCTTGATCTTAATCTAACAATTTCCTCTTTATTTTCTTCACTACTTTGTAACTTTCTTAACTGTGCCATGTTATTTAACAAATTTGAAATTGTCTGTGGTCCTTTTCATTGGAAGATCTCCACAAGTTGGCTCCAACTCAGTCTTGGCTTCCTAAGCAGACTGTTACTTCTGCCCAACAACTCTGGCTCCCTGACATTTTCCCACACTCCTCCTCATAATATGAAGCCTGTCCTTTTAGTTACAGTTTTCCTCACCACATGATCATGCAATTTCTACATTTCTACACTTCATAATTTATAATTTAGTTCTTTTCCGCAACCTTTGCTCTTTCTCCTGTTTCCCTGCCTAATGGCAGGGAAAATAATGTTTGGTAACATTATACTAAATCTACATTATTATAAATAAATGAGCATCTTCTTTAGCTTTATATTTCCCAGACTGATTGCATGCAGTCCTGTTGCAATTTATTTGTTTGTTTATTCAGTTTAAATAACTACAAAAAGTGACTCTGGGCAACATACAATTCTGATGCATAAAAGCAAGAAATTAGAAAATAAACACATGGATTAGAAAAGAGAAAATAGAGTAACCAAATGAAAGAAATAATACAAATAACATTAAAATATCATTTTAAGCTAAAAAGCAGATATGGAGTAAAAGAAG